TTTCAATATTTTGCCAATTTTCCAGTTATTTCAATATTTGGCACTTTTTTCAAATTATTTCAATATTTTTGGATATTTTTACCAAAATTTAGGGATTTTTCATAGATTTTAGGAAAAAAGTGAAGAAATCTGGCTGCCTGACAACAAAAATTCACAAAATTTTCGCCTGAGGAGCTGAAAATTAGGAATTCTGGCGTATATAGGGTAATTCTTCTGGGAGATTGTACTTGCACTTTTTGTACTTACACTTGGAGTACGTCGAGTGGATAAGCCCACAAAATGTCACATCCTCATTTCGTCAATCTCAAAAGGCCTAAGAGAGTAAAATTACCCAATTCGTCAAACTATAAAGCTAATATGAAATTTTAAAAACTTACTAACTTTTTTTTTGTTAAATTTAAACTTTATTTTGGCTTTTTGCTAGTAAATATACGAAAATTTATTTCAATATTTCATTAAATTTTGGCATTTTTTGTCAATATTTTGCCCATTTATTTCAATATTTTATGGCCATATTTTGCGATTTTTTATCAATAAAAATCCGCTCTCTATTTATAACAGTTTAAAATGGAAGGATTTGTAAAAAGATATTTTTTAAAAATTAAATTTTTAAATTATTTATTTCAATAAAATTTTTATTTTATTCAAGTGGCGTCCGCAATTGTCGCATCCGCAATTGTCGTCCGCAAGTGTTGTCCGCAATTGTCGTACGCAAGTGTCTCATCCGCAATTATCGACCGCAATTGTCGTATCCGCACGTGCGTATCCGCAATTGTCGTAACACCAAACAAAAAGGGAAACCGAACAGACACTGCCAATTCTTTACTATTTAATTAAATAAAAGTTTTTAAAGAGATTTATAGGACATTTGGGGAGTGGACAATTGGGGAGTAGACATTTGGGGAGTGAGGATTAAAAAAATAATTTAAAAATAGATTTTTTGGACAATAAAAATAATTTATAAACTCGTCAAGGTGTTTTTTGGAGTTTCAAAGGGCAAAATTCAATTCCCCCCTCCTTTTTCCCTCCTCAACGTATTAAAAAGTTAAGTCAATCCTATGTTATAGAACTCGTCGAGCTGTGTCGAGCTTTGTCGAATGGGCGGTACGACAATTGCGGATACGCACATGCGGATGCGACGATTGCGGACGACAATTGCGACTGAGACTATTGCGGATGCGACAATTGCGGACGACAATTGCGAAAAAAATTTAAATTTGAAATAGAATAAAAAATTCACCGTAATGGGAAAAACACACGTAATAATTCCTTGTCTAACATTAAAAAATTTACTAGAGATCGGACTGAGAGAATCGTATGAGATCTAATATCCTCCCGATCTTTAATACATTCTTCATTTTCCAATGGCAGATCCTATGGCAGATCATACAAAATAGCTGGCTGTTCCAATGGCAGATCCTACTACCACGGTACCAATTATAATGACACCACCAACTACAATTGTAGTAACAATACCCCTTTTTTCAATTTAGAGGGTTCACTTTAGTATATGGGTGCCGAGCTTGATATACAAATGTTATACCATTTGAAAGAGCTCGTCGAGCTGAGTCGAATGCCACTAGTTTTAACCCGAGGAAAAATTTTTGGACCGAGATATAGGTCCCTGAAATTTGAAAACCCATAGGGGGGACCAGGCTGATTTTTGGGGTAAAAAATTCGAATATATCTCATTCGAAAGAGCTCTTCGAGCGGAGTCGAATGACACCAAAATCAACGAAATCCGACTTCATATGGCCGAGTTACAGACCCCCGAAATTTGAAAATTTTTGGGGTCAAAAAATCGAAAATGCAAATAATAGCTCATTCGAAAGGAGCAACGAGCTGATTAGAATGACACCAAAATCAGCTCGAGATCTTGATTCTGAGCCGAGATGAAAAGGCTCAAAATGGTCAACGTAAAGGCGTGATTCAAGCAGTTCTAATAGTAGAGAAAGAGAAAATTGGAGAAAACAAAAACGAGAGAATTATGATAATTGTTCGCCAAATCGTCACAGATTTGAGAATTCGAATCCCAGAATTGGAGCTGTTAACCCATACTTGTTGGCTTTGGTTGCTTTGATTTGTCTTATATGAAATCAGTATTACATGGCCGAAACTTCAGAGAAGAAATGCTATTAGAAAAGAGATTCAATTTGAGGACAAATTTCGTTAAAGGAGGGAGGAGTGATATGTCCGGCAGGGTTGCCGCCCGAAACCCGAAACCCGAACCCGGCCTTTTTTTGTACCCGAAACCCGATACCCGAATTGAAAATTTTCCAACCCGAAACCCGTACCCGATATTTTTTCCAACCCGAAACCCGTGACCCGAAATTGGTTAAAACCCGAAATTTATACCCGAAAACTTAGCCTTACCCGATTTTTTAAAATAAATTTATAGAAAGAGAAGGAAGGAAAAGGGAAAGAAATATTTATAATTTCTTTAATTTTTCATTATGTTGATCGGTGGTTGAGTGTGTAAGACGACTGCCTCGATATTTTCTGGGGGTGGGTTCGAGTCAAGGGCTGGAAATAATGCCTAAAAAATTTTTATTTTCAAAAATAAATGCCTTTAAACTTTGATTTTCATTTTAGATTTTTAAATTTATTTTTTTTATATTTTAAGCTTGAAAGAGCATTAAAAATTTTAATTTAGTCATGAATTTTGCAAAATTTTCGCCTGCGGCGCATAAAATTAAGAGTTCTAGGTTCATGATCAATTAAACTTAAATAAAAATTTTTGCCTGCGGTTCTGACAATTGAATTCTTTCACCTAAGACCTTAAAAAATTCACAAAATTTTCGCCTCCGGCGGTGAAAAAGCTAGAAATCTAGCTTAAGGATCATCAAAATTCTCAAAATTTTCGCCTGCGGCGCAAAAAATGGAAGAAATTACCAAGATATCCCTCTTAATCGCCAAATCCCACAATGTTTTAATCTCTTCAAATTTGCTTCTCTCTATATCACCCAAAATCCTATTATGCAATATAGCCTGCCTCCTTACAATTTAGTTCACCAATAGCCGAACACCCGAAAATAACCCGAATTTTTCGCCAAGCCCGAAACCCGTACCCGAAATTTTTGCCAACCCGAAACCCGATACCCGAAATGAAAATTTTATAACCCGAAACCCGTACCCGATATTTTTTCCAACCCGAAACCCGTGACCCGAAATGAAAACGCTCCAACCCGATACCCGTACCCGAAAATTTTTTGTACCCGCAGCAACCCTGATGTCCGTTATTTGATGTTTTTATTTGCTATCTATGTTTATGAATGTTTCTGTCTATCTCTTTCAAATTGTTCCCCCAAACTATATTTTAAATATAACTTCCTATTGATCTTATTCAAAACATTGCCCTTTAACTTTTACACCTTCACCTTCAACTATATAATTTTCTTATCTAAACTGTAAACTAAACTTATTTCCTTATTTCCCGCCTATTCCAAAACCCTATAATTAGCCATTTGTAATTCCATTTAATTTGCGTTATTTTGAACTAAACTGAAGAATAAAGATTGTTGATTGTTAGAAGATTGTTTGAGAGTATAAATTGAGAGTATAATCTTCTATGCGTTAAAAAACGCCTTTTTCTGAGCCGTAGGCGAAAACTGAGAATTTTTGAAGGCCATAGGCCAAAAATTCAATTTTCAGTACCACAGGCGAAATTTTAAGAATTTGGGTTGTAGGATCCGGTCGGTGCCTGCAAAAGCAGATTAAATCTAAATTTTTCTTTTAATTTTCATCTGTTTATCCATATCTTTTCATTTAATTTTTTTGTCTCCATTTTGTTTCTATAAATTTTCTTGTTAAAATAAAATTTGCTGCCCAAATCACGCATAATTATTTTTTCGTTGATACTCAAATTGTTTTTATGTGGAAAATATTTTTTTTAAAAACCCTCACTGCCTAACCACTCACCTCGCTGCCTAAATCACTCGCTGCCCATTTAACCACTGCCTACGTCACTTCTGCCGAAATCACCAGACACGATTTTTATATTATCCATTGAATAGAATGTTATCATTTTTTCAATTAAATTTTACAGACTTTTTCTTTTATTTAATCAAAATGGGAAAAAATAAGAACAAGAAAAATAAACAAAATTCGGCAGGAGGAAACAGATTTGGTTCTGGGCCGTTTAATAAGAAATTTAAACAAGACAAGCCAATGAATAACAATCAAGGAATGAAAAAGGATAAAGGCGCTGTTAATGGCGGTAATAAAAGAGGAGGTTTTAATAAAAAGAAAGCTTTTGATGGGGGAGATAAATTTGAAGGGCGTCTGATGAATGAAAAGTTTGGAGGTATGTTTTTACGTTTTTAGTAAGAATTTTGTTTTTCTAAGTTTCAGTGAAGAAGGATGGTAAGAATGAGAATACTGAAGTTTCAAACTTTCAAAAGCAACGCCCTAAGGAAAATAAAATGAACAAAGATGGCTTTTCGGTTGTTGTTAATGTTTGTACATTATTTAAATATTCCATAATTTTTTAGCAACCTAACAAGGACTTTGGCCAAAAGACTACTCCAAATACGAGTGTTTCATCTATGGGGAAAGGTTTTGTTAAATCGTTCTACTTTACTTTATTTTTTAGAAAGTCCCAAAGAAGCATCTGGAAAAAAGAAGGTTAAATTCGAGACTGATTCTTCTGAAAGGAATGAGCATGTTAAAAATGATTTGGTTATTAAAGGAGATGCTCAGGCAAAGCGTTTTGGTATGTCTGTTTTTTTATTACTGTTTACCCGGTTACCATTCTGATGCTTTTATGTAGTTACTGACATTTTTATTTTGCCGGATTAATATAAAACATTTTTGCCGTTCTTTCAGGTAGTCCTCGTGAAACTCCTCCTTCAAAGCGAGTCAAACTCGAGACCTTAACCAACTCTTTCAGTAAAGACAATGAATTAAACGGCAATGCTAAAAAGGATACAAAAGTCAAAAAAGATGGAAATGTCAAAAATGTTTTTGACAATCTATTTTCATCAAGCGAATTTATTTTATTAATGACGGACAAATCAAAACGTTTGAGGGGCGCACTTCCTCCACATTTTTTTGATATGGGTGGTATGGCGTTATATTTTTAACTTAAATATTTTTAATTAAGAATTGGTCGACTTAAACATTACTGGGTATAATATTTCTACAAACACTTCAAATTGTATTGTTCTCAATGCACAGAAGGATTATTCTACAGCTGCAAACCCATTTAAATTATTCAAATTCTCTGCGGATACTGAACATTCCGTTCAAGTTGGATTGAAAGTTTTGCAATGGATTCTGAGCCCAATTGTGACTGATACATTTTTCAAGTTTTTAAATTTTACCTCTAATTATCTTATATTTTATCATTTAAAGTGACATCTTGCAAAAACGAGTTCTTGTTTTGAAACGCGCTACAAATGCTTATTTTGATGGATTCTTTAATATTGGGGATTTTAAGGATATGCTTAAGAATGTGAGTTTATTTAAAAATGTCCTCCTTCACTTTTCATTTTAAGAATAATGTTCTCTATGGAAAGGATGTTAATGTTGCCAGTTATGTTTCTGGTGTTAGACAAACCCATAATCCATTAAAGAAAGAGATGCAACGCGCTACAATCACGAGTGCTCTGCAACATTTTCAAAATGGACGATCACTTCAATGTGTTCATCCTCAAGTTTTTAATGACAAAATTTGGTATATCTGTGATGCTCTTCAAGAAGTTTTTTGTTCTTATGTTGGAGCTAACAAGTTTTTTAAATTCTTTTTTGTTTTTATTCATTTTTAAAGTTATTTAACTCCTGCTGGAGCTGCTGGGTTTGCTCCGCATTATGACAATATTGATGCTTTTATTTTGCAAACTGAGGGCCGTAAACATTGGAAAATTTATGCACCGGAAAGTTTGGATGATACTTTGCCTCTTGAATCAAGTGATAATTTGAATGAATCTGATTTTATGGAACGTGAACCAGTTTTTGATGGATGGTTGGATCAAGGCGATGTTCTTTATGTGCCACGTGGATTTATTCATCAGGTTCTTATTTTTTGATTTCCAATTATTTTTTGCTCTTGAAGGCCAATACTGGTCAAGACAAACTTTCTCATCATGTCACTATTAGTATTTGCCGTAAATTCTCTTATGCCCATTTCTTTGAAAAAGCATCAAGCGAATTTATTTTATTAATGACGGAAAAATCAAAACGTTTGAGAGGCGCACTTCCTCCACATTTTTTTGATATGGGTGGTATGGCTGATATTGCATATCCTAATGAAGATTCATTGAACAATAAGTTTTTTTAAACATTTTTAGCCTCTTAATTATTAAATGTTTTAAGACTTATTCCATATGCCAAAATATTTTCTCAAAAATTCGCTTCTGAAAAATTTTTTAAAAACAAATTTTCTCAAAAATTCGCTTTTTTTTCAACTTATGCTCCAGCATTTATCGATTTGATAGCTAAAAATTTCATGCAAACTGCACTTCCGCCATTGTTAAGCCCGGAAGAGCTTAAACAAACATGTATTGGAGGAGGTGGTTGTGACAATTTTCTTGAAAAAGAGAAACATCCACTTATTGGACCAGAGACTGAAGTTCGTTTTGCACGAATGCATGGACAAAGGTGATTCAATTAAATTTTAAATCATTATTTTAAATTTTTTAGATTAATTTATGAAGATGAAGGTACCACTTGTATTGTGCATCGTATGAACAATTCTCGGCGTTATGATGAAAACAAGGAAGAGCTGACTTTTGATTTTTCTACTGAGGTTTTTAAGATTTTGACACGGTATTAGTGCAGATTTACCCTTCACTCTAATTTTGGTTTTTTCTTTCTCGCTTTTATGACCACTCATTCTTATAGAAGATGAAGGGATGAGTGAGTAAATTAGGGAGGTGAGAGGGTGGCAAATTGCGGTTAAGCACGATTACGTGCCACCGATTCCGTGCGAGAACAGTTCAGTGTCGGCACGTTTCCGTGCTAATACGTTTCCGTGCACACGGTTCCGTGCCAGTAGGGCACGTTTCCGTGCCTTTCCTTCAAAATATATGAAAAACATCTTTTTCGAGTAATTTTTTTATTTCTTACTTTCTACGTACTAGAGAACATTTTAAATCGTAGCTTGATTCTACTCGAGACTTTTCTTGGGGGTTTTGGTCTTGGTGTGAAGTCTTGGTCTCGACCTTTTTTTCTTACAAGGGAACATCGGAAACTGTGTACAAAAATTCGGTATTTTTTGGTACCATTCGATAGAGGACCATCGACTTCCTATTGCGAAGTGATGCGGGTTTTCTTGCAAAATCACTTTGGGCCGAGTTGTGGCGGAATATATCTATTCAATATATATATAAATATATATTGAATATATATTGAATATTCAATATATATATAAATATATATTGAATAGAACCACGCCACCGATCCCGCGCCAGATCAGTTCCGCGCCAGTACGTTTCCGCGCACACGGTTCCGCGCCAGTTATAAAAACATTATAAAAATATGAATGTTTAACTTGTTTCGTTGCTTGTTTTGGCACATTTTCAAGCCCAGCTGCTCTTATTGTAGAAGGTTGGGAACTTATTTACTTTAACTATCCACCCCATTTATTCGCAAGAAGTTCATCAATCAACTTTATTTATTCAGAAAGGTCAGCCTTTCTTTCTTCCTCGATGTTACTGTCATGTCCGATGTTCATGCTGTGGAAAAATTGTGGATGAGAGATGGAATAGAACCATCACTGAAAGAGCCCAGACCGAAGCACAACCGACTGTGCCACCATCCAACCCGATGACGGGTTATTTATTTTCATTTATATTCTTTCTGGAAGTGCGGACACAACAGTTACTCAATTTTCCCTGTGGCAAAGTCTATGAGAGAAATTAATAAAGAAAAGATAAATTTTTCTTTCCAATTTCACCAATTTTCACCAAAATAGAAGTTAACGTTTGAATCAATATTCTTATTTTTCCATTTTAGTTATTACCACATGGTTAGTCCTTGATTTCCTAAATTCGTTATCATCCTTTTTAATTATTCAGAATACTGAGTCGTGAATGTTAAGATTTTTGATTCGTCCATGTTTATCAAATTAAATAAGCACAGCCAGAGAAGTTAGAACTCATGTAAAAAAGACAAGAATAAAAAAGATGGTACCAAAAAAGTACATGGTCCTGCCTAACCATGTGGTAATAACTAAAATGGAAAAAATAAGAATATTGATTCAAACGTTAACTTCTATTTTGGTGAAATTGGAAAGAAAAATTTATCTTTTCTTTATTAATTTCTCTCATAGACTTTGCCACAGGGAAAATTGAGTAACATCGAGGAAGAAAGAAAGGCTGACCTTTCTGAATAAATAAAGTTGATTGATGAACTTCTTGCGAATAAATGGGGTGGATAGTTAAAGTAAATAAGTTCCGAAGGTTGCTCTAAGGTTTGAGAGCCCGCTTTTTCATTTTGGTGACAGCAATTTGTGCCTGAACATAAAGGTTGAAAAAATAAATTGATAACCTGAACACGAGCCGGTCCACTTTCTATACACACATGATTACCAATTTCTTTTAGAATTTGATTATCCACATCAGTGTGGATTCGTCCTTTGCAATTAATTCCATGGCTTGCCTGAAACTCGCATCGCCAAAAAAGTTTGTCACCGTCCTTATTTTCTCTGTCAAATACATACAAAAATCCGTTATGTGGAATTTTTTGCCTATTACGTTTAGTCAGAATTGAGACATTCCTAGAGAATTTTTTAAATAGATTTTATAAAAATTAAAATAAATTTTAAAATATAAATTAAAAATGACTGGCACGGAAACGTGCCCTTTATAACTGGCGCGGAACCGTGTGCGCTGAAAAAAACCCCAGCCATTTTCCATGAATATTTTATGAAATTAGTAAAAATCCAAATTCATTCCTGTGAGGTGGTACTTATCCGCTGCAAAAAAATCTAACATGCTGCAAAAAAATCTAACACATGTTGGTCAATTGTAGAATACTTATGCTGCAAGGTCCCCACCCCCTCCCCCTTACTGACATATTGCCTAATTCTTGTTATTTCTGGTTTCTTTTTAGTTTTGTATAGCTCTGCAAAATACGCTCATAAGTAGTGCCTTCTTTCGCTAACTGGTCTATTTTTTGACATATTTCATAATTATATTTCCCTTTTGTTGGATCTCTGTTAGGGCAGCTATCCTCCCCACTGTAATCAAAATCCTCATAATCACTTCAGTATCCGAGTCGAAATCAAGAATAATATTATCAGGTTGTGGAATATTTAAATCAGAAATAGCATTTTAATTATTACGGGAATATTTGTACTTTTTTTAATCAGAAATAGCATCCAATTCAAATTATTCATTTTTAAAAGAAAAAAATGTGATTTTTCATTTTTAAAAGAAAAATTATGTGATTAATTATCACATAATTAATTTATTTTTTGCTAAATCAAATATTATTCAAAAAAAGGAGTCAAAGGCAAAAGCAGAGAGAGAATCACTCCTTTCTTTTCTCTCATCCACCTCTATACTCAAACGCTCCAAAAAATCGTAACTTTGACTGACCATAACTCGGCCCAAAGTGATTTTGCAAGAAAACCCGCATCATTTCGCAATAGGAAGTCGATGGTCCTCTATCGAATGGTACCAAAAAATACCGAATTTTTGTAAACAGTATCCGATGTTCCCTTGTTAGTGGATCAAAATTCTAAATAAAAAATCGAGTCAATGGCGAGATAGTACACTAATTCCGCTATGTCCATTTTAAACCACTGTGGGGTGGAGTTCCCAGCCAAACTGTTTTAATTATAAAAACTTCAATTTTATTTTTTAAAGTTGGAGAAAGGATACATAACTTTATGTAATTCTTATCCAAAATGGAAAACTGTTCAGTCTTTGGGTTGTGCTTCGTTAGAGAAAAATATTGAATTGGCAACTTTGCTTTTTAATAATTGCGTGCTTATGTTACGTCAAAAGGAGAAGAAATAAAGTTGAGAAGAATATTTTTTTGATTGTTAAAGTTTCTATTGGCCTCTTATTATTTTGTTTTAGTTTAATTGGCTATTGTTAAATTTTTTTTGAGTTTAATTAAATAAAAAAATTTTTGATTTTTGCCAAAAAGCCGCAGTGCAAGGGGTAAGTGGTTTAGGGGCACACTCCGATGTACCGCGAGCCCAATGTACCGCCAAGCTATAACATTGTTCAAAATTGTCGAATCCGTGGCGCCCTGATATGGTTCGATGCAGATCGACCAGCTTTATCGAACCATACCATGGCGCCACGGATTCGACAATTTTTAACAATGTTATAGCTCAGCGGTACAGTGGTCTCGCGTACACTGGCCTGCTCCCGTGGTGTGGGAGTGTCTGTGTGCAAATTAGAAAAATATTATCAATATTTTTAACAAATCAAAATTTTTATTTAAAAAATAATTCAATTACAAAAATAATTTAAGTCCGAAAAAATATTTGGGAGAGATCCATTTATAAGTGTGGCAATATTCAAAATGAACCCGCCTTAATAACTAAAGGCAGAAAAGATATTAAATTTTAATGAAAGAGAGGAATGTTTTGTCAAAAATAACAGAAAGTCTTGATTTAACATAAATAAAACATGTTGAAAGAAGAATAATTATTTTGGTGTACCATAAGTTGCATATTCACTACTATTTTCGTCAAGTAAAAGCTGTTGTTCTTGAAAATCATATTCGATGAAACTAAAAAAGAAATTTTTATATTAGTTTTAATCAGACAAATAGTTTACATAAGTCATAATATGTCGGTATGAATCAACTTAATTTGTAGTATTTTCACAAGAGTATTATTAATTCAACTATTAGGTAAATTGTGGCAGGAAAATAGAAATGGAATGTTCTCCATATACTATTCTCCATATAATGTAGTTAAAAAAACAAACTTTGAAGAACGAGAATTTCTATAAAGTTGAAGCAATTCATTTAATCTCTCTTTGCTTTCTTCCATTTTTTCTTCCAAACAATTTTTCCCAAATTGTTTATCTCCACCTTGCTCCATTGCTTCTTCGAATTTATGTACTGCAAAAAAGGATAAAAATTTAATAGAATAAACAAGCAACCATTAGCTTTTTTGTGCCACATTTTTTGAAAATCTGTTGCAATAGAGCGAAGACAAATAGCTATCGAAGTATGGTTAGCTAGTAAAAGACCAGTTACTGGATTTTGACTGTGGTTCATGTAGGGAGATATACGACAGGTTGTCATATTTAATGTTCCAGGCATCCAACTAGGTGATCTTAAAAATAAATTGATTTGAGATATTAATATTTTATATAAGCTAATGCAAGATTGAATACTAAATTATTATATATAAGAGAAAAACTAACATAATAAATCCACTACGAATATCAATGGACTCTCCAATATAAAAAATAAATTATTTAAACACCAAACTCACCTATAAACGTTCTTTTGTGTCATATTTCTCATTTTAACATGATCATACAATGAACCAATTCCCATTCCACCAGCCGCTGTAGGCCCCGCAAAACTCATTATTGGATCTGTATTACTCTGTAAAATAATTAATCCAGACAATAGATTGTGCAAATCATCCTCTTCTGCGATTGGACGGGTTTCATTTGGTGTTGAAGCAGTAACATCTGTGTGAACCGAAGCTGAACGTTTTAATATAGACGCCTTTTGTTCTTTTAAAAGTTGTTGGCTGGAGCTTATTAATTGGCCTGAAATGAAGAAATTTTTGGTGTATTAGAAGAATAAACATACGAGGATCTAATAAATGGTTGAGAATGCTTTTTGGCTCTGGAAATTTGACAAGTTGAGGTCTTTGAGTATCTTCTCGAACAGGAACATATGGAACGAGTGCTGAAAAGAAAATAGATTTATTTCGCAAAAAAACTATCAATTTTCAAACCTGGCTGTGCAAAAACCATCGGTGGAAGAGGACAAATCATTTCAGAAATATGCATCAAACGAGAAAAAGTAGGTTGATAAAATCTCATTGGAGCAGTCAATCCAGCCATTACTTGACTCATCATCGAATTAATTTGGGCATAATTTTTCTTCTCTGAAATGGCTAAAGTCGCTAAATTCTCATTAGTTCCATCTCTTCTTAAACGATGCATTGGATTAACTGATTTACAATGACGTTCGAAAGCATCATTATCAAACAAAAGGCACATATCAGCATGATCCATTATTGAGTCGAGAGAAAGTACAATATTGTATGGAGCAACTAAAAAATAATTCTTTAATTAATAAAAAATAGTTTGACAGACGTGAAGAAAAAACTGTTAGGGCAGGGAAAATACAAAGAAATTTTCAAAATTAGCCCTTTATTGTTAACTAATAATTTATTTCGAAATTCGATTTGAAAAATACACAAAACATAAAAAATAATTACCTTGAACATTACAAGTCAAAAGCTGTACAGTCGAATAAGTCTGGATTAGATTCTTCCCATATCTAAACGCATTTGAATAAAATTTTTATATTATGTCCGAACCTATCACGAAGCTCCTGAAGTATTCTTGAGCCAAGTCCAGATCCAGTGCCTTAATTAATTTTTTAAATAACAAAATTAAAGACTTATTTAATAAAAACCTCCAAGTATAGAATGGCATATTGCAAAGCCTTCAAGATTATCTGCCTTTTCTGCCTCAGTTTCAATTATTTGCAAAATGCTTTCAACGACCTCAGCTCCTTGATTAAAACCTTTTGCCCAATTGTTTCCAGCGCCACCGCCAGTTGGACCTTGATAAACATTATCAACATCAAATAGATCAGAATATTGATTTAATTCGCAGTTGCAGATTTCGCCCAAAACACGCGGTTCTAAATCAACAAGAACTGCACGTGGTACCCACTTTGCTCCACAATTCGCCTGAAATTGTTAAACATTTTCCCCGATTTTTATAACGTTGAAACCTCGTTGAAGAAAACATCTTTACAATCTTCGCCTTTTCTATCCTCTTTTGCAATATGTCCTAATGGAGAAATTCCATGCTCCGCGCATAACCGTTCCCAAAACGCCATACCTAATTGATTTCCACATTGACCAACCTAAAGATAGAAATAATTCGAAAGAGCTAATTAAACAGCTACCAAACCTGTACTGTTATTATGTTGTTTGGCATGTATACAATAGAAAAGATTAATTTAAAAAATCGTCAAAGTAAATAGTATAGATTTAAAAAATATATTAAAATAAATTAGGCAATTGACCAAAAATCAAAAAAAAATTCCGGCAAACTTAACATTCAAACAAATAAAATATATAAATTTACGTAAATATTTTTTTAAACAAAAAAAAAGAAAAAAAGGTTAACTCAAAATAAAGATGAATTGAGATGCGTAACAGATAAAAAATATTTAATCAAGCCCAAATCAAAATCAACGACGCAAAGCAACAAATTGTTCAAAAATTTGACGAATCCTTGGGCCAATTGTTGGCGAAGAAAATAATTCTTGTTCCAAATCGTTTGAAAATTTCCACATATTTGCATCATGCTAAAAAATTTAAAATATAAATTTCATATTTCACATACCTTCAAAAATATATATTTGAATCGTCCAGACACATAATTATAAAAATTTGTCTCTACATCAGTACCATCTGTTTCGCAATTCAATAAATGTTCTGTTAGAATAAGTGTAAACTTCTGAAAAAATAGAATTTATTTTTTATTATTTTAAAAAGCTAACTAACGTGACAAATATTAAGAAAAACACTTCGAAGAACCTCATCTACTTGTTCAATGTCATTTTTAATTAAATCAATTTTGTCTTTTGCTTGAAATATCTGAAAGAACAAGGATTATTATGAGTTAAATCATGTAAATCCTAATTTTACGATGAAAATAAAAAATCTATCTAAAAGATATTAATAAATTTTCTAAAACAAAAATTCATAAATAATCAATAATATAAAAATTACAAGTTCATCCAAGTCCAAAAGATCCACTCCTTCTTCTCTTCGCTTTTTGTTTTGTTCACTATTAATATTAGTCGAATCCATAGCATCATCACCCGAGTTTAATTCAGACGAAACTTCTTTAGCCCTTCCGCATTCCACTCCATTAATATTTTCTTCAGTAGTAGTTTCTCCCTCTTCCCTTTCATTATTTCCACCTTCCGCTAAATTCCCGTTCCTTTTTTGTTGTTCACGTTCACTATTACATGCTTCAAGACGTTTCAAATAGCCGCAAGAATAATTTAAATCACGTGAAAGTTTATTTCGACGCCTATCCAAATGAATAATTGCAGCGGTGAGTACGTCCCAGACCCAAGTTCTAAAATAGTTTTAACACGATAAAAATAGTTTAGAAATAAATTTAATTTTTTACTAAAACATTCAATAGCCACCTTTTAAATTCAATCTTCATCTCCTCAGAAAAAACCCAAGCCTGTACAATTGCTGGTTCTAAAATGTTCATTTTGATCATTTTATCAACGAGAACTGTCATCATCTAAAATAAAATATGTATAAAAAATCTTATTTGTAAAATTAGATACCTGTTTATTTAAACTCCAAGAATCATAAAGTGTTCGCAAAATAATCGATTGCATTGCTTCATTGTTGATTGTTAGTGTTGTAAGTGTTGTATGATATCTTTAAATGGAAATTAGAATTTAAATTTGATCTATAAATTAATAAAATTACCTAGTAAGAGCGGCAAACGAATGCGTTAAAGTTTTCGATGCTAATTTGAGCAAAACCGCAAAAAACACGGAAAAAGAATCTTCAGAATAAACATTTTTGTCTTCCATCTGTTCGTCTTCGTTTGCATTGTTTTCTATCAATAAAGCGAGTATCTCATCATCTTTCGCTCTTTGTGTTATAAGTTCTTTGAACTGTTCAGCCTTTGAAAATGCTGGATGCCCTTCTAAAATAGAAAATAAAAAAGAAAATTAAATAAAAGACTGAAAACAACCATCATCTAAAACATAGCTAATTACAGGCTCATCAGGTATAACTGGACCAAATTCACCAGGAAGCAGTTCAACAAGCTTTTTGTGATAAGATAATCTCAAGCATCTATCAATAACTTCTCTAACAAAAATTCGTTTAGGATGTAAAGAATCAAACTTAAAAATTTTACGAAATTTATGAGAAAAACAAATTAAGATAAACCTCAATACATTCTACCCAATCACTCCAAGACCATCGATATTCAAAGTTGGAAAGGTGAAAGCTGAACCAATCGACAAATCTAAATTAAAAAACAATTGAAGGTAGTGGTTAGAGGCTGAATAGAAAAGACCGGCAAAAGAAACAATTATTTGAAATTATAAAATTAGTCAATTCCCGCCAAAATTATTTTCAACAAGTCATAAACAAGCTGTCGATTTAATGGGCAATTTTAAATCAAAATCCGTTCTGAATAAATCGAACAATTAAAGAAAAAAACCTGTCAATGCAGGTAATTTGCATAGAATCGACTCTCTGAAATAAAAGTTCCGCGGCCATAGCTAAAACCTGAGGCATTGAATTGGATTGACTACGACAAAGTTCAATTAAAAGAGAACCATAAAAAATTTCCTATAAAATTTAAAATTATTTTAAAAAATATTCAAAAAAAATTATACACAATGAGGCGATTTAGGCAAACGAAAAAGTTGACTAAAAATAACTTCAGTAATCATATAATTTAATGGAATGGCCTCTTTTCGGTAATAACCCAAAAGAGCATCTGCACAAGACTTTCTATCAGTATAATTATTATCAATAATCCAATTTAAGTCTTCCTCAACCAAAAAACGTTCAATCGAATCATCTGACGATAATGGTGGTTCCTAAAAATTAAATAGAAATGCATTGTAAAAGAAAAATTAACGTCTTCAGGAAGTTCTGAGACACTAAAAAGTCGAAAGACAACACGAGGAAGTGGATAATTCTTTCCCGCAGTAATAATCGAATTGTCCATACTTAAAAGGAAGAATAAAATAAGTTAATGGTAGTTAAATAAGAAACAAACCAAGGAAGATCATGTTGGATTGCATCTTTCAAAGAATTATTAAACGAGACATAGATTCGTAGAATATGCTTCTCAAGCCAATTGGAAGCACTAAACTTTTGTATTTGCATCCAAAGGCTGTCCAGATAATCAGTTTGTAAAACTTTTTGATCCGACCACACTTGCAGCATCTAAAGAATAAAAAAATAACATAAAATTTTTTAGTATAAAAAAGCAAATAAAACCGAAGTGTGCAGTTTCTTTCTCTTCCCAATATAAAGATCAATCCTTTTAAGAAGTAAATCAAAACGTTCTGGAGAATCTTCATTAAGTGCAGTACCAATCCAAGGAAGAGAATGTAAAACAGAATAAACGAAAAAGTCAGATTTAATCTAAAAGAAATGTTTTGAATTATAAAAAAATTACTTTTATTAAAAAATTTTTCTCACACTTTCCTCTGCAGCATTGTCAATAAAATCCTCAAGGAAATCAAGAATTGAACTTAGCGTAAGAACACGGGAATTGCCAAGATCACACAAAAAGGCAACCTAGATTTTAAATTAAAATATAGAAAAATATTTAAAAAATTCATACAAGACGAATGAAAATTTCATATTCTTCTTTGACAAATAAATTGTGCAACTCTTTCAAAAATTTTGATATTAACTAAAAAAATATTAAGAATTTGGCTTATTTAAATTACAAATATTAAAATAGTTTAATTGTTATTTATGAAAGGAAGCATGTTTCTTAAAGATTTCCAATTAAGTCTTTATTTGGAAAAGTCTCAATAGTTACAGCAGAATCTTTGTTGAATGGATTAATATAACCCCTAAAATATAAAAAGTTACCGCTTTTCCAAACGCTTCAGAACGAGCATTTAATAAACCAACAAGAGTTGAGAAAACAGTAATTTTTTCAGGTAAATAAGCAGCACTACAAAACAAAATACATTAAAAACCAAAATAAACTAACCATTCGAAAAGTATATGAATTATTTGTCCTTCATAAGGATCTAAATTAGACTCCAAAACTGAAACTAAATCTTCAAGAGCAGTTTCCACAGTACCACCATTCAAATCTTGATCAAGTCTTTTTATCATATTAACCAATTTTGGTCCAATATCACCACCCGCGGGCAGACGTCGCTTTTTCGTATTATCAAAAACTTCCATTTCTAAAAGTTTAACAATAAATCAGAAAACATCCAGCCTTACCTTCGTCTAAATTGCGTCTTTTTGAAGATACAGAAAAGTGGCCCTCAGTTGGTAAGTCAGAATGCATAGAATCAACGTCCACTATAAATGTTAAACTGGAAACATCAAAAAATCCTTAAACTATGATTGAAAGAGGTAAATATGAGAAACTTGCAACAAAAAACAACTTTAATTAAATACAAATCTTTACCATTTTAAACACCAAAAATAAACTAATGAAAAAAATAAAAATGAGCGATTTTATTTAGGCATTAAAAGAGGCGGTGCTGGTGGGGGAGGAAGTAGTGGAGTGCAAAAGACATCTGACAAGGATTCTGAATGAGAGGAAGATGAAAATTGTTCAAAAGTCTTTTTCGTTTTGTCAAGCAAAAATGGTGGTATAGGCGCAGGTGGTAATGAAGGTGGAATAGGTGGTGGAGGTACCAACATAGATGCCAGTGAAGTGACCGAAGAAGTGGTTGACGGTTTATCCTTGAAATATTTAAAATAAAAAGTATAAAACTTTTTTTTAATTAACCATAAATAGAGAAGTAATTTGTAATATCTGTTGTTGTTGAAATTCTTGAGTTGGAATGTGTAAATTAGACCTTTGTGCTGTTATAGTATCAGAAAAAATGCTTGATGAAGATTTTGAAGTGAAACCAACCATGTATGATTCAGAACTTGAAGGAAATGATGATCTGTAAGTGTATATTAGAAATATTTTAAAAAATTCTAACCCAATGTCCGTAATGTTAGGCAACAATTTTTGAATAGAAGGCAGTGGTGGAGGTGGTGGGAGGGTAGAAGTTGATGAAATTGTTGTGGAAGAAAACCCGCTTTGGGAAGGCTAACAATAAGTAAAAAATTTATTAAAAATTCAAACTAAAAAATCTTACAGTTATTTTAATCTTTATATCCCTAAAACCAAGCATTGGTCCACTTCGTTTAAACGGTTGTCCACCTTTAGTCACACCAATATATTTTTCGCTATCCTCCTCCGCTTCCTCAGCCTCCCGTTCTTTTGCCCTTTTTTCTGTTCGTTGTTTCCAACTTTCATGCCTCCCTAAAAGATAAATTTTTAATTGAGAAGTCAAACCCAAAACAATGATTGCATAAACTAGATATATGAGATTAACAATAAGTCCTAAAAATATTGTAAGCTATAAATTACGCTGGGTTCAGAAACGAAACGAAATTCAAGAGAATGATGGTTATCTTATTTCTTTAGCCTACTAATTTCCAGACATGATTGATTATACATAATATAAAATAATTGGTAAAAAATTAATACTTTGAAAAAGTTCCTCTTTGTCAGCCTCATCTTCACTACTACTAACTTTTTCCATTAAATGCGCTGTATTATCTGATGGTAGAAAACCTCTCTTTGGCTAAAAATTAAAATAAATTTTAAACATAAAATGAATATACTCGAAGTAATGGAGCAGAAGAATTAGAATTTTGTTGTTCCAAAGCTAATGCAAAAGTACTACTCATCCAACGAACAAATGGAACAGGGGCTGAAGAAACTTTAAGCTGTTCATCCTCCATTTGTTTAGATATTGCTTAATTTTAAAATAATAATAATAAAGAAAATTTTAAAATCAAAATATATTTTATATGTTAAATTTTATAAGAACTATATAAAGATGGGGAAGGAAAATAAATTTATGAAATTAGCAGCAGCTATTTAGTATTACTGAAAAATTGTTGAAATATATCAAAAAATTTTCCGAACAAGTCTTTAAAAATTGCATAGAGTAAATTTTCAGGTCTCTAGCTATCAAAACAAAACTTTTGTGCATAAAAATAAAAGTTACTAGCTAATTGTTCCATTGATTTTGTTTTTATTGCCTCCAATAATTCTTCACCTTTTGGTAATTTTCCTTCCTAAAAATAAAATTTAAGTATAACTAAAAAACAATAGAAACCATTGCAAGTTTTGTTGCATTTTGTGTCGCAATTTCCAAAAGTTTTTTTCTATCAATTTTTCCACTACTGTCGAGATAACCAGATTTAGGGCGCAATGGGCCATAAAAACGCATAATACCACGTCCTCTTCCACGACCACGTCTGCAATCAAAGTTGAAAATTAATTCAATTAAAAATTTTTATTTACCCTCGTGCACGCATCCCAGGAAGGAAGGTTCCTCTACCACGACCCCTCCCACGAGCTGCAGCTTTAAAATAAGCGAGTGCCTTGCGCCCACCTCCAGGTACATATGGCTTCCGTAATGTTGATACCAAATTGGGATTTCGGCCTCTAGACGATAAAGGAAAGGAACTGGCTGCCTGAGCTGCTTTTTCTTTTTCAATTTCATACCTTAGAAAATATTAATATAAATAATTAAATGTAAAATAGATAATTTGGTAAAATATTTAATTTAAAATAAAGAAGAATGCAAAATTTAAAATGAGCATAAATGACGGAAAATAACGGATAACAAAAAATCGTTTAAAAAGGAATATTTTTCCTTATTTTTATTTAATTTTAAGAAGAAATAAAGCAAAAATTAAAATATTCTTACATCCGCCAAGAAGAAACATCCGGACCATAATCACGAAGTTTCGGAGCTTTCTCTTTTTTCTCGTCATCACTGCTTTCACCTTAACGAAATTTAAAATATTTAGAAAATAATTTTAAAAAAATGACTTGTATATGAACGTTTAGTGTCTTTTGAATGACTTAAAGTCGAAGATGATCGTTTACTACTGCTGCTACTCGCTCTAGAATGTGAACTTTGTGATCTATTTCTTTCAGTTGATTTTGTCGGAGAACGTGTTCTTGGCGAATGTGGTGGCGAAAACGAACGGTCGCTGTGATGACTAGCCCTGAAATGAAATTTATAAAAAAAAATTTGGACAAGTTTAACGAATAAATGTCAAGGAAAAAATATTTCAACATTAATTAAAAATACTGGTTAATTTTTAATAAATATAAAAAAACCTAGACTCCGATTCAAAATTAGACCGTAACTTCTTTGTTTCAATCCTCCCTTCTTCTTCTTCCTCCATTTCTTCCTTGCTTAAATCTTCATTCAACTCTTCAGTTACATGTTTCCTCTTCCTTTTTTTATGTTTAATATGTTTTTCCTTTTTCCTATAAAAAATTTTAATTAAAAAGAATACTTCATTAAAAAAACTTTTCTGCCTTCTTTCTTTTGTGCCTTTTTATTTCTTCTGATTTTGAAGTTTTTACTCTTTTTTTAGTATCAATATCATCATTAGATATATTTTCTTCATTTAAAGTTTCCTCAAAAGCATTCTTTTTATTTAACTTTATTTTATGCCTTTTTTCACGTCTTAATCTTTTTGCTTCCTTTTTTAAACGTTTTGCTGCTTTCCTTGCTTTTTTCTAAAATTTAAAATTTATTTAAAAATAGTAAATTTTTAAAGAATAAAAAATAATTTGTTCAAACAATACAAAAGAAAATATTTTTAATTTCTCTTGGAAAATAACCATTTAATAAATTAAAAATACAAACTTTAGCTCTAGCTTCTGCTTTATCTTCAGAAAATTCTTCTCCCAAATCATTTAATTCTTCCATTTCATTATAATCAAAGTCTTCTAGATTCTCGTCAAATTGATCTTGTTGTTCTTGTTCTTCACTTTCTGCATTTTTTTCACTCACCGAAACATTCTCGTTGCCAAAGAATTCTTCATCAGCCTCACTGACTTCGTCAAAACTTATCATTTCTGAAAAAGAAGAAAGCCAAAAAAACCTGAAAAATTTCCCTAAATTTTAATTCGAACAGTTTAAATGGAAAAGACAAAGAAAAGGAGGATTAGATTTATTCGTAATGGTCGAAAAACCAAAAAGATATGGAATTGTGTCAGGACTCAACCGGCGGGACTCAATGATCCACTTCATTGTAGGGGACGTTTCAGAGTAGAGCAACTCAAGGCCGTTTCGGAGTAGCCGGTTCAGAGTACGGCAAGAATTGGACATTTCAGAGTACGAAAGTTTTTGGAAATTTTGAGAATTTTAAGTACGAAGGTCGATTTTTAAGTAATTTACTTCCATTTTAAGTAACACCTGGGTTATTCACCCATGTTTTTATTGTAGTTTCGGTTTTTTTACCTAGGTGTTTTTATTCTTTATCAGTAAATAATAGTTCAGTAAGTGGTAATAACAAAATGCATTAATAAAAAGTTTTTAATAAAAAATATATTTTTTTTTCCAATTTTATTCTAATGCTGTATTAATTGTGACTTCTGAAATTGGTCGATTTGGACGTGTAATTTTAAAAAGCAGAATTTTGAAATTTTCGTAGAAGCTAACCAAATATCCGCTTCCCTAAAATAATATTTAAGTTTAGAACACTCTTCTCTTTTTTTACTCTTGTATTAGCAAAATTAGCCCCAACAATTGGCATATTATCAAAACGTTGTCCATAACGAAATTCTATCTAAAAATGACAAAATTAGATTATCATTTGATTTTAATTTTTAAAAGACTTTATAAGCATCAGGATTTCGTGAATGTAATTTCCAAATTCGTATATAAGTATCTTCACTTGCTGATAACTTAATTAATTAAATTAATTATATAAATTCTTTCCCTTTTTCTCCCTTTATTTACAATATATCCCTCCGCCTTTATATAAAATATTTACAAACAATATAAGCAGATTCTGTAGCAACCGCCAAAGCTGTTATTTGTCTAAAATGTGCATTAACTTCTGCTAATAAAGCACCACTTGTGGCAGAATAAACAGAAATCTGTCCCAATAAATTCCCACAAAATACTTGTTTTCTTAGAATATTTATGACTGACAATGGCTGACTAAAAATTTTAAAAAATTCTTTTACTTTAGAATTTACAGAAAATTAAATTAATCAAGAATTAAACATAAGAAAAAAAGCAACTAATAATTAAAATTTCAACGACTTACTTTGTGCTAATTCTCTTACTGACGGATTTTAAGTTTTTTGTCCAAACTAGTATATTTCCTAAATATTTTAAAAATTATTTTAAAAAATTTCCAATATTCAATTAAACTTTTTGACAAATTTACTTATAAAAAGAAGAAAATTCCCTTAAATTGCTTAAATTTTAATAATCATTCCAGTATTGTTTATCTGTATTTTTTATGAAATTTTTGATTTTCCTTGAATGTAATTAACTAAAAATATGTACATAACAATCTCCTAATTTTTTGTAAATTAAAAAAAATATTTTTCAATAATTAATTACCCCCAACATCACCAGAAACAGTAATTAAATCAAAACTACAAGAAGCAATATCAGTTATAGGAGAATTATGTTCCTTTAAATTCTTTTTTGTTTGAAAATTATTTTCACTATTACAGGCTATTTGGATTATTTCTCCAGAATTACAACCTTTTTAATTTAAATTTTATTTAAATTAATTTAAATTTTTCTTTAAATTTACCTACAAGTATTATACTTTCAACACAACTTATTCCTTTAAAAAAATAAATTATTTTTTAAAAAATTTAAAAAAACAAATAACCAACCTCTAGTAAAAGGTGTTGATTTTAATGTTTTTTTATTATCTTTACAGGTTAATAAAGGATCTGAAGTTTGTTTTGTAAATAAACATTTTCTTGTTATGAAGTCAAATATCTACATTTATTTTTAATTAAATTTAAATAAAATTAACGTTAAATATATGTCCCTTGAAACTTTATTTCCTTAATTAAAACGTTAAATTATAATAAAAAGGATGTCTAAGAGAGGTTACTTTTTAAGAAATAATTTTTCTAACCGAAACAAAAGTTCCAGCTAAAATAATAATTACAGGAATATTACTTCTGTTTGATGGTAAAGCAACTAAAATATTATTTAAATTGATTTTAAATAAATTTTTCGTTTCAAACCATAAATTTGCATTAAACAAATCGGCTTTTCACCAGCCTCTCCAGCACTTTTAGCTATTTCTTCTTCACTTAATAATTCACAACAATCTTGCTCCATTTTTTCATTCCAAGATAAAAGTTGGACCTTTTTTGGGGAAAGAAAGAATTTATTTTTGAATTTTTAAATTAGCCCAGCTTCTTCTTCTCCATTTGTCTACCCTTTTAAAATCAAAATTATTTTTACTAAACTTTCGTTTTTCCTTTTTAGTTTTCTAAAAAAATTAAATTTAACAAAATAAAATTAACCGCATCCTTTCCTAAATAAGCAACATAAGTCTGTCCTTTTGTTTTATGATTATATACAGATAAATTGTTTGAAAGAAAAGCAGATCCTGTCTTAAAAATATTTTTTCCTAAAATTTTTTACTTTCCAAACCTTTACTGGAAATTCAAATGTTGGTTCGAACATTTTAAAAAATAAACTTTTTAAAGTTTTTAGAATAAAAGAAAGGGGGAGTTTAAATGTTGTAGTGAAGGTAAAAATAAAGAAAAATAAATAAAGGAAATAATTACCATGGAGATATTAAATATTAAAAATAAGTAATAGAAAATTATATAATTAAGAAGAAAATTTTTAAAAATTATTTGAAATAAAATAGAGAAACAAATTAAATTTTTGTTTGAGATTATTAACTTTACAAAATTTTTAATAACAATCTACTATGTCAACTAATAATTTAAATAAAATTATCATAAATATTATTTTTTTAATTTAAATTTAAAATCTATTTTTTATCATTTTATTTTACATCTTTACGGCAGATCATTTTAACTGTTTCGATAAAAAACTTTCCAAAGTTTGGAAAAGGAGAAGTTTATTGAAACTGAGGAAATGTTTTCCTTCCCTCCGATAAATAATATAAAAGACTTGAAACAAAAAATCTCTCACTTAAGTCTAAGGTCACCACTTGCTCTTGTCACAACAGACTGGCATCTTCAACAACCAATGAGGGAGGAGACAGGTATTCAGAACATTTTTTTAAGCAAAAAATAAATTTATTTTTTTTAGATAAAAAGAATTACATCGAAGAGCGTGATGTCACAGTTGAGACACAGGACAAAGAGTTTGGTCTCACATTTTTCGATGGGAGCTCACCGCCGCGAATAAAGGAGATTGACATCCTTTCCTGTTTTGTGGGGATTCTGCTTGTTGGAGACGAGATTTTGCAGATTAACAAACGGGTGGGTTTCTATAAAAATTTAAAAAGATTGCAATGTCAAAATTAGCTTTTTAAGGATATAAAATCGCCACAGGACATCGATGAAATAAATCATTCTCCCATGGAAGGACTCAGGAATTTTCAGGTCCGCCTTCGCAGGGATAACTTCTACCGTCTCCTTGTTCTCAAGATCACTAAAATCAGACGAAAGCCACATCGTTTTGCTATCCTTCTACAGGCGAGGTGGCGACAGGACATTTCTCTTGGACTAATAGTGACTGATAAGGTTCGTCATTTTTGTCAAAGTATATAGCGTAAAATTTAGAGAGAGAATGTTGTAGTATGTGACGTTAAGGCAAGCAGTTTGGCAGTAAATCACTTCTATCCAGGCGATATCATAACTAACGTAAATGGCGAGAGAGTGACTAGAATGGCTGAAGCCAAAAAGGTGCTAGTTATTTTAAAAAATGGAACAAAAAACCTTTTTTCACAGGCCATACGAACGAGTATTGCCATGCAAAATACTGTTACTCTAAGGATTGTGCGAGACATCCCTCCATTAAAAAGGATCACTGATATGGCCGAAGACGCGCGTTCCATCCTTTTGCGTAATGCCGGTTTCTGGCGTCGAGAGTGCATGCTCAAGTCTATTGAAGAGAAGGGAGAAGTAAAGCCTCAACGAGGTAAATAGAATAAATAACTTCCTAAGCTTAATTCCAAAATTTCAGTATATTTTGTGCCCAAAATCGAGTCTGTGCCTTTTCCAGTTGACGAGACAGGGAAAGAACTTATCGCAACACCAAGTCGAGCTGGCGGGTCAATAGTAGAAAACTCTTCAGAGGACGAAGATGAAATTGAAGGGGAAAGGGAAATAATATTCCATGAGGATGAAGATGACGAGGATATATAATGGAGAGAATAATAGAGAGGACTGATAAAACTAAATTCTCATTTGTTTTTTTTTGTTTTCCTAAACATTCTCTCTTTTTTGTTTTGCCTTATTTTTTTGTTTGGTAAATTATTTAAAAAATACTTTTTTTTGTTTTATTCTTTTAAATTTCTGGAGAATAAAAAAAAAGTACTAGAAAAAATCCATATATTAACGTAGCCAAATGCTCTATGTATAGACTTTTTTACAGCGTTCTACTACTCACGTTTTTTTCAATAAATAAGAAGAATAAGGCAATGACAAAGCGAAAATTGGCAAGTAAAGAAGAAAAAAACGGAAAATTTTTTGCCCATTTTTTCTCTTTTATTTTCTTTTGGCATTGAATATTGAGTCAATTCTTCTTTTTTCCCTTGATGGATACTTTTACAATAAAAACAAAAAATAAAATTTTTTAAATAAAAATGTTCTCAATATTTGGTTTATTACTTTTACTTTATAATTCTCTCGGTCAACATCAAGGGGTTGAAAAAGCTTTGCGTAAATTAAAAGAGTCTGTTGATAGATTTGAATTTAATTTCCATAAAGCTGTTTTGGAAGAATATGGACAAATTGGAATGGTTAAATCTGTAAGGGCTAATTTAAAAGGAATTTTTAAGAAAAAAAAAATTAAAAAAAGGCATTGGAGGAACGTGCAGAAAGGCATTTTAATTTACTTGACCAAACAAATATTGACTTTCCTGCAGCGGTAATACAAACAGAAAAAAGAATTGAAAACTTTTTTGCATCAAAAGTAGGGGCATTGAAAAGGTTAGAAATTTTGAGAAGACGGTGGTTGGTTCGGAGAATGGGAGTATATTTATAACGAACCTTTTGGGGGTTCCCTAAAAACTAAAGAATAGGAATAAAATAAAGGCTTCCCTTAAATAAGTTTGAGGAACTCGATCGTTATAATGAGGAAATACAAAAAGGGGGTTTTCTAAAAATTTAATATTTTAAAGGCTTGCATTGGCAGCGGAGAAAGAAGCTTTAAAAGTTAATATTGATGAGGAGTTACCAATAAGTCTTACAGACAAAGAATGTTCTCGTAATTTGAGACAATTAAATAAAAATTCTGTTAAAAATTCACAAATATGGGAAAGAATAAATAAAGGAGAATTACAACAACGTTCTGGTGTTCATGTAAAAATTTTGAATATTTTAAAATAAAAATTATTAAAAAAAAGGTAGCTATAGAATCTTATAAATGTAGTGGGGAAGTAGTTAGAGATTTAAATTGGACAGGACAGCAACAATTAGAAAGGCAAATGATTGAAAATATAAAACTAGATTCTTCTATAATGAGGCAATATATTGGGACTTATAGTGGATTAACACGTATATTCCCAGGCAAGTTTTTTTTTTTCAAAAATATTTTCTGATTTTTAATTAGGTATTAGATTTATGAGAGGAATATTTGGGATAGTATGAGGGGAGGGAGGAGGGGGGGAGGATAGGAGAGGAGAGGAGGGGGAGGGGAGGTTGATCAGCTATAAATTATAATTTTTATATCAACGAAAGCCTTTGATAATTGGAATCTCTTTCCATGTTAGTAGAATCCGATAAATATTAAAAACAACAAATAAATACCACACAAAATGTTTTTAGGATTTAAATGGGATTACGGCACAGAACAATTTGGCGTTGATTTATTCGATCCTCGCTTCAGGCCTTGGTTTATTTCATCAGAGAGTTCACCTCGCGATGTTCTTTTTCTGTTAGATTTGAGTGGAAGTGCTAAAGGAATGAGTGCACATTTAATTAAAACGGCCGTTGGAGCAGTTTTACAAACTTTAACACCAAATGATTTCTTTTCTGGTATTTGGTATAATAGCAGAAGGGAAAGAGTTCTGGATAATTGTACTGGAACTTATGATTCTTTTGTACAAGCAACCAGTGGAAATAAAGTAAGGATAAGTATTTTTATTTTTGGGGAAATTAATTGTTTTTAAGACTTGCCATCGAATTTAGATAGTTCCTGCTCTTAGTTAACCTCGTTTTAAATGATATACTTAGTGTTTTTAGATCCGATTACTGTAAACCCGTACAAGTTTATTATTAGTTTGTGTTAAGGAAATAAAATTAATTTATTGTTTTCACACTATAATAATCTTTAATTTATAGCTTTTATTCCGCCGTTTATTGGATCGCGTAGAAGAGCGAGACCAAGCCTCACTTCCGGCAGCCTTGGAAATGGCTTTCGATGAATTTTTTCGTTCAAGTAAAAACAAAGACAACAATAATAATACTTCTTCTCCTCCTCAAAGAAGTGGAGGGCATAGTATTGTTCTTCTATTCACCGATGGAATAGAATTTTGGCCGGCAGAAGTAGTCCAAAAACTTCAAAAAGAACATCCCTCCGCTGAACCTATAAGAGTTTTTGGACATTCTGTTGGGCATGGAAGGGATGCACAAGCAGCTATTTCTTGGTTAAATTGTTGGACACATGCTGGACTTTCCCAAGCAGTTATTGGCTCTATAGCTGAAGTTAGAATGAAAGCAAGAGATCATTTAAAGAAGTTAAATGAAATATTGGCATTGGCATATCGGGACAAAGCCGCGAGTCCCGAAAATCGTCCAATTACTTGGTGTGTGTTTTAATGGTAAATTTATTTAGACGCCCCCACTTCTTGTTATTAAAATTAAATAACAGAGAGTTGACTCTAGCTAAGAGAAAACTAAATTTAACAGAATCTCAACAAGTCTTTAAAAATGTCCACATTTTCAGGACACCCCCATATATGGATGCACAGAAAGGAGGTCCTGTCTTAACTCTTTCAATGCCTTTATTAGGCAATCAACCAAATATTTACAATTATCTTGATTTTGCCAAAATTAATTTAACAAATTCATCACAACAAAATATTCATTTGGATGGGTTTATGGGAATTGCAGCGATTGATATTGCTTTTGAAACAATTGGAAAAATTTTATCTTTGGAGGGGGAATTTGATTTAACTCAAGCATATGCATTTATTGTGGACAATAATGGATTAACTTATTTCCATCCAAGGTTCTGATAAAGAATGACCTTTTTATTTTGTACATTCCCTCTCTATACTTTATGGGGAAATATTAAAAAAATAAACTTGGGAAAGATTAGAAATAAATTTGAATAGAAATTTGGAATTCCAGGTACTTTAAAGAACTTGGAGAAATTTCAATCCCAAGTTTGGAAAATGTGAGAAATAGTTTTTAGTAGAATCCAATTAATTTACAAAATAGTCCTCTAGTAGAAAGATACTAAAAAATATTTCTTAATATTACCAAACACTCATCCATTATTAATTTTTAAAGATTAAAAACTCCCCCAGCAGAAGTATTTAATGTAAGAAGAACACTTTGTCACCGAACATCTACATTAATTCGTTCAAATGTTCGAGTACCATTTTCTAGAGCAGATGAATTTATTCAACAACAAATGGGTTATATAGATTCAATTCCCCATACAGATATTTTAAAATTACTTGAATTAGATGAAAATTTTGAAGAAGAAAGGGAAAAAGAAGAGGATAAACTTTTAATTAAATTTAGAGAAAATTTAATTTTTGGAAAATGTTCACAAACACTCGAAGATGATAAAAGACAATTTCGTTGTTTTCCAATTCCAAGCACTCCTTTAATTGCTGGATTTGTGTTGAGGAAAGGAAGACCGAAAATTATATTGAGAGGGCAGCCGGAAATGGTTAGTGAGGAAATATATTAGTTAATAAATTTAAAATTTAAAGACAATTAACAGATTATATCTTTAAATTTTAATTTCCACTTTTACTTTTTTTATCAGGAAAATCCTTTTGAATTATCTGAACGCCTTAAATCGAGCTTTGTCAGCAACAGAAAAAACATTAAACAAATAAATTTACAATCAATTATTCCTTCATCTGTTGGATTATTACTTCGAGATGAGTAAGTAAAAGACACCCCAATTTCTAATTCCCCTCCTTCCCCTCCCTCCCTTTTTAATTTAAAGTCAACTCCAACAATTTCCAATGTCAACAGAACTAAGCCGCTTCAAACCTTTAAAACAATTTAATTATTTACTTGAATTACTTCCATCAACTTCAAGTATTGGTTATTTACTTCTCTCTCATTTATCAGTATTAGCTTTAAATGAATTAGTTCCTTTATGGTCAAATAAATTAGAAAAGAAATGGGAAAATGTTGATTTATGTTTAAATGAAAATTTAATAAAACAGAAACAAATATCGACAACGACAACAACATTTATTAGAACATTTTTAGAATTTAAATCTACAGCAATTTTAGGTTATCCAGGAATTGTTGCTGTTTTCCCTAAATGGTTAGTTGATGAAAGATTTTAATTTGTTGAGACATTTAATGAGTCTTTATGACAATATTTAAATATTTTTACTTTTTACCGTTTTGAGAAATCTTCACCAGTGGGGATTTTGTCTTTTTTGGTGTTATGAAAAAAATATTTCTATTTACTTTTTGTGATGCGCTAAGGAGTATAGTAGTTTGTAGAGAAAATATTTAAGAAGAGAGTGTGAAAATTGTCTAGTCTGTATGTTCTTTTTCTTTAAATTTAATGCTAATTTATATCACGTCTAAAATTTATCAATTTTGTTTGACTATTAAATGTGCTTTTGCCATCATCTTCGGTTATTACCCAATAATTTGAGGTAAAGCTTAAAAACATCATGCCCTCAAAGATCGAGTGGCTTTGATGCAAATTTTGGAATTGTGCTGCTTTTGCGGTGCTTAAAATTTTATGCATGAGTGTGTCTCATGGTATATTTAATTAGAAAAAACTGAACTTAGCCGTTTCAAACCTTTAATTTTTTAATTCCCTTTTATCTTTAATATTGTTTTTTAACAGTAAAGTGTCATCTATTCGTTCATTTCTTCATAATTCATTTGAGAATGACAATGGTTATGATAACAATGTGATTGTCCATTTTGACACTGAAAAAGAATTAATTACTGTAGAGCAGTCTTTTGGTGTGGTTGATCCATCACGACGTAATTCGTTGGCGAGAATTGGGGTTGGCATTTTTTAGATATTTTTAATTTTAGGTATTTTCTTTTAATGTTTCCCATTTTTCTATTAAATACATGTTTTTTAATTTACATTCTTGGAAACTGCGGATTCCTTTTTTGGGGATAATTTTTTTAAAATGATGTTACAGTTTGACTTGAATATGCCAAAATTACATAAACTCTTTATTTTAAATATAATGTTTTAAACTATCCATTTAATTAGAAATCTTATAAAAGATTTTACCCATTGTTCTTTAAAGAGAAGAAACCAAAAATCTTTTTTTAATCCTTTTTTCTGTGTTTTTATAATTTTAATTTCCTTTTAAAGGTTCAATTACGTTCTAATTATTTACAACAAAAATTCCAATTAGCTATAAAAACAAAAACAGAAAATGGTTGGACAGAATGTTCAACCACAAATAAACAACACAGAAATTGTTTATTATTAAATTCTGATTCTTTTGTTTTAGCTTCCAATCAAAATTCTGAATTTAGTCCTTTACATTTATCACAAATAGAACCAGAATTATTTAATGAATTTTTGGAAAGAGAATTAATTAAAAAGTATTTTTTTAAATTAGAAATTTGGAAGGAAGTATCTCTCTCCTCCATAATGTCTAGTCCTTCCTCTAATTTTTTTGGTATGATGCGACATATCTAATCGGCTTTTATTTGTCCTAACATTGCCTTGCTGCGCTTATTTTTTAGTTAAGCCAGCTCCAATTATTTGTTAACTTTTGAGATTTTGAATTTTTGACTGTCAACTTAAATTTAAATAAACTTTTAGAATAACTTGGAGAAATCCAAATTCTCTTTGCCCTATGATTCTCGAAACTTCACGTCTTCGACAACAACAACAATTTTCTTTACTCCAACAACAAAATTTGGACAATTCTTTATATTATTCTTCTTCTTTATTAAATAATTATTCTCCTTTTTTACAATTTTTAACTTTTCTTTTTTCCTGGTAATTTTAAAAATTAAAATGAAGAACGATTAGTTAAATGATTAAAAGTCTTTATCCTTAAAAACAAATTTAAATTAATCTAAATTAAAAAGCAATTAATTTCAACAATTCATTTAGTACTAATTACCTATTTTACTGACTTTTAAGTTTTTTGGTTAAAGGCCTCCTTAATGTATTTAGTTAATTTTTTAGAAATAGGCATTTTGTTAAATTTATTGATAAAAAAAGAAAATTCTACTTAATATATAAAACTATATTTATTAATTTACTTAAATTTTATTATTTTCTGGCAACTACGTAAAATTTACAATTTTAATTTTTTCGAATTTTTGGATCGGGGGGTTTTCGCGAGACCCCCTTAATTATTCAGTTTTGATGTGATAGATTAATTTTGATTCAAACATAATACATATAGATATGCATTTTAACTAATTTATTAAAAATTCTTTTAAATTCTAAAAAAATATTTATTTAAGGTTAGACTTTCTGATTCCTTCTTTTCATGTTTTTGCAACAAAAACAACCCAAACAGATCAATTTATTCCTTTAGAAAATATTGAATGTGACGATGAAGCTATAAATTCACAACCAAAAGAAATGCTTGAACATTGTATTATTGAAAAAACAAAATTTCGAATTAAATTAAAAGAAAAACAAAAAGGGGGGTCAACAACACCTTTTTGGATACGTGAAAAAACATGTAATCGGTTAGAAAATAAAATTTAAATTTTAAAAATATAAATCTGAAAACTTTTTTAAAAATTATTTTAAAAATTAACATTTCACAGAGTCTTTTTATTTCCCCTTTTTTTACATTTCTTTCCAAATTTTAATTTCTTAATACCCTTATTTTCTCTAATATTTAGAACCAAACTTTTCAAGAAGTATTGAAAATAAATTCACAAGTTATGTGTATTAGAAAATATTAAATTTAGCAGTTCTATAGTGAAAGTAAATTAATTAGTGAATAGAGCGATTTATTTTTCTTTCCTTTCAAAATCTTAAAAAAAAATTTTTTTTAAAGAACTGTTGGTTTATTGCCATTTACTAACTCCAATCTTTATTTATTAATTTTTGATGGTGAATGTTATAATAAAGGAAAATCATTTTCTTCTTCAATTCCTTTATTTAATTCAAATATTCGAGGCAAGGAAAATTTAAAAAAAAATAAATTCTTTTATTTTTTAAAGTTCCTTCCTGTAATTTATCTTTAGAATTACTATCTTTAAAAAGAAAACAAAGAAAAGATTTAGACTATACTCTCTCACATCCAAAGGTTTTTGGAAATAAATTTTTTAAATTAAATAATAAATTTTTTTCTAGGAATTTAATCCAATTTGTACAAGTGGGGGTAATTCAAATATTTTTAAGAAAAAACGAAAATATTTATTTGTGATGGTGCTTAATATAATTATTGTATTAATTGCCTTTTCATTAATTAATTTTTAATAATAATAAAAGTACTAATTTTTTTGTGTTTTTTTCCCACTGCTTCATTACAAAGATCTCTTCAAATAATTTTTTGAAGCTTTTAAATTCTTACCAACATGAATATTTAACCATTTCTTATTAAGTCATTTAATTATTTTAAAAACATGGATGCCATTTTACATAACTTTTCTATTAAATTTGAATAAGAAAAGGTCTAGTTTTGTAAGGAAGAGTCTAGTTTTGTAAGGAAGAGATCATCCGTGTCGGGCTAACTCAAGGAACGGACAAGTCAAGGAAAAGACAAATCAAGGAACGACCAACTCAAGGAACATACCAACTCAAGGAACAGACAAGTCAAGGAAAAGACAGGTCAAGGAACGACCAACTCAAGGAATGACCAACTCAAGGAATATTTTAAAAATCGAAATCTCTTGAAAAATCTGAATATTTTTAGAAAATAAGAATTTAAAAACAGATTAGAACACTAAAAAACAGAATTTAAAAAAAAATTATGAAAAATTCTGGGTTTCAAAAATTGTATTCTGATTTTTAAAATATTCCATGAATTGGTCATTCCTTGAGTTAGTCGTTCCTTGACCTGTCTTTTCCTTGACATGTCTGTTCCTTGAGTTGGTATGTTCCATGAATTGGTCGTTCCTTGACTTGTCGTTCCTTGATTTGTCTGTTCCTTGAGTTGGTATTCCTTGAGTTAGCCCCCACCCAAATCATCATAAACTAAATAGTAAATTTTCTGTGCTCTCGGCACATTTTTCACTTATACATAGATGGAAATTTTCACTCAAAATTCTGAAGTGAAAAATTTTGGCGCAGCAAAACAAACCCAAATAAAAAATTAGCCGACAAACTTCCCAAACACTCAACAACAAAAAAAACCTTTAAGCATCGCCAAAGCAATGCAATTCCAAAATTTATTCAAGCCACTCAGATCTTAGAGGGCAAGAAACAACTAGTACCTTAATACTAGGGTTTATAACCAAAGAGTATAACAAAAGTCTAAAAGAAAAGAAAAATTATTTTATAAAATTTAGACGGGATATAAATTAAAAGAAAATTACGAAAAATTGGATATAGAGTTGCATAACTCACACACTCTTTCTTTTAATTAATTTCTCTCTTTATAATAACATTCTTTAGCTTTGTTTTATAATGTCAAAAGGGAGAAATTTTTCAAAACATCGAAAATTCAAAATATCAATTAAAATATATTTATTTATTTTTACTGGCAAATTTCTTTAAAAATTTTTTAAACTTTTTTTTTATTTTTAGATATATAAATGGGTTCTTATCTTTACAAAATTTATCGAAGAATTTTATTAAATTGGCCAATTGATACAACAAAATCAAATGAACGTAATTTTCGTTTTCATCTCGAAAAACAACTAAATAAAGCTTTTGAACCTTCTCCAAGTGGACAAAATGACGAGAGAAATTTAAATAAAAATGTTAATTTTTTTAAATGCAAGGAACGTCTTGAAGGTTTTTTTAATTTAATAAAATGAACTATTTTCTATTTCTGTCGCAGTTTTTCTTCCCTCATTTCTAATTTATTAATTTATTTACAAAGATATATCTGTAGGTTAAGATTGGGAGGGATATAATGGAGTGGGTGACAGACCCTTTGCTGTTTACATTGCCGTTCTTAATTGTTAAAGTTGGGTTTTGTTAGAAAAACCCTAGACATCAAGAATGCCTCCACTTCAGAATTATTCAACTGAGATTTTCAAGGGAAAAACTCAAGTTAGGAAATAAGATTTAAAATTTGGTTACGGAAAAATTAAAACAACCTATTCCAATTTCGAAACTAATACAAAATTTTTGATTAAATATTTTTAAAAATCCCTCCCTTTGTTTTATTCCCCTCCCCTTTTTTAACCAAAATAATTCCAAAATTTATTTCTTAAAAGCTTTACAACGTCTTGAAAATAATCAACATTTTAATCAATTTCCTTTGCAATACACAGCTGGGGTTAATGGCTATAGACAAGAATTAATTCAAAAATTTAATTCTGATATTGAAAGGAAAGAAATGGGAATGTATTATTTTATGCCTGGATATAAACAAAAATTTGTTAATTTTTTGAAGAAAATATTTTTTAAAAAAGAATAAAGGTTTTTGTTTAGTTTTTTAGTTATTTTAGAATAAAAATATTTTTTTCTTGACACGATACTTTTTCTGAAATTTAAGGAAATTCTCATTTAACGAAAAATATTTTTTTATTTCTTAATAAAATTTTATAATTTTTCTTTTAAATATTTCAAGAGAAATATTGGCAATTTTTAATTTTTTCGAAGGAAAAAATTATTACTCCTTTTCCCAAAACACCAAAAATTTAAATAAAAATTTTATAGAAAATTTTTATTTTTTTTAAAAAACATTTAAAAACTAATTAATTAAATTCTATTTTCATTTATTATGGCAATTTTATTAATTTTCTTTTTTTTCTTCCCTTTTCAAACATTTTTTTAATTAAACAGGGCTAATTGGTGGTTCATAAGGATAAATATCTTTTAAAAAAATTTAATTTTAAATTTAAACAAAAAAACCTCCAGCATTTGGAGATCCTCCATAAGAATTTTCGTTTTTTGGGGGAATATACCAATCCCCGTCTGCAGGGGCGTGTGTCAATGTTTGTTTGTCTTCTGCTCTTCGTTTTTTAATTATAATTCCACTTTTGCCATATTTCCCAGAAAGTTTTTCATAAGCGCGATATTGCCTTTAATTAAATTTATTTAATTAAAATTATATATTAAGTGTTTTTAGGAGTAAATAGGTGTTGAGGATATATTGGGTGTTATTTAAGATTTTTTGTGTTCAAAACCCATAGCCAATTTTTTCCAATAAAAAGGTGAATTTTGCGCATAATACTGTGGCTTACACAATACTAGCAGCTCCTCCTCCTAATGGCTAACCAGATTTTAAAAAATGTACATTAAATTGAGGGTGTGTACAGGTTAGTGATTGTTTGGATAAGTGAGGGCTGGAAGTATGTACTTCTCTCCCCTACTCCCTCATCTCGTATAATTTAAACACTCATGTACTTTATGGGTAAGTAACCCTTCTTTATTTCAAAATAATAATTAATTACTTATATAATTGCCAAACAATATATAAAAAGAATATTTCAAGAATAGCAATAGCCAAATAAACAATAATAATCATTATTCCAAGCCAATGAGTTGCTTTAAAAGATAAATATTTTTTAATTAAATTTAATTAACAAACAATAATTTCTTTTATAATCCCCATGTCCAACTAAACGTCTAATTCCATTATAAGCACCAAAAAGAAGTAAAAGAGCAACTACAATTGCTACAATTATAAGCCATCCTATTAAAAATATCTGGAAAAAATAAAAATTATTTTTTTAATTTTGTTAAATAATTTTTAAAAAATTATTATTAGATAATACATTTGTTTGTCCTTATAATGAAGACAAAACTTTGGGCTTAAAAATTGTAACTTATAGGTATAATTATTCCACGATTCCTGGGAATTAAACTGGATATTACAAATAACACCACGCCCCTTGCAGGGAGCGACGTAGGTGCCAGCAATTCAAAGAGAAAATTTTTGTTTTTAAAATTTGTATTTTAATTTATTTAATTTTTCTAAAATCCCCATCTTTCTTTTTGGAATCTCAAAAGGATTTTTCTATATAATTTTAAAAATTTTCTTTTAATTAATCTTTAATTACCTGTGCAGAAATGTGTGGAATTAAAAATCTAGAGCTTTCCTTCTTTATAGCGTAAATTAATAATATAATAGCAATTAATATTATTATAACAGAAATAATCCCCAAAATAAACCAAATTACATAAGAACCTCCAAACATAAACAAATTATAGAATAATCCATAAACTGTTAAAATACACAGAAGAAACTCTACAAAAGCAACTACAAAACCAGCTGTCTAGAAAAATGAAAAAATTAATTTAAATAAAATTTTGGAATGGGGGGGGGGGGTGGGGGTGGGGTATTTTTTGGTAGATTTTTAATGTACAACTTTAATTGTCTTTTTTAAATTAATTTTTTATCGGTTCAAAACGGTTCAATATATACAGCCAAGATTTGAGAGAGCAGCTTCTCTTTTAAACCTTACATCTCGGGATACCTAAATTATATACTAAACTAAGATGTAGACATCAAAAGTGTATAATAAAGCGAGGTTCAACTGTATATAGTATTTGTCCAATCTCGATAAGAAGTCACCTCGAACCGAATTTTTAAGGAAAGAGACATCGATTTAAGATTAATTTAAGATTATTAACAAACACAATTTAATTAGAAATTTTTTTCTTATTCCTCAATTATTTTCTTTCAACCTTTTTGAGACGATCTGACAACCAAAATTATTGAAAAGAAAGGGTATAAACCAGACTTGCACACGGATACGGATATGGATACAAATAATATCAAAATGCCTGCGGATATCCGTCCGTATCCGCCGTAAATATCCGGATACGGATACCAAGATCAGTATCCGTGTGCAAGTCTGGTATAAACAAAGAAATTATTAACATTCAAAAATTATTTTTGTAAAATAAGAAAATTAAATCCTTTCTTATTTAAAAAAAAATTTATTTATTTATTTATTTATTTATTTATTTATTTACTCTAAGTGAAGAACAGCATATCCTTCCATCTTTTCTCCCACCATTTGCAGCAGCTTCTCTTTTACGCCTTTCACTGCTTGTATTTCTTGTTAAAGGTTTTGATGGTTCTTTAAATTTTTTACTTCCCTTTTTGGCCATTTTTAATTTATTAAAATAAAAAAAACTTTAAAAATTATTTTGTTTTTAATCAATTTGTATGTAGTAAATAAATATTTAAAAGGCCTCAAAAAAAGACTTAAAAAAATAATTTTACTCAGGTTAGATGAAAAGGAGGAGGAAGTTGGAAGGAATTTATTTAGAGTTTAGAAACAGAAAAGAAAAATAAATTTATGTTTAATTTCCAAACGATTGATTGAAAAAATCAAGCAATTGAGGTAAAAACGTGGGGGGAAGGAGGAGAAGAACAGAAATAAATAAATAAAAATATTTTTATTTGAACAAAAAAAAGAAAAACGTGAAAGAAAAGCCAAGAAAAAAAAGAAGGAACAGATTTTTCTTTTTTTATTTCTCTTTTAATCATCTCTTTAAAAGCATCAAGTTGAGGAGAAGAAAAAATGATCGAAAATATTTTTGTCTAAAAGTCTCGACTTTTGTTGTTAATCTCTCGAATAAATTCTAAGCTAATATTAGCTATATTTAAGCTAATATTTTAATTAATTATTTTAATTAAATAAAACAAATTTAGATAATTTAATTGAATATATACAACCAACTTTATAGGTAATTCTAACAATTTTTTTCTAAAAACAGAGACTCCATAGTGGTCATTCCAATGTTTTGTATTAGGAATTTAATATTTTTGTAATGTACATTTAATAAAAATATATTTTAAAAATTATTTTACTCAAAATTAAAAACAAAATCGAGGCTAAAATATATCGAGAAAAATATTTTCTTTCAAAAAACATATGGCCTTTAAATTATTTAAATAATTTTTAGAAACAAATGTTTTTGTTGTTCTAAAATTTTTTTTGAACATTTAGAGAGAACAAATAAATATTTTATTAGTAATTTTAAGAAGAAAAAAACTTTTTTTCTTTCACCGGAAGCGGCTGTTTGTTTTAAATAAATTTTTACCTTTTCTAGTTTTTCCATGCAATTTTAGAGGGAAAATAATTTTAAAAAAATTAAAATATTTAAAATTTTTTATTTTAATTTTTATTTCCAAATTAATTAATTTAAATTCCAAAACATTTAAAATTAAATTAATTATTGATTTAAAATTGTAAAGTAAACAAATACACATTCTCGCTTTTTTATTCCTTTTTTATGTCAATAAAAAAAAGAAATCTCTTGAGGGGTTTTTTTCTTTTATTTTATATTTAAACAAAAAATTTTAATCGATTACTAAATATTTTTTTAATTATTTTTATTGTCAAAATTTTTTAAATGACAAAAAATAATCTTTTTTTAAATTAAAAATCAAATATAAATTAATCAAAAAACATTCCTTCCCCAAATTTAAAAATTAATTTTTTTATTACTTTTTTAATTCTCTCCCCCCCCCCTCCAAATTTATTTTTTTTCTAAATTTTATTTATGAAAACACCGACAGACACGAGGACGTGCTCTTCGGACTTTGTTACTTCCCATAGGTTTATGTGTATATAAAAATCGAAATATAACCGCAGTTAGTAGATTAACGATTGGGGGGAAGTTAACAATTTGTGTGTGTGTGAATGTACTTACAATTAGTCTTTTTCCATGTCAAAATTATCACTTTTTTAAAAATCATATGCTCCACTTTTGTCCAGTTTATATTAAATGCTATAAAAAATACTTTTTATTGAACTCTGGACATTTCCTTTTTATTTTGTAAAAAAAATAATTCAACAAAAAATTAAATTACAATTCAAAAAACTTTACTAAAATTTTTAAGTTAAATTTTGTTTCTTTCCACAAAAAGAGATTTGCATTTAGAAAATGATAAAATAAAAAATCATATGCTCTCTTATTTTGTTTACATTTTAAACAAAAATAAATACACGAGGCAATTTTAAACAAAAATTGATAATACATATCAACACTTATTTTTTTATTTATTTCTATTTTTGTCATTAAATAAATGTGTACTTTTTAATTGTTTAGGAATTTAGGAAGAATACAAAAAATAATAGATCCACACATGCGCTTATATTTTTTGATCCTCTCGTAGGGTGTGCTTAATTAGGGAATGAGCTTCAAATAGAGAGTGTGGAATTGATTTTAAAAATATTTTATTTTCTAGTTGTGTCTCTTAATTTAAACAAAATATGAATATAAATTCTAATATTTGCCAAAAACATTTTTTAATTTTTAGAAATTTATTTTTAATAAAAATGTCAGCAGCAACAATATCATTTCCCCAACACCAACAACAACCAACAGCAGAAGCTGTCCCAACAATACCCCCACCATTTAAAGAAACTCAAGGGGCTTGTTCTTCTTTGAGACAAATTAGTGCTGATGCTTTTTATGTAATTAATGAAGTTGTTTTGAAACGTTTGGGGCCTGTGCCGATTTTGAAGGTAAAAAATGGAAGGAAGAAATTGTTTTTAAATTAGTAGTGGTGGGAATCAATGGGGGGTTTTAATAAAGGGTTTTAATAAAAATTTTTTAAATAATAAAAATTCCCTATTTTTAATAATAGGATAAAAATTCCCTATTTTTAATAATAGGGAATTTTTATATAAATTCTGAATTTTTAAAAATAAAATAGAAAAAAAAGAATATTTTTAATTTTAAAAATAATTTTAGGGCGATTTTCACTTACTTCCATTTAAAGTTCAACGTTTTGTAGCTGAAAAAGCAGAATTATGCCGACCAAGAGTTTAAATATATTTTTTGAATTTATTTTTATTTTTTCCTTTTTTAGGGGATTTTTATTTGTGACGGTTCTGAACACGAAGCAGAGGAAATGACTGATTTGTTGGTTGAAGTAGGGAGAGAATTATTTTTCAGAAAATAAAAAAAAAATAATTTTTTTTAAAGCGTGGAGTTCTTACACCTTTGACTGCTTATGAAAATAATTATTTATGTCGAACAGACCCTAGAGACTGTGCTAGAGTAGAAAGTAAAACTTGGATGGTTACTAGAGAGAAATTTGAGGTGAAAAAGATTTTGGGGGGAAGTTTTTTAAGAGAAATTAGAGGAGAAAGGATTCCCCATTAATTATAAAATCCTTAATATTTTCAATATTTTCGGTAGTAGAGTAACTGTCCCTTCTAATTTTTCGAATCTCATAAAATCTTACATACCTCTCTCTCATTCAGACAGTCACACATACTCCAGAAAATGTCGAGCCAATAATGGGGCATTGGATGTCTCCAATGCAATTTGCCGAGGAATTAGACGCTCGTTTTCCTGGATGTATGGCTGGACGTATTATGTATGTAATTCCATTTTCGATGGGTCCATTAGGCAGTCCTTTGTCTAAAATTGGAATTCAGGTAAATTAAAAAAGGGGGAATTTTTGGAAGAATATTTTAAAAAAAAGTTGACTGATTCTACATATGTTGTTCTTTCTATGCGTGTTATGACTCGAATTTTGCCTGATGTGGCAGAGGCTTTAGGTGACAAAGACTTTGTTAGAGGGATACATTCTGTTGGATTGCCCCGTCCTGTTAAACGTTTGAAACTAAAAATTTTTTTTGATTTAAAAAAAATTATTTTTTAAGAGAAAGTAATTAGTCATTGGCCTTGTAATCCTGGTAAATTTAAAATATTTTTTGAATTTAAAAATTTTGTCAGAACGTGTAATTATTGCTCATCGACCTTTAGAAAGAGAAATTTGGTCGTTTGGTTCTGGTTATGGGGGAAATTCTTTGCTTGGAAAGGTAAAAAAATAAGAATTATTTTTAAATTAATAATTTAAAAAATAAAAGAAGTGTTTTGCCCTTCGAATTGCTTCGAATATTGCACGGGATGAAGGATGGTTAGCTGAACATATGTGTAAGTTAAAATTAAATTTTTATATAAACAATTAGACTCGAAAGGAGGATAATCTTCTTCAAATATCCATAACTTTTTACAGTCATTTGTCTTTACTTATTTCGGGATGGGGAAAATATTCTTAAATTTATTGAAAAAATATTATTTTCAGTAATTATGGGTGTAACAAGCCCGGAGGGCAAAGAACATTTTATTGCCGCAGCTTTCCCTTCTGCTTGTGGAAAAACTAATTTAGCAATGTTAGAGCCAACACTTCCGGGTTGGAAAGTTCGTTGTGTTGGGGATGATATTGCTTGGATGAAATTTGATGAAGAAGATGGACGTTTTTATGCAATTAATCCTGAGGTAATTGGAAGGGTTGATCAGACTTGGAATTGACATTTCAAAAAAGTTCTTTTTGAATGAAATCTCTAAGTCTGTGAGAGAATGGGCTTAATGGAAAAATGAAAGTTTATTCTAACTTGGTAGGGAAATATTGTATTTAACAGAGCAAAAGGGATTCCCCAATGTTTTTTAATATTTAATCCTCAAATAATTTTTAATAATTATTTTTTCAATTTCTAGGCCGGTTTCTTTGGTGTAGCCCCTGGCACCTCAATGAAAACAAGTAAAAAATACTTTTTTAATTTTTAAAATAAAATTAAAAAGATCCAATTGCAATGGCTACTTTCCAACGTAATTCTATTTTTACAAATGTAGCAGAAACTAATGAAGGAAAAGTTTTTTGGGAAGGATTGGAAGATGAAATAAAAGATAGAGTAAGTTGTTATATCTAGATAAAATATTTAATTTTTTAAAAAAGGAGGATATAAAAATAATTGACTGGATGGGAAATGATTGGAAATTGGGAGAATCTACTACTCCAGCAGCACATCCAAATTCGCGTTTTTGTGCACCGGCAAAGCAATGTCCTATTATTCATCCAAATTGGGAATCCCCGAGTAAGTTGAAATAAAAATTATTTGAATAATTAATTGGTCTAATAAATAATTTAATGAATAATTTGAATACTACTAATTTTTGATACTACTAATCTATTAATTTTTTGTTTGTTTTTTCAGAAGGCGTCCCAATTGATGCAATTATTTTTGGCGGTCGTCGTCCCGAAGGTGTTCCTCTAGTTTTTGAATGTTTTTCGTGGGAACATGGCATTTTTACTGGTGCTTGTCTTAAATCAGAAACAACGGCTGCTGCTGAACATAAAGGTAAAAAGGAAAAGGAAAATTGCTTTGGAAATTTTGGAATTTTTAAGGAAAGACAGTTATGCATGACCCTATGGCAATGTAAACTTTTAATGAAATTAAAAAATAAAAAACAAATTTTTAAAAGGCGTCCATTTATGGGATACAATTTTGGTAAATATTTGGAGCATTGGTGTAATTTGAAGAAGCCTGGGCGTAAAATGCCTAAAATATTTCATGTAAATTATTTAAATAAAACAACAAAATTCTCTCTTTTTTAAAGGTCAATTGGTTTCGAAAATCATCCCAAGGAAAATTCCTATGGCCAGGATATGGTGAAAATATTCGAGTTATTGATTGGATTGTTAGACGTCTTGATGGAGATAATGGAATTGGAATTGTAAAAATTTAAAGAAAATATTTTTAAAAAATTATTTATTAGGAAACAGCTATCGGAACTATTCCAACAAAGGATTCTTTAAATTTGAATGGACTTGGAGAGATTAATTGGTAAAATAATAAATCCAAAAGAATTGGTTAAATCCAGTCGAACCTGATTTTTGGATATCCACTTATTTGTTAGTGCCACCAAATTGAGGATTATTGAGAGTTATCTAATTTAGAGTTATCTAAAAATGGGGTTCGACTGTAATATTACATAAATACGAATCTGGATAATTTTTTATCAAAAAAATTTTTAAGGGAAGAATTAATGTCTTTACCTCCCAACTATTGGAATGAAGATTCTAAAGAAGTTAGAAAATTCCTCGAGGAACAGGTAAAATTCTTTAATTTTCCCCGAAAAAGTTCCCATAATTTTAGGTTAATTCTGACCTTCCAGAGAAAATCCGCAATGAATTAAATGACCAAGAGAAACGTATTGCTTCTCTCTAAATTGACTTAACCTCTTCTTCATACGGCCACTAAAAATATATGGTTCTTAATTTAGTTTTAATTTCTATATTGACTTTATAAATAAATTTTATTTATAATAGAGAATTTATATTTTTTAAGTATTTTTACTTACTTTGAATAAATATTTTAATTTCATTGGGGTTTTATTTGGTAATATTCGTATTTGATTACTCCTTAATTCTTCCTTTACATTTAAATCTAGTGATAAAATTTTTATGTAAAAAAATCTAGAAATAATTTTAAAATCAAAAATGTAAATTATTTGCATTAAATATATACTCGTAATTAAATTTTTAAAAATATATCAAATACTTTTCAATGAGTTAAATGCCATTCAAGTCTATTCAATAAAGCAACCATTACATGTGCTTCTTGTGCCCGTTTTTCTTTTGGAAGTAAATCATAAAGAATTTTTAAATGTTTTGCCTTAAATTAATTAGAATAAATTAATTTTAAATTAAAATTTAAAAAAACTTGATTAATAAATCGAAGTTGAAAACGTTCAAATTGTTTAAATTCTTCTTCAGTTTTTATATCATTATCTAGAACAGTGTCTGTCACAAATTCTTTTTTAACTCCTTTGATTGGGGAGAAAAATACTAAATCACCTCTAGGACCATAATAAGGCTGCAAAGTACGTTCTGAACACTGAAAATTAGTTTAAAAAATTTTCAATTTTAACAACCAAAATTTATATGAAAATTAAGTAAGACAAAAACATTAGGATACTAAATCGGATCAAAGTTATGTTATTTAATGGTTGAGTAAATTCTTTGGAGAAAAATGATCAGTATATATGAATGGGATTTACTGGATTACTTAAAATAAAAATCAATTTTCCCGGTTCAAAAATAACAGGAACCCTATCGGGAAAAGATCCCGCCCAACTTCAACTAACCATATGGGTCTCATTCCAAGTTTTGTAGCTATAATTTTGTCGTCGAAGACTAGAAGGCATTCCCTCTACATAATGGACCATAGAAGTAATTAAACAAGCGCGTATTGAATCTTTTTTATCTGCAAACCTAAAAATAATTTTGTTAATATTAAAATAATATTTTTTAAAAATACCAATTAACAGAATTAGAATCAAAAAATAAAGCAATTCCAAAAGTTTCCAATTGTTTTAAAGTTTTAAGATTTTGATCATTTACAGCATATTCTTGTCGATTCGCAATTGGGTTATAATCGATTGGGAAGCAAAGCTTTGTTAAATGGCCACGAGAAATCCAGTAAAATAAACATCGAATAATTGGAATTATTGGGAAACTGGAAAAAAATTAATTTTGGTGAATAACAAAAATCTATTTTTTTGACTAAAAAATTCAAGGAAAAATTTAAAAAATAAAAAAACTTCAAAAATTTATTCAAAAAACCTTCTATCATCATCTCGTAAATAAGAAATATTGCCATTATTTCCATCCTCATCATCTTCACTACAACCTTCCCAATAAGCTTTAATTAATCCAATTCCATCAACAAGTATTGGCCGAAGAAAAGGAGAGCTCATTTCTCCAATCTAAAATTTTTAAAAAATAATTTACATATTTTTAAATAAAAATTGGTATAATTTTAGTCTTAATGCAAATCATTTAATTTTATAGTTTTTAGAATTTTATTTTCTAAAATTTCATTAAAATAAAAGAAAAATATACTATCAAAATTTAACAGTTAATTAAACTAACCAAAGGTAAAAATTTACGTTCTTGCTCCACTATTCGCAAAGGAAGACAAGTATAATCATAGGCAATTGATTGTAAAGGTAGAGGGTGATATTTTAAATTAGAATTTAAAGGACTAGTAGAAGAAGGGCAAGAAAGACTAGTATTTTCTTCAAATGAAATAACAATTCCAGACTGTTCCAAATTAATTAAATCTTCTAAAAAATAATGAAAAAATTCTCTTAAAATTAAAAAAAAATACGTTGATCAGCTTGCCTATTTTTCTCAACCAATTCTTCAATTTGTAACATTTTATTTGAAGTGTTGTAATTATTATTTAAATTATTTTTGTTGTTTAATGAAGTATTTGGTTCTAATTGAAAATGTGAAAATGAAGGAGTTGTTAGTTGGTAAGTAGAAGAAGGCTGGTCAGTAAAATCATCCTCCTCATCTTCACTCCAACCAAATCCAACTGGCAAAGGGGGTACATAATTTGGATATTTCTCCATAAATTAAAAATATGTAGATTATTTTTAAGTAAACAAAATCTGCAATTAAAAGTTGATAAATATTTAATAGTAGTAGAATTTTAATTAATGTATGAAACAACCCGAAAAATTTAGTACGTAAGACTCAAATAGCACCAATAGTTTACAAAAATGATCTAACAAAAATTAACTTTTCCGATGAATATATGCGCTTATGATTTTGCGTACATAGTTTTCTAGGCCATATGTAGAAGTAATAGGACTAAATCCACAATCACATCCTTAAAAATTAGATTTTCAGACTTTCGAATTCGATTAAATTTTGTTTTAACACAAATTTACAGTAATCTTTTGGCGATCTGTTGAAAATCTCGACTTTTGTCATATTTAAATTAAATTAATTTCTTCTTTATTTTATTCATTCATTGCTTTTCAATTATAACTTTTTTCTTTAATATACTGCTAGAAATTTATTTAGCCCTTCATTCACTTTTTGGAAGCTCAATTAGGACGACTGAAACTGAATTTTTATTTGAATTATTTATGAAAGAAATGAACTCTGCTTTTCTTTTGATGGTCGATCCATGTTCAATTCCCACTACTCATGGCCAACACATTAGAATCTTCAATTTGCACGACGGTGAGGAAATTTTTTAGTTTCTCGTTTGAATGTCCAGTCTTAAATAGCCTTTTTTGTTTCGATAATAATTTATTTTAAAATTCTTTGAGGAATTCAACAAATTGTTGGTTATTGCATACCTGTAGACCAGTGTGTCGGACTGTTTAAAAGTATTCCAACGGCACGAGTCATCAAAACAGTAGATACAGTCGCACCAAACGGTGATCAATTGCTTACTAAATTCAAGGTTTACTACCTCTTTCTTAGTATAAACCTTAATTTTTTAAGTTTGTTTTCCCTCCACTGAATGTTGTGCCAATGCATGATGAGGAATTTCAAGAGATGATTAAGTCTCGACCATTGCCGTTCAAAGGGGTAAGTGCGAAAAATCGTTTCTATGTGCGTCCAATCCCTCAAAGTCCAACGCAAAAGCGGCCACAATTTGATGACAGTGCAATGAATTAGTGAGTTGATTTTGATTTTTCAAAAATGCCTAACTTTTTCTCTTTATAGCGTGACGGACAGATTTAAGCTGCATTTGAATCCTCATTTGGTCCCATATAGATTGCCTGATGGCTTAGACTGTTTCATTCGTTTGGAGCTTGCACAACATTGTATTTATTTATTCTCTTATAAAAATTTTATTTTTGTCGGTTTTAGGTAGACATGACATTTACTCGCATGGAGGCACCGATCAACAGCCTGTTCAACGAAATCATCAACATAAGCAGCGCCATCATCAGCAACATCAACTTCCAAAGATGAATTGTAGAATTTCTATTCCAACCACTCAATTATTTTCAAACGCGGCATCAAATTGACTGATCAAAGAAATTTAGAATTCATGAATTATGAACGAAATGCACCATTGATTGATTTTTTGATCGTTTGTGAGATTGATTGACTATTATTGTGCGCATATTTTTATTGTGTAAAATGTATTTAGAATTTTTGTTTTTATTTTTTTGACCCCTTAAAATTTGGTTGAAATACCTATTAGAAAAACAAATGTTTGATTTTTAATTACTTGATTTAATTTTTGTATATCACCTTTCTCTAATGCCTTCTGTGGGATGTACTCGTAAATGGCAAGAACATCAAGGCAGGAATAAGTTCTTTTTAAATGGAAGGTGTTGTTATTTTGTTTGAATACTTTCATGTTTTTTGTTTATAGGTGTGTATCTAGTCGACAAAACTTACTGTTTATGTTTACTTTCTCCCTTCTGCTATTGGTGATGTGCATGTTTTACATTTTTTGGTATTTTTTTAAAATTAAAAGCTTGATTGTTCTGCTAATGTAAGAAGAGGTCACTCAATACACCCACTCCATTTTAACATCTTGCACTTTAGGCATGGATGACTTGTTCCCGGAACCTTTTGAATTTTGCAGTATCCAGCATTTAGGAAGAGCAATAATAACCAAAAACGATCTTTCCAACCGATATAATTCTTTAAGCCTTCCATTTCTAACAATCAAAATCGGTCTTTTCGTTCCAATCTTTATGGTTATTCTTTTTTTGCTCGTTATATCAACAATGCTTCGTGCAGCATTCACCGATCCTGGCATTATTCCACGAGCTTCTGCAGCGGAGATTTCTGAGTATAATCTAATAAAAAAGATGGCAAAGACTCCTGAAGGTTTTTATTAAATTTTAAATAAAAATAAATATAATTCTTTTAATAAAGAACGAGAGTTGCTAAATGAAAGGATAGTTAACATTAATGGCTGCGGTGTTCTAGTCAAATTTTGTATTACCTGTAAAATTTTTAGACCGCCTCGTAGTTCGTTAGTCTATAATTTTTTTAATTTATTTTAATTTTTTTTAAATTTAGGCATTGCAGTATTTGTGACAATTGTGTTTTGAATTTCGATCGTAAACATTTTTCTTTTGAAGGTTTAAATTTCAAATATTTAGATCATTGCCCATGGATTGGTAACTGTGTTGGAGCACGAAACTTTCGTCATTTTTATCTTTTTATTACTTTTGTTGCTGTCACAAGCTTTTTTGCAATTATTTGTATTTGTTTGCATTTTTATTTGGGTTGGTTCTTTTTTTGTTTTTCATTTATTTTTGAATTCAATTTACAGTAATGGCTGAAAAGGATGGCGCGTTTCTAGATTCACTTTTGGACAACCCAATTCCTGTTGTATTAAGTATTTTTTGAATTTTTATTATCTCCCAAAAGTCTCGTAAGAAGATTTTGAACTTTGTGGCATTTTTCAGAAACCTTTATTCCAGACCAGGATTCTCAAAATTCTCGCCTGCTGCGCTGAAAAAGGAAGAAATCTGGCTGGCACTCTGGCCTCCCAAAATTAAAAGAATTGGCCATTTACATAAATCTGAGTCAATGGAAATATTTTAAAAAATTTTATTTTTAGTTTTACCTTTCCTCGCGTCTTTTATTGGTGTTACGATGAGTATGTTAATTTTAAGTTAATAAGGGTTTATAAAATTATTTTTAGTGATTTATGACCATACACCACTGGTTTTGAAGGGAATTACAAGTTATGAGGATTATAAATGTACTTTTGATTATGTCAGAAATCCTTTTGACGCTGGAAGTCGTTCTAAAAATTTGAAGAAAGCTTTGTGTTCTCCTGAACCGATAAGGTTTTTAAAAATCTCTAAAATTTCTAATTTCTCCATTTCTTTAATTATTGAATAAAGCTAAATTGGATAGAAGCCAAATATAGATATTATGAGCTAAAATTGAACCACTAAATAAATAAGTGTAGGGTGTACACAAAATGTATTTGGTGGGAAAGAGAGAAAAATAAAATTTTTAAATAAATTAATTTTCAAAATAATTTTTATTTGAAGCTTTCTCGACAAAAGAGGGAAGGTTTTGCCAGAAAACCCATACATTTACGTTGACTATAAATTGTTGGAAAAGCTAAAAACAAAAATAAATAATAAACAAAATCAATATTAAAAAGGTATTATTCCCTTATATTAATTTATTTATGACAAATTTGAATTTATATTTATGTATAAAATGCTTAAAAATATTTTTTTAATTAATTATTCCTATTTAATCAATTTATATTTTGTATATACATATCTTAACAATTTTTTTTATTAGGGGCACTCATCCAAAATTTAGGTAGGGTGGAGTGAGGGTCTCAAACTCCGTTCTATATCTCCCTCTCTGTTTGACTCAAATGGCCATTTTTTATTCTAGAAGGTTGACAGAACATCAAAAAATATTATTTTCTCTTTCATTTATTTTTCTTTTTTTCCAATGTCCAACAAATCACTCACTAAAATATTCTCATTTTAGATAAATAAATAATTATTCTCTTTAATCTTTTCTAATTTTGCAGCTAAAAATTATACATAATGACTTTAGTTGTTAAACATCCATCAATTCTTTGGGCACAACGTGCTGGACAAATTTTTTTGACAATTGAAGATGGTGGCTTAAAAATTGACGAACTCTGTTGTGAAGATGACAAATTTAAATTAAAGTAAATAAAAATTAAAATTTAAAAAAATTTTTTAGAGGAGAAAAAGGCGGAAACAAGTATGAGGCAGATCTTGTTTTATATGGAAAGTTGAAAGGTGCTGAACGTAGAAAGATTGAAACTGATCGAAGGATTGAATTTGTTATTCCAAAAGAAACTGAAGAATGGTGGCCACGTCTTTTGAAAGTTTCGGGAAAGGTTAGAATTATTAAATTTATTTTTGTTGGAACAAGTTAAAAGTAATAAATCTTGTTACGGATTAAAAATTCTAGTTAATTTTTTTTTAATTTTTGGCAATATATCTATTTATAGGGGGGAGGTAATAAAGCTTTATTTTTTGGATATCTTTTGAAGAGCAAAAATTTTTTGAAAAATGATAATCGGCATCAAATTTTTTGACAAAAATTACTTTTAAATCTTTCAAATTTTTTTCGTGCAATTAATAAGATATTTAAACTTTTAGGTTCCATGGATAAAAATTGACTTTGACAAGTGGAAGGACCAGGATGAAGATGACAAAGACGGTTTGTGTTTTTGTTTATTAGTTAAAAATAAATCAAAAATATAGATATGCGCGATATGGACTTTTCAAGTTTTGGCCTTCCAGGCGGCGGCGGTAAAGGTTATGATGATCTTGATTTGGGTGATGATGACCACGACTATGGTATGATTTTTGTACATTAATTCGGGGAGCTATTACACTTGGGTCTTGTTTCAAGTTATATTTCTCAACAAAAATTATTTTTAATTTTAAGATGACGAAATGGGTGATTTGGAAGATGTGGATGACGAGAATGAAGGAATACCCAAAGAAGGGAAGAAAGCTGAAAAGGACGGGAAGGATGAAGGTAAAGATTCTGCAACCAACGGCGAGATGGTTGATGATGGAAAGGAGAAGAAAGTGGCGGAGGAAGCAAAAGAATGATTGGGGGCCACTTTTGATAAAATAACGAACATTCTCTCTAAAATATTTGTTTTAAGGAAATTGGGATTTTCCTTCCTTACTTTTTTGACCTAAAAAATGAATTTTGATATTATAAGAATTTTCAGTTTTTTTTCTTGATTATTTATCAGGATTCAAAAAATAATAATTTATCTCATTATTCACTTTATTTATGAATAATCTAAACCAATATTTTTTAAAAAAGAAAATTTAAAATTTTGTTTTCATTAATTAGTTAAGAAGAAAATGTCTCAAATTGTTTAAGTGCTGCCCCCATATCTATTTAATTTAAAAATTATTTTAAATTAAAAAAAACCTTTTTTAAGTTTTAGAAGTAATTCCTCTTCTATAGTAAATTTAATTTCTTCTTTTGTAGAAAGTAAAAATTGTTGTTCTTCTCCCTCATTTGTTTGAAGTTTTTCAATTGAAGATATTTTTATTGGAGGGGCTTAAATTGGTATATTAAAATGGAAGGTTTTATATGACCTTTTAGAAACCTTTAAATGGATATTCTTTAAATATTTGGAAGTTTTTTATTTTGATGTAGTTATCAAGTAAGATTTTTGTGTGCTCTTTAAATTATTTTTTTTCTTTATTAAAAAAATTTCAAAGACCTGCGGGAAGTCCAAGTTGGAGCATTTCTGCTTCTAAATCTGAAAAAAAATTTTTTTTGGATTTTAATAATATTTATGATAGATATGTTTTGAACACGAGATGTTTTTAATGTTCGCCCCTTGTTTAATAAAAATATAATTTTAAAAAAATCACCATCTTGTTCGCAATCATATTTTGTTGCCTTTTCTAGTATAAAGCTGAGCGTTGCAATAATAGCTTTGGAGATTCGAAGCCCTTTCAATAAAATTAAATTCTCTTTTTTTATTTTTTTTACTTTTTACCATTAGCAGAATTATCATTAAACGAAAATTTAATTTCCTCCCATCTGTCAGTTTTATTCTCAAAATGTTCTACAATTTTTGAACATAATTCTTTAAATTCGTTTAAACTCTAAATATTAATTTAAATAATTTTAATTAAATTTTATTTAAAAACAATTTTTGAAATTCGCGAAATTTGTGAAAGAACCCATTCTGGGCAATCAAGTCCGCCATTGAAGTGAAATTTCTAAATTTAAGAAAAACCGTTTAGAAAAGAGAATATTTATATTAATACCATTTTTGTTTTGCTTCTTTTTAAAATTTAAATTTTGAAATTAAAATTATTTAAGATTGAAATAAATTATTAAAAATAAAGTATTTCTAAAGTTTGTCTTTAATAAGCATAAGGAAAATTGTTGGCATAAATTGTAGGTAAAAGCCTTTAAAAATTCAGAAGAAAATTAAAAATAATTTTTAAAATTTATTTCAAAGCAAAAGAAAACTTTTTTAAAATTTTAAAATTATGCAAAATTGGAAAAAGAAAAAAATATATAGATAAATATATATTTATTTGTTTACAAGCATTGTGTAAATATGTCAGTTTTAAGCAACAAACACAAATTAATTGAAATATATTTTACATTAAATTTTGTGGGAGAGAGAAAAATAAAGCTTTTTTAAATTGTGTGATTTAAAGTTTTTTAAATGAGTAGATCCAAAAGGAAATTATTTTTAAAAAACTTTAAACCACACCAAATAAATATTTAGACAAGCACTTTTAAAAATAATAATGATAAATGGCGATGTCATAAAAGAAAAAAAAGAACTTTTGCTGATTTTAAGCCAAAAAATAAAATAAATATTTATATAAGCAAATGTATGTAGGGAGGGAGTTATTTAACAATAAAGAAAAATTTTTTAATTCTGCCATACTCTTAAAAATTTTCTGAAAAAAGTCAAAAAAATTTTTTTAATTAAAAATTTTAATTAAAAAGAAATTCTAAAATTAATTAATTCCCGTCCTTAAATATTTTTCACTCAATTTAAGTCTAAAATTATAAAAGTGGCAAAACCAACAAATTTAAATTTTTCTCGAAAAGATGGGAGAATTAAAAAAAATTAATTTAATTCAAAAAGAGACAGAAATTTAAAATAAATAAAAGAAATAATTAATTTTAAATTCTTTTTGTTACTCTAATTTTTTTTAATTTGGCAGTATTTCCTAGAGATCGGCCGGAAGGCAAAATCAAATATTTGATCAAATAATTTGAAAATTATTTGATATTTGAAAATATTTGATTTCTACCAAAAGTCATCAAACAAATATTTGATCAAATTATTTGAAAATTATTTGATATTTGAAAATATTTGATTTTCAAAGTCAAATATTTGATCAAATATCAAATTTTTTAAAAAATTTTATAATATTATATAAATCGGGGTATTTGATAGTATATCGGGGATATTAGGATATGGAGATGATATCGGAGGATTATGATGGATGTGCAGGGATTAAGGTTGATATAAGGGAATTGTAAGGCTTAACGGGCATAAGGGGAGATAAATGGTCTATGAAAGGATATAGGGCTAATAGTTGATTCGAGATATCAGGGACCCACTTAATCCCTCGATATCTATCCCAAATCCCCCTATATCCCTTTTAATCCAAAAATCCTTCCAATCCCGCAATATCCCTTCCAATTCCCCAAATCACCTGTTATCCATTTTATCTACCAAAATACCTCGTAATCCCTTTTACTACCCACAAATCCACAGATATCCTTCATAATCCTTCAAAACCCTTAGATATCCCCGCTAACAACAGCTTAACACATATAACATTTAAACACAAAAATTTAAAAAGAAATTTTTTTTGAAAAATCCGAAAAAACCCCGGATCCAGTCCGAAATCCGTGTATATTCTGACGGACTCCGGAAATTATTTTCACCGGATTAAAACTGGACCGCATTAATCCGGAAAAATCAGGCTGATCCGGTCCGGCAAACCCAAAATCCGGTTTCATGACCCGGAAAAATTATTTCGGCGATCACTAATAATTTGTCTTGAGCAAAAATCCCGGTTACCATATCGTTATTCTATGAAAAATATGCCAACTTTACATTTTTGAACGAAAATCAAATAATTTTCAAATTATTTGATATTTGATCAAATATTTGATTTTTCTGACCCTCATCAAACAAATATTTGATCAAATTATTTGAAAATTATTTGATATTTGAAAAAATCAAATTTTTCCAAAAAGTGGTCAAACAAATATTTGATCAAATAAATTCAAATAAAATTTGATCAAATATTTGATTTTATTTGACCAAATATTTGTTTGGCCGATCTCTAGTATTTCCCCCTTTTTAATTCTACTAATTCCCTTTTTTCATTTCTTTGAAACTTCCACCTTTTCAACTTTTAATTCTGGATTCATACTTGTAGCTTCTAATATAGCTTTACTCAATTCCTTTTAATTATTATTATTATTTTATTCAAAAATTTATTAAAATTACCGAATCGTGGTCAATTTCTTCATTGCTATGAATAGTTATTCGATGTTCAACTCTTGTCTCCGTAATTCCATCTTTTTCTGTTTTGTACTAAAAAAATAATTATTTAAAAAAATAATTAATAATTAACCGTTAAAGTCTCCACAGTTCTATTTCCTGTAGTTACAACTTTTGAAGAAACCAATTCCCCTTTAGCTTCTTCATTGGAACCAATTAAATGATGGCCATTAGAAAATGGAAGAGAATTATTGATTGCTGTTGTTGGAGACTTTAAAAATTATTTTAGAGATATTTAAATTAATTAATCCACAAATTCCAAAAAAGTATTTTCCACATTTTTAAAAAATTAAAATAAACCAACATTTTCAAATTTTCCATTTTCATCAACAGGAACAGACTGGACAGAGTGAGACTGGACAGTATGGCGAATCTGTTCGGTTCGAACAACCCGCCTAAAAATAATTTTTTCTTAATTTTATTTTTAAAGCAGAAATACTTTATAATATTTCCCTCAGCATCAATTTCTGTCGTAACTTGTTCTGGGCCAATAATCTCCTCATGGCAAGTTTCCAAAGTTGTCTGTTGTTGTGCAGGAGGAGGAGGAGGTTCAACCTAAGGAGGTATTAATTTATTTAAAAAATTCATTTAAAATTCCTCCACCTTTTGTTTCGATGTCTGTAAATTTTGACCTTCACCAGAAACAATGTGTATTTCCTCTGTTTCAGCATCCGAACTTGAAGAGGAAGAAGACGAAGTTGAAGCAGAAGAAATTCCAGCAGTTTGCTTCTTTTCTTTATTTTTCTTTTTTTTCTTATCTGTCTTGTCTTTTTTAGGTTCTTCATACTTAAAAATAATTAAAAATAAAATTTAAAAAAAATAAAAGAAAAATTAAACAAATAAAGTAGCGTGTTTAATCGGATTAATTCCCCTGGGGAATTATTTTTTCAACACATAGCATGGGGAATTAATCAAGTAAATACGGTTTTGATAATTGTTAATAACACCTCACTCAAAAAAGTTTTTTAAATTTATTTCAAAGTAATTAAATCAAACAACTTTCAATAAAAAAAAGGAAAGAAAACATAATTTAAAAAATGTTAGAAATAAAATAAAAATAATAAAAAATAAAGAGTAAGGATAGAAAAAATGTAAAATATAATTTTAAATATCCAAGAACCTTTTTAGTTTTAAGTTTAGTTTCTGGTGATGTACGGGTTTTTAAAACAATAAAAGCTTCAAATTTTTGTTGTTTATTTTCTTCTTGTTTTTTATCTTCACTTTTAGTTATTTGTGGAATTATTTTATTTTCAATTGGGCAATGTTGAAATTCAATTTTACGTGATAATAAATTTATTGGTGTTTGTTGAAAACTTTCGAGAGGTTTTTGGTGTTGTAGTATTTCAGAAGGAATAATCGGTAAAGATTTGGAGGTAGAAATAGCCGAGGAAATTCTCAAACGGGGGAAAATTGTAGAAAGGAGGGAAAATCTTCTTCTTGTTTTTTGACAATCCCTCCATTTCCTAGCACGATAACTGCAAAGAGAATAAAGTGCGACTGTAGGAAGTTCTTTAACTTTTTCAAGCCTTAATGGATCAAAACATATTCCCCTTGGAAGTGTTGAATAAGTAGAAGGAAATAAATTATTATTTTTCTTGTTATCAACATCAAAACATTCTTCAGTTAATTTTTTGTAAACTTTCTTTTCTTTAATTGGACTTTTAGAAAAACCAGAATGTCGAACAGCAACAAAATAAATAATTGGAAAATATGGCAAATCTTCTTGGCGATTAATATGATGAAGTAATGAAGAATGTTTATGTGGAGTTAAATGAATAAATTTTGAAACAATTTTATTCTCCGAATGTTTTTGTTCATTATATGGCCAAATTCGAGTAAGTAAATTGTTTTTATTTTGAAAACGTTGGCGACCTCTTTTAGCTATTGATACTCCAAAACTATTTAAACGGCGAGAAATATCAATTTCAAAATATAGACCAGAATTGTAGAGAGTAACATGGTTGTCAATAGGAGAATATTGTAAATCAAAATGTCGAAAAAGTAGAGGTAAGTTAATATTTTCTGGTTGTTGAGATGTAGAAAGGGTTTGTTGGGAGGGAAGAATATTTGAAGAGGTTGAAGGTAAATCAGTTATTGACATTATAAGAAAATCTCAAAAATAAAAAATGCCTAAAATTATAAAAATCTGGAAGTTTTTCTCATTCCGAATGAAATAAGAAAAAAAGAATCAACACAGTAATTGGAAACAATACTATAAAAGCCCATTAAAAAGTAAAAATAAACAGAAAAAAGAGAAGAATTTAAATGTCCAAAATTTTTATGGCCAAAACCTCATAAAAGGGCTGGCAGAAAAATTTTCTAAAAGAAAAGTGTGGCAATCAATACAAGAATATATAAAATACTCCCACGCGTTACCAGGGGCAAAATAAGTGCTGCTACTATGGAAAAAAAAGAAAAGAAAACAACCCAAAACAAGCAAAATATATGTAAAATAGAAAAAGAAAATTATTTTTGAAAGAATTAGAGAAGTGCGCGAAAAATGAAAATTGGAAGAAAAAAATAGAATATAAAAGCAATTTGTAAGTTAACAATTGAAAAATTTGGAAAGAAACTAGATGAATGCAATAGGTTAAAAAATAAAATGAAAACACGTGATCTCAATTAAAAAGTAAAAATACTAATGGCCATGTATCTGGTTGAAATAAAAATAAAAAGATAATAAAACCCCGTATTTAAAAACTCATTACAAAAATTCATTCCCCAATTAAAAAGTCAAAAACGAAATACAAAAATTACTTACCTTCTTATCGCTTCGAGCAGTACTAGTAGCTAGTGGTTGTACATGGGCAAGTTGCTTTTGCGGAGTTAACTATAAAAATAATTAAATTTTAAAGCAAAAAACAAACTTCATCCATATAATTTAAAGGCGTTTGAGGCTCTTTTTGATGGTTTTGTGGCACTTGAATTTAAAAAAAATTATTTTTTTTTATCTTTAAAATTAATTTTCTTACGCATTTCTGCAGATTTTGATTTAGAAAGGGAAGCAGATGTTGGAGCATTTGTTTCAAATAATTGTGAGACCATTTGTGATTGAATATTTGTTCGGCCGGTATAACGAAAACGTGCAGAACCAAAACTCAGAAATGAATTTTTGTGTTTAGTTTCTGGTTGAACAAGTCTTTTTTAAGAGAAAAAATTAAAATAATTTGAAAAAATAATTGTTTATAGAAGTAAATTTATGATTATAAATATTTTTGAATAATCTTCTAAAAATAAAATATTCAAAAGGGAAGATAAAATTAAACAGTCATAAAATTTTTTAAAATTTTTTAGCGAGAGCCAGATTAAAAAAATCATAAAGGGGAATCGATAACCAAAAAATCAATTTAAAAATACCTAAAGAAAACATGGTGTTCAACTCCACATCTCCAAACCAATTTAGCATGTTTATAGTCAACTAGAGCATAAGAGACAGTTGTTGATTTCTTTTGTGATTGATCCAACTAATTTTTAAAAATTTTATAAAAAAAATTTTTCTTAAATAAAAAACCTCTCCAGGCTTCAATCTAATTCCAAATTTATTTTTACGATATTCAATTTTAATTATTCCAGCCCAAGAAAAACGATGTACACGCATTTGGTCGTTAAAAATGCTTATTCCAACAGAAGAAATACCAATTTGAATAGGCTTGTTTTTACTGTCCTAGAAAAAAAATAATTTTTTTAATAAAAAATAATCTTATACTTTTGCTGGATATAAATGAATGCCATACATAGCCAAAGACTTGCATTCATTTAAATATGCCAATTCAGCTTCTGTTCGAGTAAGTCCTCTTTAAATTTAAAGAAAAGTATTTTATCTTGATAAAATTTTTTAAAACATTTTTCCCCCATAACAACAGATTATCTCAAATTTTCAAAAGGAAGTTTTTTTTAATTTTTTGGGGGGATCAGCAGAAAAAAAACAAAATGTAAAGTATGAAATTTGAGAGATGACCCAATCATTTATACAAAACATCTCTAATATAAATAAAATATTTCAAAAATCCCAACCTATGTAATTTATGTAAATCTCCAACTTTATTACAAAATTGCTCTTGTTCAGAAGTTAATTGAGCTATTTTGACACTACTAAGAAGTTGTGCATAATTTTCAGAAGGTTGATAGTCACCAAGTTCTGCCTGTGCAACTAATGATCCCAAACTTGCTTGGGCGGCAAATGAGACTGGTAAACTAAAAAAATACTAATGTAAGGTAGAAACAATTAAGGTGTCCAAAATTGTGTAAAAATCTAGACGATTAAGTTTTTTACATAATTTTGTACTCAAATCACATAATTTAAAACACAAATAGAAAAGAGGAATAATCAGTTAATAATTTTAAAAAATCAAACCGTTCACTATAAACATCCTTTCGAAGTTGTAAATAAAGCAAATGACGAGAAAAGTCTTCCAAAAGTTGTGTAGGGTTAGGAGGATAAAATTTTACTTTGAAAAAGAATTCTAATTGAACACCTAAAAATATTAAAAATTAAATCTTTTTTTTAAATTTTAAAAAACCTTTTAATTGTTTTTTAATTTTTTTGTCAGGATATAGCCAATGCTGTAATTTTTGGTCATCATAAAATGTTAGTCCAAAATAATCACGTTCCATTAAACCCATTTGTGCAATCACCAAGTCTAACAAAACAGAGCCTAGAGCATTTTTCTAAAAATTAATTTGAAGTCTTAAAATCGAGTATCAGACTAAAATGAGAGATGGAAATTCGAGTCTCACAAATCGATAGGGATTGCCATCCTAACAGGATTGCCATCCATGGTCACCTAGCTTAAAGAAAATTTAAGAACCAATGCCCACTTTCCCTCCAAACAAAATACCCAAAAATTAATTCCTTACGTGAATATGAAAATTCAATTGGGAATCGTCCAAATAATTGACCTTTGCCATAACTAACTTCTTTTTTGAAACATCTTGCTGCACAAAAGGCGAAGGACCTTCATCTATCGATTGAGGCAATGCACTAACTTGAATTTTTTCAGAATTGGAATTGTTGTTTGAATGTGGCATTTTTTAATATTTTTACTAAAAAAACAAAAAAAAGTTTTAGTGAATGTAAATAAATAATTAAAGTTTTGGGGAATAAAAAGGAGAGGTTAAATTGTAATGAACAAGGTATTTTTTGAACAAATAAAAAATGAGTACAGCCCAAGTAGGCGCGCGGCCATAACGGCGCAAAGCCATAACTTGCTTCAAGATTCACGAATCTTACCAAATTTAGTATTAAACGAATCCTCTCATCGAACTAAAGAGATTGGTACCAAAAATGATAAGGGCCAGAAATTTTCCAGCAAGTTATGGCTTTGCGCCTTTATGGTCGCGCGCCTACTTGGGCGTGTCCCATAAAAAATAAATGGCAAATTAAAATGAGTCGTAAAATTTAAAGAATTGTGTAAAAAATATCTGAAATGGACTAAAATACATAAATTATTAAAGTAAAATTCTGATTATTAAAAATATTAAAAGTTTAGTAAATAAATCAATAAAGGTAACGGAAATATAATAATCCGATTCATGTCACTTAATAAAAAAATATTAAAAAAAACATCAACATCCATATAAACAATTTCCCCCCATCAACAACCGATTAAAAAAGAAGAGAAAAGAGAGAAGGAATAAAATATAAAAGTAATCAATCATTTAAAAAGTCCTTGTTTTGCTTGTATGCACAGCCGAGATGATGATGATTTTTGCAATTTTTAGTGCATTCAAGCGATACTCGTAAATGCTAGGAGAATGGGAAATATAAAACATATAATCACTTGTAAAAAATTTCTGGAAATAATAAATAGTAGTACATTTATTTTGTAAAATAAAGGGAAAGGAAAGTAATTAATCATTTGGAAAATTTATTGAATAATGGGGAGAAAATAATTATTAAAGTAATTATCCTGTCGATATGTGTATGTATGTAGCAGAATATCTTGAAAATGTGACCTATAATTGTTCGAAAAATCTTTATTCCAAACAAAAATCATCAAAAAATTATAGTACGATCAAATACAAAATTATGTAAAAATAATGATAAATTCTGACAAAGTTGCAGGAAACTTTAAGTTGACGATGTGAGAAACCCACCCCACTAAAAGAGGAATAACGGTTCTTGATCGCTAATTAACTGTAACTCCTTCTTTTCTATTTGTTTGTTCTTCCATTGCAGAAGGAGAGCGTGGCCTTAGGCTCGACGAACAAAACAAATTGGAAAGCAAACATCGTACCCACATCCCTAAGTGGTCGAGAAATCTCTTTAGAAAAATTTTTTTTTCAGATTTAAATAAAAAGAAATGCAAATTAAAAATATTTTTATTTTATTTTTATTTATTTCGAAAATAACAATTAATGTTTGGGGACGTGATATTCCACCTAGCAAAGCTAGTCCAATACATAACGATGTACCTTTAGATGTTCTCAACAATTTATTTAATTTAGTTGTTGACATGAAAATAAAAGAAGATTTGGAAAAAGTTGATAATTATTTAAATAAAGAGGAGGAAGAGGAAGAAATAAATACTTCGACTACTATTGGTGGAGAAGAATGAAGAAATGAAGAAGAATTGTGAAGAAATTGGGAATGAAGAATAAATTTGTTAAAGAAAAATTAAAACAAAATTTTTGATTTTGTTTTTCAATTAAAAATATAATTTTTAAAAGAAATGTTGAAGAAAAAAGTTTTTTTTAAGTTTTGTGTCCGAGGGTTATTTATCCAAGATTTATCAATGTCGACGAGCACAAGAATAAAGGTTCATCCGAAGAAGAAATATAAACTAATGTAGGTGGAGGGATTGTGGTTTTGTGGTTAAAATAGACGAAGGAGATCAGGGACTAGCCAGGCTTGAAATTGCATAGATTTTGCGAATGTGTGATGGAATATGTAGTCCGATTACATTTTGTGCAGTTTGGTGATGGATAGAATAGTTATGGGTTACCGATTTTCAGCAATATTGTTTTCTTGTCATTTTTTGTATGTTTATTAACAGTTTTCGATGTTGAAGTTTTCAATTTCGAAGAGAAGTGGTTCAAGAAATTTACATCTTTATCAATACAAAACAATAAAAAAACAACAAAGACAAACTAAATTTTCGCCCAAACCTGCCAAGTATGTATACTGTATGCCGCGCCTTATCGGGCGCGCCCAATCAACGCGATGTGAGAGTAAATGAAAACATTACTATTTAAAGATAGATATTCTGATTTTATTTCCTTTTTGATGTTTTAAAAAATTTCATTCTTTTTGACATTATAAAATTAATGCTAAGAATTATACTGAAAGTAGAGAAATTAATTGAAAGAAAGAATGTGTAAATTAAACAAATCTTTATCCAATTTTTCATAATTTATCCTTAATTTATATCATAGAGAAAATTTATAAAATTATTTCTTTTCTTTTTTCTTTTTTGAGGCTATCGTTGGTTAGAAATACTAGTACCTTGGTACCGATGGATAATTTATATGTATATATAATATTTGTACCGAGGAATTAAATTACTAGAATATTTTTTTGTACTGAGGTCTAGTATTTCGGGGCCCAGTAGTGTAATTGGATTAAATTGGTTTTCTGATTTCACTGTTTGTGCAGGGAATTTCTTATCGAATGGACCCATACCAAATTTGAAATTTTCTCTTTTTATTGGGGGTTTTTGTAGGAGGGTGAGTTTTTGACGTTTGGTCTCGTGAATATTCAGTAATCTTTGCCTTCGTGCTGAAAAAAAGGAAAATTAAGGCTTGTTAATCTTCTAAATTTTTCAAAATTTGCGCTGAAAATTGTTTATATACAAGTAAATAGTAACTAAAAAATTTTTAAATTAAAGTTATCGTTTTTGTACAATTTTACTGAACTTTACATCTCCGGGGAATTCCCCGCAACCTCCGTTCCCCGTAATATTTAACTCAAAAATTTTTATGAAAATCCAAAAAAATTTTCTAGCCAACTTTTCTTATTTTTAATGAATTTATTATTTTTTCGCCAATTTTTAGTTAAAACTTTAAAATTAATTAAAGCAAAAATGATTCCAGTAAATCAACAACAACAATCTTTGGGTTCTCCTATACATTTTAAACCAAAATTTGGAGGAAAGTAATTTTTTTATTTTTTTTTAATTCAAAAAAATTAATTTAATTTTAAAGTTTTCTTCAATGTCTTTGTACAGACCCTTCCCACACAGTTTTAATTTTTGGAAAACAAACAAAATTATTTTTAAATGGAGTTTTTTCTTTTCAAGTTTTATATGGATATATTAATGTTAATGGGTATTTATTTTCTCCAAAAAAGTATAATTATTCTAATTATGTTAAAGTTGCTATTCCTTGTGGATATTTACCTGTAAGTTGTCTTTATTTATTTTTTAAACATTTTAAAGTAGGGTAGCACCCCGTTTCCCGAAGAATTTTTTGGCAAAAACCTCGACCCGAACCCCGAAGACTGTACCCTGACAAACTCCGAAACCTGACACTCCCGCCCCCGAAGGCTCGGGCTGCTACCCAAAGAGTCTGTTAAATTTAAATTTTAGTATCCATTTTTTAATGTGTAAAGTTTAAAACTAAAAACCGTTTAGTAATTCGTTAGCAACTTTCTTTATCAATATTGTCAAATTAATTTCAGATTTTTTGTGTCGATCTTTTAAAAATTAAAATTTTTTTCTGAAAAATTAATTAAAAATTTAATTTTTAATTTTTTTAATTTAAGGCAACATTTTCAATTAACGACAAATTATCAACAGAATTACATTTTGAAAGAATACAAAGTCGGTTGCGTGAATTTGTTAATGATCCTAAAAAAGCTGAAAATTTTATTGAAAATAATAAGCCTATAGCTATTGTTTTAATTAAAACGAGAATGGATAATGCTTCGAGATTTATACAACAACAATTGGTTTTTATTTAAATTTTTTTGTTTAAAAATTAATTTTTTTGTTGAATTAGAGAAAAGTAACGAGTTTTCGAATTTTATATTAATCGAGTTAGCAAATAAACCAACAAAATAAAAAAATTTATAAACAAAATAGTTTTATTTAAAATTTTAACAAAAAGTTAAGATTAAATTTTTTTATATTTTCTTTGCAAAAAATCCGCAAATTTTTTACACTTTCCTTTTCCTTTTGGATTATTTGGTTATTTAATAATAATTTTATATTTTTGTGTTACATAATACAAGATCATTTTTTACTTTCTGATTTTTTTATTTTTCAAAAAATTGCGGACGATATTTGCGGATTTTCTGCAAACTAAAAACTATCTATTAAGAATAATTCCTCTGATGTTCTAAATATATTTCCACAATTTGGGATTCAATTAGGGATGAATTTATGTTATTTAAATGATCAAATGAATGCAAGAGATGTTGAAGGATTAGAAACTTTAGAGAAAGATTATTATTCTGTTTGTGAAAAAATATATAGATTTGTTGAAAGTGAAAGTTTGTTTATTTTTAAATATTTATTTTTTTAAATTAATTTTTAAAGAAAAATGTATCGCTTTTATATCTGGAAATAAAGGTGTTGGGAAATCAACAACTTCACGTTTTGTTATTAATGCATTAAATACATAGTATGTTTTTTTTTGAATTTTTTAAAGATTTCCTCTTTTGGTCAGATTAGTCTGTTCAGGCCCGTAGCCAGGATTTTTTTTCGGGGGGGGGGGGGGGGGGAAAGGGGGAGGAAAATTTTTTGCGCCAAATTTTTGGCGCCGAAGGCGCCAAAAATTTTGATTTTCAGAGCCGCAGGCGAAAATTTTGAGAATTTTGGACCTCAAGAAGCCAGATTTCTTCCTTTTTCAGCGCCGCAGGTGAAAATTTTTTTAATTTCAGAGGCCGTAGGCCAAAAAATTCACTTTTTTTGCCCCAGCCCTTCCCCAAATTTTTTCCTTTTTCCCATTTCGGGGGGGGGGGGGGAATTCCCCCCCTCACCCCCCCCCCTGGCTACGGGCCTGAGTCTGTTGTTGTTGTCTTAATATAATAATTTTAAATTATTTGGTTTCCTCTTTTACCATTATTTCTGTAAGATTAAATTAAAAATGTCTTTCTTGCTTAATTTGAGGATTTTTTAACTAATCCAAAATAAATTTTTCAATTTTGAAAATTTTTTCTAATACGACGTTTTCACTTAACATTTAGTATTTTATTAGCGACCCCAAAAACCTTGGATTTTATTATCATTTTTAAACTAATTTCTAATTTTTTTAATTTCCAAGTTCACTTCTTCACCCATCAAAGCCTTCTTGCAGAATATTTTTGTTAGATACAGATGTTGGTCAATCAGAACTTTCCCCAGCTGGATGTGTTTCTTTATGTGAAATTAAAAAGCCTTTAATTGGTTGGTTTTTAATTTAATAATTTTATATTTTTAATTTTTAAAAAAGGTGTTCCTTTCACTTCACAATTACCATCACTTCCAAAATCTTTATTTTTTGGTTCTAATTCTCCAGCAATCGACACAGATTTTTATATTAAATTAATTGGTTATTTAATTGATTATTTTAATAAAATGATAAAAGAGGATTCAAATAAAGACGATAATTTTGTTTTAATTGTTAATTCGTTGGGATGGATTACAGGTTTGGAAATTAGATTTGAAATAATTTTTATTTAATTTTTAGATCTCGGTTATGATTTAATGCTTCGTGTTTTAAATACAGTAAAGCCACACTTTTTGGTAAATTTGGAAACAAATAATGACATTAATTTTCAAGTAATTTATCTTTTAATTTTAAAATTATTTTTTTTTTAAATTTTAGATTCCAAATAATTATCGAAGATTTACAATAACTACTAGAAAAAGAGAAAGTGCTATGTAAGTATTTTGTTAAAAAGAATTCTGTATTAAATTTTGGCAAAAAGGAAAATGGTTTTTTGGGTAAAAATTGAAAGGAATTTTTTTGAGATACTCTCTAAATTTGTAAATAAATGAATGCTGAATTAGAATAATAAAAGAAATTCTTTATCTTCATTGAATTTTTCTATTTAATTGGATTTAAATAAAAATCTTCAAACTTTTTAGTTTCACAAATTCCAAACACCCAACTTCGGCACAACTTCGAAATTTTCAAATGGCTGGTTATTTAGCACAATTATTTACACAAGAAAGATCTTCAATTGAAAGAAATCAAAATAATGGTTTTTTAATTGAAAATATTTTTTTTCAAAAGGTTCTTCTTTTCAAGCTTTAAAACTTGCCGATTTGCCAGCTTATCGTGTTCGTTTTTGTTCTGTTTCAATTTATATTCATCCGGAGTTTAGATATGTAGATGATAAATTAATGTTGTGTGCTTTAAATTGTTCTTTTGTTGCTCTTTGTAAAATTGAGGAAGGATTTGAAAGGGTATTTTTTTATTTTTTTTTGAATAATTTTAATTGGGTATTTTATATAGTTTTTCTGATATGTAATGTAATTCTCTATAAAATTTAAAAAATATAAAAAGCCTAAGAGAAGACTTCTTCGGGGTTATTTCGGGAAAACTTATTTTTACTTTTTACTCGGTGTATTTTTGAAAAACTCAACACCTTTTCTCCCCAAAATTTTTTCAATTCCATGTTTTCATTTATATTTTTTCAGAATTTTGAGAAAAAACATCTTCTGGATGACTCTTCTCTTCCATCTCGATTAGAATTACTTTCAGATGAAGTAAATACAGAAGAATCAATTAGTGGTGGAGAAATTAACGAAGAAATAATTCCTTTAGAGAGAAATATCCATCCAATGCTTAAATGTTTTGGTTTTGGATTAATTAGAGCAATAAATCCTCAAAGAAAATTATTTTATGTTTTAACGCCAATTGAACAAAAAGTTCTTCATCAAGTTAATGTTTTTGCTTTAGGTTGGGGGGTTTTTTTAAAAAATATTTTTTAAAAATAAAATTTTTAGGTCATTGTTTAAACACTCCAGATATGTTACTTTTTGATCCAAATGTAAGTTTTTTTTGTAAAATTAGGGAACTTGGAAATTATTTTGATTTTTTTTGAAAAATAGTAATGATAGTTTTGGTTATTTTTGCAATGTTTTTCTAATATGGCTAAAATTATTTTAAAAATCAGATTTCGCTGTCTCGTTTACAAGTTTGTAAAAAAATTTCTTTTTTTAGGTTGGTAGCCCAGCCCCTTACATTGTTGAACTAGATTCTGGATTACAAATTCATCATAAGAAGTTCTTTTCACCATTGAGGAGTGATGTAGTTGTCCAAAATGGAAATAAACCTTGCTGATTTTTAATTTTAAATTTATTTTTTTCAATTTTTGTTATAAAATTTAAGAAAATAATAAAAAATATTTACAATATTTAAAACATTTTCCTTTCAAATTTTCTGTCAGTCATTCCAATACTTCTCTTGGTATTTCACCACCAGTCCACTAAAATCAAAACTTTAGTTTTCTTATTTTTCAAAACCTGTATCATTAATTTATGTGCATTTGTTTGAATACAAGCATTTCTATTAATTTCCAACTGTTCTCTTTGCTGTTTTACTTCATTAATTACTCCAATCTGTTTTTCATTTCCTCCTTCAAAAAAGCTTGTTTCTAAATTATTTTTAATTAAAATTTCAAAATATTTGATTAACCTGATTTAGCCCAAAGTAAAAGTAAATTATCCCCACTTTTATTAGCCCATTCACAAGCAGCATTCAACACATCTCTTTTAAAAATAAATTAAACTTTAAAAATTTTAAAAACTTTGATCGAAGCAATTTTGCAAGTAAAAGTAAAGCAATGCTTTGAAGACGAGCCATATCCTCTTCCTTTGAAATTGCAATTGAATCCATTAAATATTTCCTTTTTGAAAATATTTAAATTAAAGTATTTTTTAAATGAAATTTTTTTAGTTTTATTTGTCAGTTAACAATTAGTTTTTAAAATAAGAGAAAAGCTGGAAAGACTCGAACTCTAACCACTCATATCTGCTAATGTAAAAAGTAAATAAATGACTATGCAAGATAATTTTGCTTTATTTAAAAGCTCCAAAAAATATTTTAAAATTAGTTAAAAACTAAATAAAATACTTTGATTCTTGTTGTTTTGAATTAAGAAAATAATGAAATCCTTGAACTAGAAGAGCAGCAGACTTTGTAGAATTGGCTTGTGAACGAAGCTTCAATGGAGAAATGGCATCATACAATTCATAGAAATCAGCATCACGAGAAGTATATAAATAGACTAAAGCCTTAATTTTTAAATGATTTTGTATTTTTTTAAAGGTAAAAATTTAAAAAAAATATTTTTAGTCAAATCGTCAAAAACCCAAAAAATAAATTAAAAACCCTTAAAAAATGAATTAATTATTTACCAATCCCAAATTTGCGAGTGTCCACAGTTCCAATTCTTTTGCACCTTTATTTATTGCTGTTTTAAATTGAAGTTTGGCAGCCTCAAAACATTTCATATTTGTTGCATACATTCCCTAATGTTTTATTTAAATAATTTTAAAAATTAAAAAAAACCAAAATTGTGTGTAATTGAGGACCAAAATCGTTAATTAATCTTAAAGGTTCACGAGAACGATGTATTGTTCTGAAGATTTCTGTGATCTGAAAAAAATGATTCATGGGAAATGATCGAAATTATTATTATATATCCCAAAAAAACTTAACCCTGCTAGGGAATTCGAATGTATTTTTAATTTACAATTAAAGCTATATTCAGGCATCCAAAATTTAGATTTAAATAAATTTTTTTGAAACTCAGTTTCCTCTACATAATAAAATAGGCTTTATATAATTTATTTTAAATGTTTACTGTTGAAAGAGATTCTGCTGGGCTTTGTTTAACTAAATATAATTGGGAAAGTCCTTCATGTAACAACATTTCCATAGATTCAACAAATGATTCCATCCGATTTTCAACAATTTGAGATGAATCTGTCGATTTTTGCATTAATAATTTAATTCCTCCCAAATGCCTAATTGCTGTTAAATAATAACGATGGGCTCTTTCAAAATTGGTAAATTGAATATTGCAAAGAACAGTTAAAACATAAGCAAATCTTTTTTAAAAGTATTTGAAAATATTTATAGCCAATTAAAAGACGCTTACCCAGTCAACTGAAAAAAATTAGAAATTAATTAAACTGAATTATTAGAAGAAATAAATTCTTTTATTGATTTCCTTGGGTGACATGAAAATAAAAAAATGATTTACAAAGTTTAGAACTTATTAATTATTTGGTGGTAAGGTAGTAATTTAAAGCCGTAATTATTAAATCTGATTTAGAATTTTTTTAGTAAAATCCAAAAAAGGACCCAAAAATTCAGAAATTTTATTATTTTTGAGAACGTAAAAGTAAACACATTTTCTTCCAAAATTCACAAATTTTAATTTAAAAAAACCAACCATTTCAGGACTTAACCAACAAATTGTTGTTAACGAATTCATTGCAGACATTTCATTTTTGGCCGCAGCTTCAGCAGTCTGTACAGTTATATGTAATTGTCTAAGGCATTGTTTTGCACTTTTAACCATTCCAATTGCCAAAAAATAACAAAGTTGAATTGAATAACAAAATGCCCGAATATCGTTAATTGCTGTTTGGTCTTTATTATTTGAAGCTACCTTTTATTTTTTAAATTAAAAAGAAAATTTTTTAAAAGAAAATTATAACTGTTTGTAAGATTTCTCCCAATTCTCCAACTGATTTACCCAATTCTTGTTGATCAGTCATTTGTATTGAAAGAATCTAAAGAAAATTTTGAATAAATTTTTCCAGTTTCTTACTTTTTTATTTAATCAAAAAAACATTTTAAAACTATTTTTTGAATAAATTTCTAAAATAATTTTTTGTAAAATAAATTACCAAAGATTTAACCAATCTAAAATAACATTCAACAAGAACTCCACCAGAACCTCCAGAAAATTGAATCCCAGCATTTACAGCTTCTAAAGCTCGAGAAAATTCCCCTAGACGTAACTGGGCCTCAGCATAAATAAAAAGAAGTTTTGTATGGACTTGGGGATGACGAGGAGAATCAGGCAATTCTGCTTTGCAAACCTAGAAAATTAAAAAAAACTTTGAATTTAATTTTTAAGAAAAATAGGAAATAATATCTACAATTTAAAAAAAAACAAAAATATTCTAAAAAATATTTTAAATAAGCTAAATTTATGGAAAAAAGAACTTAAAAATGACAAATAAATCCCAGAATTTAAAATTAAAAAACGCAAAATATGAAACTCAAGTGCCAAAAAACTAAAATTTTTTGAAACTAAAATTTTGGAAAAAAATTATCAAAACAAAATAATTCCAAACCTCCAAACACTCCCTAAAATGCCTTCCAGATAACAACAATTCAGCAAGCATTGTAGAAACTTTTAGACGTTCAGTTTCTAACGAAGAACCCAATTGCCGCATTGTTCGAAGAGCTTCTTCCAAATGACGACGGGCCATATTATAATTACGAGTATATAGCCAAAGTAATTTTCCCAGCTCATAAGAACAAAGAGAAAAAATTTCAACGGAAGTTGGGACGCGAAGGGCTGTCTAAAGAAAATAGAAAAATTATTTTTTAAATATTTTAAATTTAACCATGCAACATTTGATCGCCATTTTATAACGACAAGCCAATCGAAAAGTCTCAGCCATTGCCTTAAAAATAGAAAAAAACTCAGAAAAAATTGTGAATAAATTTTAAATAAAAATAAGAGAATTTAAGGAGATTTGAAAATATCACTCTTAAACACAAAAAGCATCTGGTACTTATTCCCTTCCTCCCCAGTCCGAATTTTAGTTGATACATGAAATGGTCAGTCATTTCTTTCTTGCATAATTGTAAAAAAATTCCCTGTAGTCAAATTCATTCAGCCACTTTTCCTCAAGTAAGATTCGGAATGGGTAGAAGGGGGGGAGGGGGGAGGAAATAAGTACCTGCCTTGCTAAATTGTTCATTATTATTTTGGCAAAATTAAAATAATAAAAGAAAAAAACCATTAAACTTATTGCTGCTTGATTTGCATCAACTCCGGGTGGAGGATTTACACGACTTAATTCTTGAGATTGAGACATTTCAAGTTTTTAAATAAATTTAGTAGAAATTTTGGTAAATATTTACGAAACAAGAAAACATTTGTTGATAAATACATACAAATTAATTGAATAATTATTTTGCTTTTTATTCTTTTTTGTTTCCTTTTATTGTTTTAGAAAACAACAATTTGCACAACCAAAGGCAATTATTCAATGCCAAAAAATAATTTTTAATAAAAATTTAAAATTTTCTTTAATTTTTCGGTTTTGTTTAGTAAAATGATGAAATGGTGTTGTTATGTTATAATGGCATAAATAATCTGTAAAGAAACAGATGAAAACAATTAATTGTCTTGAATTATGTCAAAAAGTCAGCAAGACTCTTTTGTCTTTACATTTATTTTCAGTCTCAGCACAAACCTAAACCTTTAGGCTTGCTTATCAATAGAGTCTCGGCGGCTTAGCATCGAAACGCCTTTTTCTATGCCATAACTTTTTTTATTTCGATCATTTCCAGAAATTTTTTTTATCAATTAGAATCTATATTTGTTTTTATTCTTTTTATTAACTTTATGAAAGGATCCGATCATTTCCTAGAAAGTTACACCCGCCTAAGTATGTTAAATCACGATTATTCGCAGTTAACGGCTCCTAACTTTTTTGAAAGACGGTAAAACTAAACAATTTCTATGAAAAAATAACCAGCACATCCAGAGCTTTTAATTAAAGCATAAATTATTTGGATTGATTTAAAAACAAAAAAGTTATATCCCAAAAACTTTCGTTTTAGTGCCATATTTTAAGACTCTTTCGTTACCTGGTTGCTTTTAGTCTAAACCTTTTGAAGCCTAAACCTTTAGGTTTTTAACCATTTGAGTCTCACCACGTCTTCAATTTGTTTAATTCTAGCTTTTTTAATCGCTTGTTCTTCTTAATTAATGTATAAAGATGAACCAGAACTGATATTCTGATAATAGAAATCCCATAAGAAATCTCATAAAAATAATAGAAATCCCCTGATTTAATATAAAGATTTTGGGGTTGCTATCAATTTTTTAGGGTATGTCAATGATGTTTCCGAGGCTGTTGAGGTTATTCTCTCTGGTGAACATGCTAAGCAAAAGTTTCGGAAGGAAAAAAGGCGTTTTCGAAATGTACATAATATAAAAATTTAAAGATTTTTATTAAAAAATTTTTTTACTTAATGATTTTTAAGAATATTATTTTGCAAAAATTTATTTTGTCTTCTTTTGCATTTAAGCAAAATTTAATTCTAAAATAAAATTGAAGAATTACTTCCAAAAGAGATAAAAATAGAAGAAGCAAATGTATTTGCAATTATTTGCAAATTATTTTGTAAATTTTTTGTAATTTTTTTGGTAAACAAAATTAATATTTAAATGATTTGTAAATAAGGAATAATTAAAATAATTTTTTCTTTCAAAAATATCTACATAAATTTAATTCAAAAAATGCAATTTTCCACAATAATTTATTTAATTTTATTCTTTCTTACAACAACAATTTTATTTATTAATGGAGGTCGTATTCCACCTTCAGACCCTAATCCAATACATAATAAATAAGGACAATTTAATTGTTCAAGAAATGATTGGGAGAAGTTAAAGAATTTAAAATACCTACAAAAAAGCCCCGTTTACAATTTTTTGTTCTACATATAAAATTACATATTAAATAATTTATACCTTTTTATTAATCTTTATTTAAGTTTATTTAATAAATTTAATTTTGCAAGATTATTAAGGGCTTTCGAATAATATAAGATTAATTCGGATTAGATAAAGAATAAAAAATTATATTCGATCAAATTAGCAAAAGGGGAAAATGCGGGGATAATATAAACACATAGTACCTTTTTTTATCATTTACCGACTATAAATCGTACCTTTCAATGAGGCAGGACATTAGATTGGAAGTATCATTATGCAACTCTTACCGCTATAAGCAACCAAATTTTGTAATATGGAGGTGTATTTGGGGCTAGTTTTAGATATTAATAGTTTTTAAGGGTATTTTTGAGGACAAAACTTTCATTATAAGGCCCCATTCCACAGTTTTTATATCAAACTCCAATCATATTTTATTATTTTTAAAAAGTTAGAATATGTATAATGTAATAATTTTTCCTTCAATTTAATTTTTCTTCCATTTTAAAATCATCACATTTGTGTACTCATCTCCCCTCCTTGAATATTTTCTTTTACCAATTTATTTTGTTTTAAATTTAAATTTCTTTTATAAGATGGCCATTTAGTTTGTAATTGAAATAATTCTTTCCAATCCTTTTAAAAAATAAAAATAATTTCATTTTTAATTCAACAAAAACCTTTCCTTTTCTTCTAAATTTAATTAAATTAATAATTATAAGGCTTGGAATAAATATTAATGAAATCATTGATAATATCCAACCAAACACTATTGCCCATTCCGGGAATATATACAAACGTTTATCTTTGCCATAAGTTCTTTTATTCGTTTTTATTTGAGAAATTAAGGCAAAAATGAAGACAACCTTTTTATTTAATTAATTAAAAATAAATTTTATATAAGCAAAGGGTTGTTTTAAAATGATTTTATAGGGGGATAAGGAGAAAAATTTTCTTAAAGAGCTTCTCGAATTTAGGATTCCCCACAATCAAATTATATCTACTTGTGTAAAAACATGAATCGCGCAGTTCCGAAACTAGGAATTAATTTTTTAAATAAAAATATTCCGGAAATCTGATTATCTACTATATTCCTTCTTTAAAAGGAAATAATGTACATATGTAGCAGGGATGTACCGTTTCACCTTTCGTTTTTTAAAAGCTGTTCCCTTCCCCTAATTCTAATTTTAATTAACAATTTTTTACAATTATAAGTAAAGGAGCTATAAATCTCCAAATAATTTGTATACAAATTCCAGTAGGTCCATATATTCTAGTTAACCAATTTTTAGCTGGTCCCATCATTATTTGTAAATCAATTACATAATTAGACAAACCTATAAAATAAATAAATTATTATTTAAATTAATTAATTAACCATAAATATGTGCAACCAAAACCAATTCTAACAAAACAAGTAACATCATTGAAAATGAAGCAGTATAATCATCAAATAAATTAAAATAAAATATTCCTGCCTTAAAATTAAAAAAATAATAAATTTTAAAGACTTCTGATTAAAGCTTTCCTTAAAATTTACTCCAAATCCTAATAAGAGGGGGTTTCTTTTGCTCCCCCCCCCCATTTTTAACCATATTTATTTTTGGGTGATTTTTTAGGGGAGGAAAGGCATTTTTGGATATTTATTTAATTAATTTACTTACTCTAGTACACATAACCAATCCACAAATATAACAACTTAAACAAACAAAAATAACCAACAAAGATTTGTGTTTTCTTAAAAAAGGAAATTGATCATATAAAGCTGTACACATAACTTCGGCTAATCCAAAATGTGAGGCAATACCCAAAATTAATATCTAAATAAATAAATTGTTTTTTCTTAAATTTTAATTCAAAAGAGAAATGTCAGGGATATTGTATTTGATATGTGTAATTATTCTCTTTTTTAGTATAAAACTCTCTTATCCTTCGCAAAAATATTACTAAATATTACCAAAACGTTAAAATTTTGGGAAACTAATGAGAGACGGTTTCTTTATAACGGGAGAATTTTAGCTATACTTCAAGTAACAAGCTAAAATCATGTAATTTAATATCAATAACTAGCCATTAAAAAGAATAAAAACTGCCAAAGCCAAGGCCATCCCGGCATTCGACTCATAGCCTCGGGGTACGCGATAAATGCAAGTCCAGTTCCTTAAAAATATTAAGGGAAAATATTTTAATTATTATTAAATACCGCTTTGAACAACAGCATCAATTGATATATTTAATTGATTTGACATAAAACCTAAGGTGCTAAACACAGCTTAAAAAATAAATTATTTAAATTCCCAATTAAATTTTTAAAAAATATTTTCTTGCTAATAATCAAAATTAATTCCCTTTTAAAGCTTACCAGTTCCACCTAAAACACTTGTAGAAGCATCAGCTAAAGTAATTAAAAAAGCATCTTTGAAACAATTTTGATGAAAATCGTTGAAAGAAGCGAGGGAAATAAGGCCGCCCTTTTTTAAATTTTTTTTACTCAAAATTTCCAAAATTTAATTAACAAACCATTCCAATCGCCAAACTATAACAAACTTGGGTTGCCGCAGCCCTCCAGGTCTAGAAATTCAAACTTTATTTTCTCCCCAAAAATCCCCCCCCCCCTTCTTTACTTCAGCTAGCCAAATAACACTTAAATTAGGCTTCAATAAATAATAATCCAAGCCAGCTTTTGCACCATCTAATGTGATACCTCTAAATATTTAATTTTTTTAAATTAATATTTTTTTAAATAAAAAATTAACCTAATAAAAAGTATAACAATTATTATGTAGGGTGTAGTTCCTGTAAACCAAGCAATCTAAAAAATTAAAAAAAAGTTCTGAGAACATAAATTAATTTAATTATGTTTAATATTGAGAAACAAAAATAGAGAGAACTGATTAAAAAAGGAAATCTCCTTTATATTTGTTATATTCAATTATCTTAAAGAAACAAAACACAGTAGAGACTCTTTCTAAAAGATAAATGAATTTTTTATTTGTTAAAAATTTTTAAAATCTTTGTCTTCTTTTCACTATAAAATTTTAATTCCAAAAAATAAAAAAGAAAAAATAAAGGTAATATTTATTCATTATAATTTCTAAATTCCAAAATACATACTTTCCCCATAACTTCAACACCTTTAACCAAAACCAGCGTAGTAAATAACCAAGCTAATCCAAGGGAAATAACCATTTTTAAACTTAAACCTCCAAATTCGGATAATGTAGCCGTTTTTTCGAGTACATATCTCCTTTTAATTTGTTTTTTAAAGATTAATCTTTAGTTTTTAATTGTTTGGGAACAGTTCTTTTTTAATAGAAAAACTTTGATAATTTCTGGAAAATATTAATGTAAAAAATTATGAAAATTAATTGAATTTAATCCGGGTATAGCAAAAAAAAAATTTTTTTTTTTAATTTATAACTACATAGGTTTTGCTCGAGCAGTTAATTTCTTTAAAATTATTTTAGCTTTATTGTTAATTAATTTTACACGTTTACTTGAATAATTAGTATTTTTATTAATAATTTAATTAAAAAATAAAATACTCCCTTCCCAAAAATAATTATATTTATATTTAAAATTTACTCAAAAAATTCTTCGGCAGGACTAACGGCAGATAAAATAGAAAATGTTTTGTCTTTCAAACTTTTAGCAATTGTATCATTCCCAAAATTACAAGTTCTGTTAAAATAAAATGCTCCCAATGTTTTTAATTCATTAGAACAACGTAAATCTTCCAAAGAGGATGAACAATCTTTTTAATTAATTGAATGATAATTATTAGAGAGGGGAGGGAGGAGCTATAAGCCTTATAATTGCCTACGATAATCGAGCCGGCTTCCCTCAGGACGGGTATTCTTATAAAATTATTTTTTGGGATTGTAACCTGGCCTCTAATTTATCTGTTATTCCCTTTATGTGTTTCCAGAGAGGCTCTTCTCTTTGTGGAAAAAATCCCGCCCTTCCTCTACAGCATTTATTGACAGTCTGTTGATTAAAAGGGAATGAATTGGCAACACACGAGTGACAGCCACGATTAAAAAATTTTTTTAAATAAAATTTACAAATTGTATTAAATTGGTTAGTGCAAGATGAGAATTGGTTAGAATTCCCAGTTATAATCTAAACAAAAAAAACTTTTTTTTTTCTTAAAATATCCTTCATTAAAATTACCGTCCACAAATAAATTAATGTCCACGCGACTAAAAAAATATTCAAAAAATTTATTTTCAACTTATTTTTTATTCATTACCTATAACATTATAATAAATTCCAATTAAAAGAGATAACATAGCCATTGACCATCCAATACCCTAATTTTTATAAATATTTAAATTTTATATTTTTTATAACCAGAAAAAAGACTATAGAAAATGAAGAGAGCATTCTCTAACCTTCTCTCCATTTCCCCAATATTTCTTCTAATTTTTATTTTAACAATTAAAATTTATTTTCAACCTGAAATGCAGGTCTAATCCACCCATAGGCTACAGCTGGTCCAGCCTTGCAAAATTGCCCTATACTCATTTCAAGATATAATAAAGGAAATCCTATCAACAAAGAGCATATCAAATAAGGAATTAAGAAGGCACCTTTTTTTAGTTTTTATTTTGAGAATAATATTCTTTTTTTAAATTCAAAACATACCACCACCTGTTGAAAATAAAAAAAATAATTTTATTTAAAAATTATTTTTAATTAATTTAGGGACGTCTAAAACTCTTAATATTTGGAAAATTAACAGTCGTAGATAACTACAAGGCGATATATTTGTTGATTTTAATCATTTGGTCGATACTTTTTAGAGGGTAGTTATCCCTTAATGAATCGGAGGAGTTTCCAGAGAGCCCCCCCCCCCCCCTCCTCCTCAAATTATATACTATCAATTATTCATTTTTACCGTGTTCATATGCTAAAGCTGGAAAGCGCCAAATATCTATAAATAAAATTTTTTTAATTTTAAATTCCAAACAAAAAATACTTCCAAGTCCAACCTTAAAAATAAAAAATAATATTTCTAAAAATATTTTTTTAAATTTCCTCACAGCATATCCAATACAAGTTAACAAAAATTGCCAAGAACTCCCCCATTCATTTCTTTCTGTTTGGGCATGTTTTATATCGTGAATTTGGGTCATTCAATTTTTATTTTCCTAAGAAATTGAAAAAAATTTAAAAATAATTTTTTTGAATTAGGAATGGACTAAATTTGGAGGAGTTTTTCTATTCAAGATTAAATCCAAGCCTTTTATGAATATCTTAACTTTTCTCAGAGAAATGGTTTTTAGAATATGTATTTTATTTACTTTTTAATGAAATCTTTAAAAATTTGTCAAATGCCTAGAACAAAAGGAAATAAAAATTCTCTCTAAATTTATCTCTTTAATTACTTCCTTTATTTAGTTTATTACAAAAAAATTGAGGAAATAAAAAATTAAAAAGAATTACCTTTTTAAGAATTTCTTTAAAATAAAACTTTTTAATTGACAAATTATATCAAAGAATATTTAAATAAATTTGATTAAAATTTTGGTTTCACTATTTTAATAAATTTTATTTTTTTGTTCATTCTTCTTCTATTCGCCAATTTTAATTTAATATTCACACATTTTTATCGATCATCTGGCAAGTACAAATAACCATTTAAATTTATTGTTCAATTAAAATTCTTTTTTATTTTAAATAAATATTTTTTTAATTTTTGTTTAGCGAAGATTATATTCTCAATTAATCATTTAAAATATATTTAAATTTAATGATTTTTAAAGAAAGTTGATAAATAAACTAATTAAATAAAGGAAAATTGTAAAATTAAATAGAGAAATAGGCATTTAAATTTGAGAGAATATCCACAAAATGTTCACAAAAGGAAAAAGAAAAATCTTATTTAAACCAAAAACTTTCCCAATTTTTGACTGGAAAAATAAAAAATCCTCAAATAAATTATTACAGACAAAATACTAAATTAATCTTTCATTCAAGTGTCTTGTTTTTCAATTGAATTCATTCAAAAATTCAAAGTTTAAGAGCTTATTAATATTTGGGTCCCTAAAAAGCAAGAAAAAAGAGAAATAATCTAAAAATATTCTATCTAAAAATCCTTTTTTGGCAATTCTACGTGTCGTTTAAATTTAGACGAAGATTGATGCAAGAAAAAAAATTTAAAAAATTTTTGTTTGGATTGCAAATTTATTTTTTTAATTTCTAGCAGAATTTCAAATAAAGAAGTATTTCCCTTTTTTAGAATTTAGCTAAATAAATAATTTAATTTCAAATATATTTTCAGCTATTTTTGTTTTAAATTTTTGAGGAAATAAAAAATTTTTATTTATTTAAATAATTTGATTCGTGACCGGACAATCCGTCAGTGGACAATCCGGCAGTGGAAAATCCGTCAGTGGACAATCCGTCAGTGGTCGGACAATCCGTCAGTGGACAATCCGTCAGCGAACAAACCCGTTATTCATACCTCTACCCGACATACCGCGGCCAAAAATTTTCATTTTTTCGTGTGGAGATTATAAGAGATATCGAAAATTTGGAGATTAATGAGAAAATCGGCAAATTTGGCTGGATTAAAAGATCAATGGATTTGGGAGATATCGGGGATTTCAAAGGATATCGTGGAACTAATGGAAATACAATAGATTTGGAGTATTATGGTGTTTATCGAGGAAATTGGGGATTAATTGGGATTTTGTGGATTAAGTGGGATATCAAGGGATATAGTCGGATTAAGAAGATTTGGAGGTTGTTCCATGATATCCATCTAAAAACAACCTCTCGTATTTGAGGACTTCCCATAATCCCACGATATCTATCCGTATCCAATATAATCCTACACGTTAATTATGTAATCTAATCCATCCAAATCCCCGAATCCTTCTAAATCCATCAAAAAATTTCACGCGGTAGGTCGGGTAGAGGTAAGAATCACGAATTTGTTCGCTGCCGGATTGTCCACTGACGGATTGTCCGACCACTGACGGATTGTCCACTGACGGATTTTCCACTGCCGGATTGTCCACTGACGGATTGTCCGGGAGCCATTTGATTAACGTCAATAATTTCCAATAAATTAATTTAAAAATTAAATTTAAACTGAAAATTTAAAAAAATTTGACGTCTTTTTTTTGCAAAATAAAAAAGAAGAAAGAGCTGGGAGGAGTGTTATAAAAAATTAAGGAAAAAAGAATTAATTAATTCATTTTTATTTAAAAAATCTTTTTATATTTTCAATTAAAATAAATTAAAGCTAAACTACCTAGACTAGCTAAATAGCTACCTATTTCTCCTTCAGATAATGCATAAAGTTAAATCGGCGGCTGAGAATAAATCAACATTTTCGATTATTCTTTACTCTTGTATAGCTTCAGGAATTAAATAACTAGTACTATATAAAATATAAGCTCAATTAAATTCAAAAATTAATTTAACTTGAACGGCTGGCTGGAAAGTTACATGGGAAAATTTTTGAGGAGCAAATAGAAAAATTATTAATTTTTCCCTTATTGTGAGCTAAGCTAGCGAAAATAAAAATATTAAATATTTCTGAAAATTAATTGAAAAAACAAACTTTTACCTAACAAAAGATTATTAAAAAAAGAATTCTCTTTTTTAAAAGATTTTAAATTTAAAAAAATGCAAATTAAAAATATTATTTTTATTTTATTTTTATTTATTTCAACAATAACAATAACAACAATTAATGGACGTCTAATACCTTCCGGCTCTAATCCATTACATAATGATGTAATTGATTCTGCCACCGGTTTAGCTAATTTACTTGCTTATTTGGAAGAAATTGAAAATAATTATTTAAATAATAAAAATGAAGAAGGAGAAAATTACAGCCGCTAAATTTAAATTAAAAACAAAAAATTAAATTTTTTTATGTCTAATAATGATATTTTTAAATTTAAATTGTAGTCTTCATTTTTAATAATTCCTAAACTGATGTCTAAGTCAACAATAATTACAACACCAGGCGATTTTTTTCAAATATTTTAGGGCACAAAGATTAATCAAACATTTTGGATTTTCATAATGCCAAAAAGACAATATCCCACTTTTTAATAAAGGCCTCAAGCGAAAATTTTAAGAATTTTGGAAGGCCAACATTCTACTTCGTAGGAGGTTGGCCCAACCTCCTACAAATTTTTGAACGAGCGTCGAAGCACCGTTCATGACCTTTTATTGTTTTCATGACGATGAAAATAAATTAATAAAAATTAAATGAAAGATAATACACAATAAAACTGTAAGCACCGCTAAAGCAATGCAATTCCAAAATTTATTCGAGCCACTCAGATCTTGGAGGGCAAGAAATAACTAGTACCTTAATACTAGGGTTTATAACCAAAGAAATGAACAAAAGTAAAAATGAAAAGAAAAATTGTTTTATAAAATTCAGACGTGATATAAAATAAAGGGAAATTACGAAAAATTGAATATAGAGCTGCATAACTCACACACTCTTTCTTCTAATTAATTTCTCTACTTATAATAAGATTCTTTAGCTTCATTTCATAATGTCAAAATGTAACAAATTTTTCATAACATCAACACTCTTTATTTCTCAAAATGGTAATACTCACAAAATATTTAAAAATGTCGTTCATTATTTTCTTTTAATTTTTCTTTTCAACTTTTCTTTTAAAAAACTTTAATTTTAGCTAAAAATTGTTTTTTTAATGGCTTCTTCTTTTCGTTTAACCGGTACTGCTTTACGCGAACTTCGAATCCATTTATGTCAAAAATCGCCAGAAAGTAACGGTGTTCGACAATTTATCGAAAATGATTATGTTGATTTAAAGAAAGGAAATCGGTTATTTCCAATTTTAATTAGAGAATGTTCGGGAATTAAACCTAAAATTTGGGCGAGGTTTTTTAATTATTTTTTAAATTTAAATTTCTTTTAAAGATATGAATATGGAATTGAAAAAAGTATTTCTGTTGAAAATGAAAGCCGCGAGAAGGTTTTTGAAATTATCAAAAATTTGGCTGAAAGAAGGAATGTTAAATAAAAGAAATGAAAATATAAGTATTTTTAGGTGAAAAATAATTAAGAAAATATTTTTTTGTTTAAATTTGTTTATAAAAAATTTTTAAAAAAAGAATTTTTTGATTAAAGAATTGTGTTTTTCTCTTATATTTTTACATTTTTTAAATTAAATTAATTTTTGTGTTTTGAAAAGGAATGGTTTATTATTTTACTTCGAATGTTGTTGATCCCCCAGCTGTTTTATATATGGGAGATGACAAAGAGGAGAATGAATTGCTAATTAAGTTGGTTTTAAAAATTAATTTTTTAATGGAAAAATCATTTTTGTTTCCATATAATTTTGTAAGGTAATTAATAGAGAGCGAGATTTTCAAAAATCCTTGTCCTTGATTTCGGCTGAGTACCTTGACCAGATTTTTGACCTTGAGTCAAGGAAGAATCAAGGAACTCTGAAAAATGGCTATATCTGGACTCTGGATCCAGGAAAAATCAAGGTCTGGATCCAGATCCAGATCGCTCTCTAGTAATTAATTAAGGTAATTTAACCTGTAAGGTCCTTTTTTAGTTCTCTTATGGAATTATCTTGTCAAGCATAATAATTCCACATAAACTTTTTAATCTTTCAAAATCATCCCACAATTTTTAGATATGGCTGGCCAGAGGATGTTTGGTTTCACGTTGATAAAGTATTTTCTTTTAAATTTTTAATTAACTTTTCTACATTTAAATTAGCTTTCTTCTGCCCACGTTTACCTTCGACTGCAAACTGGGCAACAAATTAGTGACATTTCTGAGGATTTAATTGAAGATTGTTGTCAATTAGTTAAAGCTAATTCTATTGAGGTTTTTTTAAAATAATTCTTTTGGATTTTCCTCCAAATCTTTTCCTCCAATATCCCCTTAATTCCAAATTATTTTTTAAACAAAATTTTTAAATTTAGGGCTGTAAATTATCCGAAACGGATGTAGTCTACACAATGTGGAGTAATTTAAAAAAGACTGGAGATATGGTTACTGGACAAGTTGGCTTTCACAAAAATAAGGATGTTAAAAAGGTTTTTTGAAAAAATTTTGGAAAAAGAAAATATTTTTTAAAATTTAGGTTCGGGTACAGAAACAAAGGGAAATCATTAATAGACTGAACAAAACTAAAACTCACGCAACTGGTGTTGATTTTCGACAATTAAGAGAGCAAAGGGATATGGAAGAGCGTCAGAAAGTGGTGAGAAAAATATTTTTTTTAATTTTTGTGGTGGGGGAGGGGAGGGGGAGTTGTTGATTTATGTTTTTTCAACAGTGTTTTCTTATTACTCCCAAAGATTATGTTGGGGTAAGGGGCAAAACTCCGTCCTTACCAAAAAACCGCCAGAATAAAGGGAAAATGGCAAGAAACACCTTTGAAAGGAGCAGCCCCCGTAGTCTGATTCTCTCTTTAGACAGTATTCTTATCGAACTGAGTTTTGGTGCCCTACCACGGTTTTGTAATAACTAATTTTTTTTTAAATATTGCTGGTAGACTTCCAAAATGTCAAATAATTAACAAAATGCCCAACTAATTCTACAAACTTTTTTTTAATTTTAGAAAGAAAAACAGAAACAATTCCTTAATGAAGAAAAAGCTAAACGAGAAGCTATTGAACGAGAATCAAAAAATATGAGTTATGACCGTGTCTTTACCCCTGAACAAATGTCAACAACAAACAAAAATACAGAAGGAAGAGATCTTGAAGAAGATTTTATGTGAAAAATTTTTTTGTGTTTTTTGTTGTTTTTTGAATTGACAATAAAGGATAAATTAATTTCTAAATAATTTTTCGAACTACTTTCTTTTGAACTTTAAAGAAGAAAACATTGGCTGTTCATTTGACTAAAAATAAATGACAGAAATTGCTTCAAAGGTGCAATAAGAAAATGTTGACGCAAACCAGGAAACACAAACCACTTAAACAATACATTTTAAGCACTGCAAAAGCAATGCAATTCCAAAATTTATCCAAGCCACTCAGATATTAGAGGGCAGGAAACAACTAGTACCTTAATACTAGGGTTTATAACCATAGAAGCAATCAAAAGTAAAAAAGAAAAGAAAAATTGTTTTATAAAATTTAGACGTGATATAAATTAAAGGGAAATTGTGGAAAATTGAATATAGAGCTGCATAACTCACACACTCTTTCTTCTAATTAATTTCTCTACTTATAATAAGATTCTTAGCTTCATTTTATAATGTCAAAATGTATCAAATTTTTCAAAACATCAACACTATTTATTTCTCAAAATGGTAATACTCACTAAATATTTAAAAATGTTGTGTTTAAAAAACTAGAAATTTTCATAAAATATTTAAAAAATTTTTTGTTTCAATTTTTCTTTTTGAGAATTATGTTTTTGTTTGAAAAATTGTTTAAATTTGAACGGACAAATTTTGTTTTAATTTATTTATTATTGGGAGGAAAAATAAAAAGAACGAAGTCTATAAATCATTTTTTCATAGAAATCCAAAATCCCGAAAATCAAATACCCCTTCACTTTCAAATATTTATTAAAATTTATTTATCAAATAAAGCTTGGATTTTTCTTAACATTCTTTGATAAAAAATCATTAGAAGAAAGCAAATTAAAAATTAAAACAAAAAATAAGGAGAAAGAAAGAGCTTTAACCCCCAAAAAGTTATTAACATTAAAAACTTTTTCTTCTCTCCTTTTTCAAAAAATAATTAATTTAAGAATAAAAATCTAAATTAGAAGGAGAACAATATTCTTCTTGTAAACCAAAAACAGAAATATTTTGATATTTTCCACAACAATTAACATGTCCCCCAGCATTTGGTTCTTTCCCATTAGCTATTGAAGATAAATAACAGGGAGGGACAAAATGGGTAACAGAAAGTGAACGAATTGCTGAATATGTTGCTGCTAAACCTCCACATATTCCAAAAACTTGAAAAAATTTTTTGTTAATAATTTTTAATTAAAATATTTTTTATTTTCTTTTCCCTTCCCAAAAATTATTTTTCATTAATTTATTAAATGTGTCCGATCCTTGTGGAAAAAGAGATTGGAAATACAAACTGGAAAGGTTTATTTAATAATCAAAGCACTACTAACAATAAATAATTGGAATTAATTAAAGATTGGAATTTTTGAAAAGCCTGGACCTGTTCCTGGACTCTGGGTTTGATTCATTGACCTGGACTGGATCCTGAGCCTGTAGTCCGGGAAAAAACCAGGCCCAGGAAAACCCCAGGAAGGTCAAGAATGGCTGGGCCTGGACTATGGGTACAGGAAAGCTCCAGGCCTTGGTCCAGACCCAGGCCGATCTCTAGAATTAACTATTTAATAATTTTAATTATTAATACATAAATACCTATGTACATTTTATCTCTTTTTCCTTTTTATTAGAATAATTTACTTTTAAATTTTAATTAAAAAATGTAAATTGTTTATAGTTATTGTTTATAGTTAATAAATTTTTTAAATAAAAACTTACGGTACTTATCGGTTATCTCCCCACACATTATTTTCCTTTTATTTCTCCTTCTTCCCATAAGTTACAAAAATGCCACATTTTCTTTCCCTGTTTTACCTCTTCTTTTTCTTCCCACAAGTCTATATACCGTAAATACTCTAATATAAGCCCTGGACTTATATTTTTCAACGGGTCACACTGACTGGGCTTCTATTAGAGGCTGGGCTTATATTTTTCAATGGGTCTTCTTGGAGGGCTTATATTAGAGGAGGGCTTTTATTAGAGGCTGGGCTTATATTAGAGTATTTACGGTAGGTATGTATTTTTAAATTGACTTAAACGTTACCATTATTTGCCTGTGACATTTTTGTAACTTTTGGGAATAAGGTGAAGAGAAAAAACAGGGAAAAAATATGTGGCATTTTTGTAACTTATGGGAAGAAGAAGAAGGGGAAATAGAAGGAAAATAATGTGTGGGGAGATAACCGATAAGTACCAAACTTACTAATAATAAAAATATAACCAAATAAAGTTAATTTATCAGTTCTTTCAACAACACTTTAAAAATTAATTTAAATTTAATTAATTAAAAATTAACTAAACTCTTTCCAATTAGCAATTTCCCAATCTTCCCCCTCCTCCTCTTCCCCTTGTTTATTTATATTTAATCCATTAATTTTTGTTTTATATTTAATTGGTTTTTCGTTTGATTTAATTTCTGCTGCATTCAAAAAAAGATAAAAAAGTGAAGGAAATACTAGAGAACACAACATTAGTACAGAGCCACCTTTTAATTAAAATTGAAATTGAAAGAAAAATTTTAAGGGATACTATAATTATTGAATATATTAATTAATTTTAAAAGTCCTAATTTGAAATAATAATAAAAAAAAATAAATAATAATAAAAAATAATCATTTATTGATACAATTTTGGGCTGAAAATTTTGTAAAATATAGAAGAGTGTTTATTATCCATTGTTTTGTGTATCTCTTATTATTGTACATAAGAAGTTATAACTTTTATCGAGTTATAACTTTTTAACGAGTGATCAGACTTGATATATCCTACTAGAAAAAAAGTTTTGTTCTAATTGGATCAAGCTTAAAAAAGTTATAGCCAATCAATGTCGGATGGCACTCTATTGTGGGCGTATAAAATGATTGATAAGTACAAATCATTTTGCCATCTATGGCGATAAGTTTTTTGTCTTATGGTCCGGGACCTCTGTTTTCAGCAGGACATGTATTCCATGAGAATGTTTTACAGGAAAAGAGAGCTCTACTTAACCAGAAGAGAATGTGGGGGGAAAAACGGATAAATACCTAATTAATTTACCCATTAAATCAAGTAAAGGCCCAAAAGAAGGAACAGTTTCAGCAACAAACAAAACTAAAATCATCATTCCAGTCCTCACAACAACCCTTTTCCAACCAAAATCTTTAAAAATTAATTTAAAAAAATATTTTTATTTAAAAAATAACCGTGTGGAATATTAAAAACTTCTTCAACTTTTTGATTTAAAGGATTATTTACAATAATTATTGTAAATATTAAATGTAAAGTTATCATTAAATTAACAATCTATTTAATTAATTTAAGGTTATTTTTAATAATTTAAATACTTGTTGTATCCAAACATGTTGTAAAGAATTAATAACAGATTCTCGAAGACTATTTCCATATGTCATATAGCCAATAATACAGACTGGGGTATACATACAGAAGAGAACTAGGAGGGGGGATTTTTTATTTTTATTTTTAGGAAAATTTTTTAATTAAAATTTTCTTTAATTAACACAACTATAATAAAATTTTTTAATTATTAGGCATTAAAGTCTACTAGATTTATTTTTTTCTTTAAATAAAAAAACAAACTAGAAAAAGACAACAAAGAAGATTTTTCAAAATCTTCAGGTTTTCTCATATCATTTTGAATTGTTGGAAATGCTGGATGTCCTCCATAGGCAAATAAAAGAGTTCCTACAGCCAAGAAAAAATTTGTAATTTGAAATTCAGGAATTGAATGGTGTTGTCGGCATTCTCCAAAATCGAGTAGAGAACCGATACAAATTAAGATAACTGCCTAGAAGAAAATTAAATCAAAAATTATAGAAGAGAAGGAATATACAGAAGTTAATAAAAAATATGAAGATTTAATTATGTTAACGTTTACAGAAAGACTTAATTATATTATTGAGAGATTACTCTCAGAATAGGTGTGTGAGTGTCTCTCTCAAAGGCGCTCTCTGTGAAAGATCTCTCAATTTGTCAGACACTTTAATGAAGTTCGACGATATATTAGGTGATATAATTGTTGATAAATTATGATAATAGTAATCCAGTAAAATACAAGGATCATGCCTAGTGACTACCACTTTCCCTCGGACCGCTAAATTTTTAATTGCCCATAAATGGAATCTTTTGATTTTCGAATTTTTAGAGCCGTAAAAGTATTTAAAGCAATAATAAAATTATTTATTAAAAAATATTTTCTAAAAAATAACCAAAGATGTTGTTGTAACAGCAACTACAGCAGCTAACCTTTAAAAATAAAAAAATATTTGTAAAATATTTAAAAGCTACCAAAAATCTTGTGGAGAATTCAAAAAAGTAATTGGAAGCAAACAAATAGCCAAAATTACAAGCAAAACACAAAAACTTATATTTGCATCGAAAAGTGACTTTAAAAATAATTATTTTATTTTTAAAAAATATTTAAAAACTTTTAAAGTATCGTGAATATTTTTTGCTGAGAGAAGGAGGTAAACAACTGTTGTCCCGAACTAAAATTAATTAAATAGAATATTTTTACAAGATAAGACTATTATAAAATAATCTTTGTCTATTTATTTATTTTTTTCTAAAATAAGACCAATCGGTTTTAAATAGACCGAACAGAGAAAAATCACAAAATTTTCATTTGACTGGTTAAAGATTATTCTTGTAAGTCCCTACTTGATTAATGTCAACGCAAATAGAGACAACATTTCTTTAATTAAAAAATATATTTAAAAGAAAATTTTTAAATTAAATTTTATATTTAATTTAAATTCTAATTGTTTTTAATTCTATATAAACTGAAATTATTTTTTCTATTAAATTCACCCCATCCATTTCCCCATAGCTCTTCTTCCAATTTCTGGATAAGGCTGTCTACAATGTTTTTGATATACAGGCCACCTCCTTCTTAAAATAACCCAATTCCTTCCCAAAGCTTTTGATGTAAACATAAATATTAAAGTCATCAAAAATGAAAGTAAAATGCCCGTCCAAAAACCTTTAAAAATATTTTTTAATTCCAAACCCCCCCCCCCCCCCCCCAAATAACCAGCTTGTATCATTGCTGTAGGCAAAGCAACCAATCCACCTCCAGCCATATCGCTTACCTTTAAACAAAAATGTTGATTAGAAAATTGGGAATGTTTTTGGGATTTGGATTTATGTAAAGGGTCGGGGGATTACTCGAGACTTGGACCTCAATTTCAATACTAAACTTTTGTAGAACATTGTTAATAACAGAAAAAAGATGTGCCAAAAAATAAGAATTTTTCCAGTAAAGATCCTCCTCGAACTTTTTATTAGGTTCATTCGATTTAGTTATTCGAGATTTAAATTCCCATAAAAAATTCAGAATAAATTAATAAATTAACCACAAACAAACAAGCAACAAACCACCCCAATCCAGTCTTCTTTTTAGATTTTTCTAAATTTTTTTCCTCAATATTTTCATCACAAACTTTATTATTTCCATTAATTATAAAAGGTGGGGGCTTTTCAAAGTTGTTATTTTCTGTAGACATTTTTAAATAAATTAATTTTAAAAAATAAATTTTATTTACAAAATTTCTTTAAAAAAATAATTTTATTTTAAACAATTAATTTTTAAATAAATGAAAATAAGTAAAAATGTTAATTAGAAAGGGACTAAAAATATTTTAAATTAAAATTTATTCTTTAAAAGTACATAGGTAATCAAATTATAATTTAAATATCCCTGTACCTAAAAACCTGATGAAATTAGAAAAATAAAAAATTTAACTATTTGGGATTGAAGTAAGGTAGGTACTGAAGGGTTAGTTTTAATTTACTTTTGTTTTAACGGATTTTTCCAAAGTTAATTATAAATTTTTTTCAAAATTTACAATAAAGTTGTCAACACTTTCACGCTATTTAAATACAAAATTTTTCGATTTTAAGTTGACTTTTTGTTTTTAAATAAATTAAAGAGCAGTAAAGAAGTGTCATTTCCCAAAAAAAATTTTCTTTTTTACAAAAAACTTTCAAAAGTAAAAATTTAACATTTTATTTTTTTACTTTTCACGTGAAAAACAAAAAGAAAATCGTGCAACTTGATATCTGGTACATAAATAGAGGGAGAGAGGGGGAAATTATTATTTTATGTAAAAACTTTAGAAAATTAAATACCAAATAATGACTGATATTAAAACAAAAAATATTTTTTTATGAAATCATTTTTATTAAAAAAAAGTTTTAAACAAAAAAGGTTGTCAAAAAATTATTTAAATAATTTTTTTTTTCGCGTTGATTTTTGAAATTTTGGATCTTGATGAAAAAGTTTTTTTAATTTTTAATAAATTAAAAAGTAAAGTGGCATTAAAAAGTTTTAAATATTTTATTTTATATTTTTTAGTGACTTTGTTTTTTCTATGAATAAAAATGCTTGACATCTTTCAGTAGCTTCGACAAGCCTTGAGGACCTGATTATCCATAAAATTGGAAGGCCCTCAACAAGTTGGAGTTTTGTGTTTAAAAATTAATTTTAATATGTAGCTTTTAATTTAAAATTAAATTTAAAAAAGGGTTAAATTAAAACAATTATAAAGAAGAAAATAACAAAAATAGAAATACTCCAAACATTTTCTTTTAAACAAATAAAGGTTTAAATAATTAATTTGATTTAATAAAAAATTTAAAAGAAAAAGTAGTTTAGTAAATAAAAAAGAGGGGAAAACGTTTTTAAAAGAATAAAAATTAATTTTTAATCAGAAAATTAAATAAAAAAAATTTTTTAAAAATAAATTTTGTTTATTGCCAAAAATTCCTAAAATTTGTTTTTCTTCTCAAAAATAAATTTTGGTTAAATTTAGGGGAAGGAAAGGTATTTTAGACTTAAATTTTTATTTTTACCGACAGAAAGTATGAAACCGAAAATCAAAAAAAATCGAGTTAAGCCTGAGTTTACTTGTTTTGAATTAAATAAATATATTTTTATTTTTATAAAGTTTGTGATTTTAATTTATTTATGTTTGAGAGGATTTCTTAAACTGAATCTAATCCAGAAATATTTATTTGTTTCAAAGTCCATAACAATTTAAAAAAATTAGCTCAAAACACACTGTAATACACATTAATTTTTAAATAAACAATTTTTCTGATTATTTAATTTTGTATTTAAATTGTGGAAGGAATGAGAAAAATTTTAAAAAGAAAATAAATTTTGTAAATATAAATAATTTGAGGAATTGATAAGTAAATAAACGAACAAAAATATTTTTTAAAAAAAATTAAAGAAAAGAAGATAACAGATTTAAGCGACGTTTAGGCGCGAACTTAATTGATATAAAATTTTAATTATTGTAGTAATCTTCTGTTATACATATATAATAATTAATTTATATTGTAAATTAATTGCCCTAATCATAGAGGACAGAGGAGGGTAATTAACAACTAAAATATTTTTATGGACTTTATGGACAAAAAAACAATTTTTCTTTGCAATTTGAAAATTTTTAGTGCTTTCTGTTATTTAGTGTGTTATATTCAGGTAAAAGAGGAATGAGTCTATTTCCTGATTGATGTAAAAATTAATCACATTTTTTAAATATTTGGTTGCTTCTTCTCGCTTAATTTTATTTTTTTAATATTAAAAATGTGAATTGTTAAACTGTTCCTTTTCCTTCTTAACAAATACTTTTAAAAAATTGTCTCTTATCTAAAAATTATTCTAAAAAGTATAAATGTGGAGATTAATAAAATTTACAAAAAAAAATTTTCAATAAAATATTTTTCCAAAGAAAAATTTTCAATTAAAAAATTAAAATTTTATCAATTAAATAATTTAGTGAATTAAATTTCAATGAAAAATGTAAATTTTTGATAATAAAAAAAAAGGAGAAAATAATCTCTCTAAAAACCAAACAAACAAAACTTTTGTTAAAAAATATTTTTGTGACTGAAATTATGTAAAATATTTAAGTAAAGTCAGACCTCACATGTGGCATAGGAAGGTATTGTAGATGATGTTGAAAGGTGTACAATGAAAAAGAATACTCACACGAGATATGAAGTCATATTGGAAATTATATTGGGAATAATTTGGATAAAACAAAAAATTTTTTTATTTGTTAAATTTCATTTTAATTTTCGATAAAAAGAAAATGTTTTCTTTTTTTATTTTATAACAATCCAATGAATCCTGTGTGAATATGGATGGCTTACAAAGTTTTAACCTAAAAATCCAGACATTTGTCAAAATAAAAGAAAATGACAAAAAAAAATAAAAATTTTAAAATTTAATTAAAGAATAAAAAATAATAAATTAGAGAGAAGCTTTAATTATTTTATAGGGAAAATGTTCGGATATCCAAACTGGCAATCCTGTTATTTCAAATAAAAATAAATCAGAAAAATTTTTAAAATTTTTGTTAATTCTGAAAAATGGAATGATGAGAATGAGAATATTTAAATATTTTTCTTTAGAAAGTGAATAACTAAAATATATGTATATTTTTTACTTTCTCTCAAAACCAAAGTACTCTTAAAAAATTTTTTTACACGTGTGGATCTGAAAATAAAATACTTGTAATTGTTTAACCCCTTCCCTTCCCTTGCTCTTCACTGAAAACGTGTAAAGTATTAACATAATTGAGAGGCACTTAAAAAATTATTTTTACTAAAAGTAAATGGATTAGATAGACAAATTATTTTAGCGAAAATATACACTTACACAGAAAAAAAGTAAATTTGAATAAGACAAGTTCTGCTAAAAAAAATTTTTTTAAACATTTTTGTTTGTCAGTTTTGCATTTAAATAAAAAAATTTAAAACTGCAAAGAACAGCTAAAAAATATTAAATGTTGAAAGAGTGGGGGTGGGAAAAAGATAGCGCTTGTCGAGAGCCTTCTATTTATTTGGATTAGATCAATCATAGAAAAGTTATAGCCGATCAAATTCGGGCGGGGATATAACACAAGAGTACCTTTTCTAAAAAATTTAGAGTTAAAAAATCAACAAATTTAAGATTAAAAAACACAATTTATCATTAAATATAAATTTATTTTTGTTGCAATAAAAAATTGAGAAAAAATTTTTTCGAAACAAATTTAAAAAACACAAAAATATCAACACAAATTTAAAATAAAGTGTTGATATTTTGGGGGAAATATTACATTCTGATTAGGTTTAATTTTTTTGAATTTAGAGATCAAAAAAGTATTAAAAGACAATTAGGGCAAATATCAAGAACAAATAATATACAAATAAAAATTAAATGATACTCTAAAAATATTTTTTTCTTGACAGTTCATTCCAAATATTTTTGATTTTCCTCATAGTAAACAAAACTAAGTTTTAAAAAACTTCTGCGAACTGTACAGAATTTCCTAAATTTTCTCCAATATCTATGAAATAATAAAAGCAATCTTTTTTTTAAATAATTTAAATTAAATAAAACAGAAAAAAACTAAAAGATTGCCTTTTATAAATAAAAACAAACAAAAATATATTCGAAAAATAATAATAAACAAATTGTGAGGAAATTGGGCAATTAATTTGAAAATAAAATAAAAATTCTTTTAAAAATTATCATCTCTCAACTAAACACCCAACAGAACGTGCTGCTTCTAACGATTCTTTAATTTCTTTTATCATTAAATTTTTATCATGAGAAAATTTTGGGTTTTGAAGCAATTTGTCTCTACACATTGTAAGCATACGACCAAGAATATTTGTTCCTCTAAAATTTAAAAATTATATGGTTATTTGCAAGGACGTTTATTTCGTGTAGGGCTAAGGAGAGCTAAGACAAAGACAACAAAAATGGTAACAAAAAATATTAAGAGAAGAATGACTTTTTAAAAATTTTGTTTGTATCGGGATTGAGGTGACAAAAATAACAGCTATTCTTCAATAGGACACTATCCAAGACCCAGTGGCCGCAGGTCCCGAAATCAGTAGGGTAACTGTTCATACATTCAAATATCCCGATATGTCTGCGTGCCTTTAGTTTCGACGGTAGAATTAAACTAGGATAATTTTTAAGCACATTTGTAACTATCCTTAAATTAATACAAAAAACTCCAAACTTCACCCACTTCCATTCATTTTTATCACGAATACGCCAATCATCCATAGGCAATCCAATCCCCCATCGTTTATCTGTAGGGTTTACTTCAATAATTTCAGCTCCACTTGTTTCAAAAAGTTGCAGACGCAAATCTCTATTTAATGAATATTTGTAATATGTTGCTATAGCCATAACCTTTAAAAATAAAAATTAATTGTTAAAAAAATTCTCTTCCAATCACCTGAATACTAATTTTAAACCATTTTGATTGATCAAAACCAACAACTTGAGAACCTATCCTTTTCATAAATTTTGGATCCCTAGTCCTCATAATATCACTCATAGCCTTTCTGTCATTAAAAACTTTAGCTTTGTAGAACATATAGTATTGCTCGGTACAGCAAAAGAATTGGCCTGTAAAAGTTGAAAATTAAAAGTAGCCTTAGAATTTTAGATTTTATATTTAACATAAAAATGAGAAGGAAAAGAATATAAGAAAATAAGAATAGGAAAAATCCCGATTAAAAAACGGGGACGGAAAAAGTCAGGAATGAAAAACCTACTAAATATGTACATTTTAAAATTATTAGCCACCAAATGAGTTTTTTAAATTTGATAATAATTCAGATTAGAAAACTTTGTTATAATTGTGATAAATGTAGAGATTGTGAAAAATGAAGTTAAAACTAAAGGAAAGAGTAAGATCAAAGTATGTTTTAATAGCTCAAATTTGGTTAACTAAATCTAAAAAGCGTCAGAAAACGGAGGTTTGAACTACCTAACATTCAATATAAAAATGTTTTAAAAATTAAAAAACAATTATTCACTACCATCAATCTTTAAATAATCAACCATATAATGATTACTAAAACAATAAGAACTGGTAAAGAAAGGTGCAATTGGTGTGAGGTTAAATGAGAAGATGACTGGAACTATCCGATTTGTTGAACGCTAGAATTTCAGAAAATTATAAAAAGTCGAACAGGCTCTTTTTTAGATGAGGAGGGGGAATAGAAAAATAAAAAAGACTTTAATTTTTAAAAATAATTTCACATTTATCACCTTTTTAATTAATATTATGAAGCTTATTCAAACGTTGAAGTTAATAATATTTAAGTCAATCCATTCAAATGATCACAAAAATTAGGACATAACAAATTAATTTTTGGTTAAAAAATGTATCCATTGAAAAAACAATTTTTTGACGAATTGGAAAATTTTTCTGAAAATTTTTAGATCAAATTTCGCCAAAATAAATATATTTATAATAAGGCAAAATACATTAATATGCCTTAATTATAAACAGCACAAAATAAACAGCCATTCCCCAAGATTATCTAACAATAAGATTAATATTGCCACTAACTTATCATGGAAAATAAGCTATACTCTAATGGACTAGGCTAACAATACACTCTAATAGACTAGGCTAACAATAAGGAAGATCACTTCATTGACTCAAATGAAAGTTGCCGGCCGACCAATCCAACAAGCTTATAGAGAAGAGCTCTTAATATATGTATTTCCCCAAAGCGTGTGACCTGCATATTTCTTACTCAGCGGATTTTACTATATTAATGAATAGAGTGGTGGTCAAGTTACTATGCCTTAAAGTAAGAAGCCCAAAAATGATGTTTTTACAGTGGTCCGAACATTTTACTCGTCATTTCTTTGTAAAATATTGTCAAAAATTGCCTACAAAAATTGGACAAAATTCGTAATCAAGAAATTTTTTGCAGAAATTTACCATAAAATCTTTTAGAAGTGCTCTTAAACTAAATTTTAAAGGCTTAAAATATCGATTTTTGCTGCATATTTAAGGAAATTTTGAATATTTTTACGCATATTCTGGGGTTTTTCGGTATTTGGCGAATTTACGTAGTAATTTTAGACCAACTAAATAATGAAGAATAATTCTAGTAAATATAAGAGAAGCTAATTGATAATCATATATTTTTTTAAATTTCCCCTAAATAATTGTAAATTAAAAATTAATTCTCTAACAGAGCCTGTTCAACCAAAACAAAAAATTTCAAAAAAACTTTTTCAAACTATACCAAATCAGCATTATTTTCACTACTTATTGAATCATTTATCCTTCCTCCTCCTTCTTCCCCTTCGTTTTTTCCTTCTCCATCTTTTATTGGACTATTTTTAATTGCTGGATTTTTTAAAGCAGGTTTTTCACATAAATGTCTAAAAAGCCATCCATTTTTGTAACGCAAAGGATTAAATTTTGGTGTAAAAAATGTGAAACGTCCACTTCCTATTGAAGAATTTTTTGAAGAAAAATTATTATTAAATTCTTTTTTATAGGGAGAAGATTGAGGGGTTGTTGTTATTGTTGGTGGTGATTTTATTGATGAATTTGTTGAGGAAGAAGAATTGTTAAAGAAATTTAAATAACGATAATTTAGAAGAGTTTCTGTTGGTTTTGTTGATGTTGTTAATGATGAAGTATTTGGTAATGAATTTACAGATTTTGTTGGAGAAGGAAAGAAATTTTTATTTGAATCCATTTCTTCCATATCTTTTGGTGGATAAATATAATCACTTATTGAAGGGGAACCAGCATCTTTACTTGTGTCGGTTAAAGGAGATTTGTTGTTAATATCGTCGTTAATATCAGAACGGAGACGCTAAAAAATAAAATTGTAAAAAACAAAAACTCAACTAATTTTGCTGAAATTTTAAATTGTAATCAATATATTTTTAGGACAATTTAGTCAATGGTTGGAGGATAAATTCCCAGATCCAAAATATTCAGACTATTTGGATCCACTAACCCCAACTTTGTTGGTAATTCTGGAATCAAAAATTCAAAGTCTTTAATTGGGGATATCGATAATTTTGAACGTGACAGACCCCCTTTTTTCCTCCCCAATTTTCAGTCTATATTTTTAAAAAATGGTCAGACTTTTTCCTTTCTTCCATCCAAGTTGCCTTTCTAATTTTTGCCTGCAAACAAACAAAAAGGATTATAAAAAGGAGGAGTACTTGATTGCTGGTAAATATAGAAAGGCAATTGGGATGGGAGAAAGGAAAAAGTCTGACCATTCTGTAAAAATATAGGGGGAAAACTTGGGGAGGAAAAAAGGGGGTCTGTCACGTTCAATATTACCGGGGATATCATTTAAAAAATAAAATTAAAAACCTTTCTAAACGATGGCTTTTTAAATTCTGAAGATTCATCCAATTTATTATCCTTAAAATAAAAATCAAATAAAAAATTTAGAAAAACAGATAAACTTGTTGTAATTGTCTTTCTGAAGTGCGACGCCAACTTGGAAGAATTGGTGTTTGTATTTGACCCTAAATTTAATTAAAATTATTTAAACAAAATATTTTTTAAATCCAAAGAAAACAAAAAAATTATAAACTAACCGTAACTGTTTCATTTATCGAGGTTTGAAAATTTCTTTGATTTGGCAATTTTTCAGTCTGTGAATTAACTGGAGTCGTTGGAGCATCCTGAAAAATTGATTTAAAAAATACAAACAATTAAAAACATTTAAAAATTTAAAAGTTGACACTTTTAAATTAAGCCAATTTAACCAAAAAATATTCGACTAACCGTAACAGGTTCAGGAACAGATATAGACGAACTTCTCTTATTTGATGGCTTTTCTGATTGAGAAATTAATAGAGATTCACCCTATAAAGAAAAAAGAAAATTTTTAAATAAAAAAATTATTAATTAATTTTTAAGCTAAATATTTATTAATGCACGTGAAAAATTCTTTTTTTAATCCAAATCTTTTTATTTGTTCGTTATCTTGATTCGTGAGGGGCGAGGGATGACCTAATTTCTTTCTTAAATTGCAATTTCTATAATTTAATGGCAAAAGGAAAAAGAAAATATTAAAAAAACCAAAAAACTAATTTCTTTAAATTATAATTTATACCGATACTTGAATTGAAGATTTTGAAACAAATTTTGGTGGAGGCGGAGGAAAATTAAAATTCTGAAAAAAATTGTTTTTAAATTTGTAATTAAATTTAAAACCTCAATAGAACAGGATTCTGTATGTCTTTCTTCTTCTTCTGGTTCTGGAAGAGGCGGTGTTGGAGGGCGCCAATTTGGATAATGATAAGCAGGAACATTCTAACAAAATTTAATTAGACTCGGTAAAGAAAAGGGTAAAATTTTGAGTTAATTCGGAGGCAGAATTTATCAATTCTATTAATTAAAAACAATTTGAGTTACAAGAAGAACTCGTCAAAATCATAAATTTAAATTTAAAAAAAATTATACCTTCCCAGGTATTTCATCAGGTAAGGGTATCGATGCAATATCAAATTCCAAATTGATGACTAGATTATCAACCTGTCGAAAATCTTTATCAGACAAATCCTCAGTTTCTGTAGCAGAAGGCTTATAAACATTTTGAGGAAGAGGCCCTTCACACTTTAAATTCTTCAAATTTATTGCTGGCTTCAGGTCCTGAGAAGGAAGATAGGTATCCTTTCGAGGAGGTATGTTAGCATTCTCTGGACTTTTATTTCTCTAAAAAATATTAAAATTAAATAGTTAGTTATGTAAAAGTGAAGTTTTAGGTTGTCGCTACTTTCCCCTACTTTCCAATTTTTAACAGAAGAGTGAAAAACCCTGTTCACTAATTTTCCCTCAAAAGTAATTTATCAAAATATCAAAAATTAATATTAACCAAGTTAAATAGTAATTAGAAAAAAAGCAAAATAAATTAAGTAATTAGCTACTCGAAAATTTCAAAATTTTTCTAAAATCTTTTAGAAAATTCCTCGCCCAATTTCAAGAATTTTTTAAACAGTACAAAATTACAGCATTTAAAAACCTCAAAAGTTGTAGCAACACTTGGCCTATTTAAATTTAAAACACTTGGCAAAGATTTGGACGAAACAACAGGGTTTATTAAATTTTCCAATTCTGCATCAATAGCCTTTAAAAATATTTAAATTACAAAAAAAAACAATTTTCTCTCAAAAAAACCTCTTGTTTAGCTTTCTTTGACGGCAAAGCAAAAATTGAACCAATTTTAATTTTTGGTTTTATGTCTTCAACAAGTAATTCTTGTTTGTGTGGAAATGCTGTATGAATAATATCTTCACTAGATCGTTGTTTTTGGTTTGTACTTCTCATATCACAATCTGTATTAATATCAAAATCTTGTTGTGAATGTTCTCTGACAGAATCAAAAGAAAATTTAGTTAAAGAATTCATTATTTACAGGATTAAGAAAAATTGATTAATTAAAAAAATAAAGAAGATCAAAGAGAAAGTAGGGCAAATAAAAAATAAAATGCAAAATGCCAATGTAAAAAATAACTGCCAATTAGCGAAAATTAAATATTTAAATTCAAAATAAATTACTGTACTTGATAAAAAACATTTTATTTTAATACAAAAAATACAAAAATAAGACGATTGGGTGGTCCAAAATATACATCGCAAAAGCCCAAAATATGTAGAATATCCAAAACTACGCATTAAATATGCAGAAAATAATGACGAGGTCGAATTGCACACTCCTCTCTTAACTGAACGACAAATGTAAAGTCGCAAACTAAGTTTTCTCCATTTGTGCAGCTCGGATTAATGAGATTTTAAAGGCTTTATTCAAACATTTTCTTGTTAATTTGTAACTCTATCATTTACTAAATCTTCTCCCAATATTCAAATATTAGTTAATTTATCGATCAATATCCCTCATTTACAAACAAATACATATAAATAAAAAAATAACTTTATAGCCTTTAGATCAGCTTCAACTCTTCCAAAGAGAAATAAGGAATTTGAAGGACATTTAGAAGGCCATTAAAAAAGAAGGATAATCCCAAAACCTGTTTACAAATGGGAAAAAGCTTATAATTTATTTTCTAGTTGTTTTTGTTTAAAAAGGATATAAATGGGAAGGTGCGCAACTCTACGATTAAGACAATTTTTGAGTCTAGGTTTAGAGGGAGAAACAAAACGACATGAATGTTCTACAATTCCTTAATTAGTCAAAGATGAAGGCTAAACGATACACCTTGATATATTAACACAAAAATCCAAAGTTATATTTGATCCGTTAATCATTCAAAAGAGCTATTCTTATTCTTAAAATTATCCAAAATTTAATTTTTGCTACTCAATTGTCTCTTATAATAAGCTGTTCACAAAAATCTCAATAAGTTGCAATGACTGCCGGACAGCGGTGGCCTTCATCATCTTCTCCTTTATTCCTTGTTAACTACCTAAACTACCTTTTTTATTTATTTATTTTTTGCTTCAAAACAACAAACAAATCCCCTCTTTTGTTGATTTTAAGGAATTAAAATGACGCATTAAAAAATAAAAAAGAAATGGCCTTGTGTGTATTGTCCATTACCTTTTATTATTGCTTTATTTGCCTTGACCTTATTGTAAAAAAATAGAAAAACCCGAAAAAAGGAAAAAAATTAAATGCAAAAACATCGCGCAAAAAGATAAACACACAAAAATAGCAATTCTCTCAGATTTTTGGCCTCTTCCATTTTTTAGTTGGTATTTCTCTACTCCGAAAAGAGATTAGAATGTTATAGAAATTAAAAAATCAACAGCAACAACAATGAAAATTAAAAATTTAAATAAAATTAATTTTAAATTTGCTCAATTTTTATTTTATTATAAATATTTTTTGTTTTTGTTTATGATTCTCTTTACTGCAAAAATAAAAGTTTGGATTTTAAAGATTATTATTATTTTTGTTAAATTAAATAAATTTTTCCTTTAATTTTTATATTTTTTGTCTAATTTAAACTAATTTCTTTTTCACTTTCATTACAAAACAATCCAAATTTCACTCGAAAAATTTTCTCGATTAAATAAAAATATGTAGTTTCTAAAATGTGAAAAAAAGTAATGTAATTAAAAATGTAAATAACTACCCCTAAGCTAGTACAAGTTTAAATTGTCAAAATATAGGGGGTTTGTCGAGTTCTTTGTTGACAAAACTCGATTAGTCGCTGGTCCTAAATAGAAAATGAAAATCATTTTTGAAAGTTTTATTCAAATCAAATTAGTGTACAAATTTGTATACCCGTTATAAATAAATTTATTTTTTTCTCTCCAAGGCTCAACAAAATTTTCTTTCATTTATACAACCCTTTCTTGGTAATCAACAACAACAATCACAATCCCAACCTTTTTTTCAACAAAATAAAGACCAACCACCACCCAATAATGATGGAGGAGGGGCATTTGGAGGTATTGGACAATTTGTTGAAATGTTTGAAAATGTTCGTTCTGCTTTTAAAAATAATGAAAATAATCAACAAAATAATGATAAAGGACAGAGATTGCAACAATTGGCTAATTCAGCACAAGTAAAGATTTTATATAGACCTAAATTTATTTGTAAGATGGTACCTGATATTTAAAAATATTTCAAAAAATTTTATTTCCTTTGGATTTTTTACCTGACGGGAACTATAAATAATTTTTCCTACCACTAAACCTGAAAAAAGTCAAGATAAGCAGGCATTTCCAATATTCATGACTGAATATTTAAATTATTTTTTAAAAGTATTTACATTTAATAAATTAATTAGTTCAATATTCACTTCCAACTTTCCTATCAAACTTGTATTTATTTCTACTATTTTTCCAGAATTTAGAAGAAACTAATAATCTAATTAACACATATTATTTTTGTTGTGTCCGCACTTGCAGAAAGAATATAAATGAAAATAAATAACCCAACATCGGGTTGGATGGTGGCACAGTCGGTTGTGCTTTCGGTTTGGGCTCATTCCATGATGGTTCAATTCCATCTCCCATCCACAATTTTTCCACAGTACGAACACTCGGACTTGACAAATGGCGCAGTCGGACAGGCCAGGCTTAGCCTGAGGAAATTTCAGCGAACCTTCAAATGCTGTGATGATCTGACATTCTGTCACTGTGGAGAGTAAAAGGAGAAGACCCTGTGAGAAATTAAAAATGCCTGAGTTGTGATAGGCTAGCCGGTGGTGTGAGGCTATATAAATAAAAATGCGTAAGACGCCGATGATGCGCAGCGAGTAAGAAAAATAAAATGCCACAAATGGGTTTCTGTGTGTGCTCTCCAAAATCAAAACAGATGATAGTTATAGAAGACAAGCAAAATCAAGCGAGGACGCTTGATTTCGCAAGGCGGAAGGAGTGTTGTGTCCGCACTTGCAGAAAGAACATAAATGAAAATAAATAACCCAGCATCGGGTTGGATGGTGGCACAGTCGGTTGTGCTTTCGGTTTGGGCTCATTCCGTGATGGTTCAATTCCATCCCCCATCCACAATTTTTCCACAGCATGAATATCGTATACAATAATACGATATTCATGCTGTGGAAAAATTGTGGATGGGAGATGGAATTGAACCATCATGGAATGAGCCCAAACCGAAAGCACAACCGACTGTGCCACCATCCAACCCGATGTTGGGTTATTTATTTTCATTTATATTCTTTCTGCAAGTGCGGACACAACAATTTTTAAAGTTCTCAAATATATTTTTTACTTAACAAAAAAATATTAATTTAGACACTACTATCAGCATTTAGTAATTCTGGAGGTGGAGAATCCTCCTCTCAAACATCAGAATATTTAAATTTTGGAAAAAGTTTTGGCTTAGGTTCAGCTTTAAATAACAAAAGAAGAAAAAGAAGACAATCTCCTCCCCAAATTCCAAGTATTTTTAATTTATTCGAAGATATAGCCCATAGAGCAACAGAAAAACGTCAACAACGTCAAAAACAACAAAAAGATTATCAACATTCACCTCCAATAAATCGACAACATATTTATAGATCACCTCAAGCAAGTACTTCTATTGGAAGAATAACTGACAATTTTGGAAGAAATTTTTTTCAGGTGGGTAAATCGGGAGAACATACTATGGGTGTTAAGTGAATGAAACATTTATTTCTGTGTAAAATGAGTAAAAGAATAACTAAAGCAGTGAAATTTTTTATAGATATTTTAGATAGTATCTGGTTAGTTCTAATAAAAAATTATTTTTTATTAAGTATTTCTCAAGAATTACAATTTCCTGAACATTAAAGATTAAAAAATAATTAATTTGAGATTTTACTTAATTTTTTAAAATTAATTTTAAAATATTTTTTCATTTAAAATTTTCTTGAAAATTAAAAAAATTCGTTTAAAATTTATAAATTATCTTCTCTCGTTAAAAATTTTTGTGGAGACGAAAAATAAGTTAATGCCAAAAAATATCTTCCAACTTTTGGTTCTTCTCTTTCTTCCATTTTATTGTCATTTTTAATATTTTTTTGTTGTTTATTTATTAAATTTTGTCGTCTTTGTTTTCTTTTTACTCCAATAATTGGCAAACGACAAGTTACTGGAGAAAAGAAACAATTTAGGGGTATATACTGCATATTACTTTCTGTTCTTACAACTTGTTGTAAATCAGAATTATTTATATTTTGTTGCTCATTTCTTTGCCTATAAAAAAATTCTGATTTTAATTTTAATTTATTTTTAATTCTGATTTTTTTCTGATTTCAACCTTTTCCTTTTCATTATTCTGATTCCAAGTTTTGTTTTAAAATTCTGATTTTTCTGTTTTGCTTTTCAAGTTTATTTCTGATTTATTTTTCAAAATCAGAATTTCAAAATATTTTTATTTACCCCAAAAGAATAGCTTCCTTCTTCAACTTGTTTAGCTTTTGTCTAATTAATGAGCGTATAACTGGGTTAAGTAAAACTTGTTGTTCTTTTTTCTGATATTCTTTTTGTTGTGTATTTAATGTTGATGATGTAAATTGAATTAAAATAATTAATAAATAAATTGAAGATTTTAATAACATTTTCTTTTAAAATTCTAAAACTAAAATTTTCTTTAAAAATTTATTCTTAAGGCAAATATTCTTATAATGATTTTTGAATTTTTTCTTTTAAATCCTTCAAACTCTCGTGTACTTTAATTCTCTTTTCATCATTATTTATAACATCATTTGTCATTATTCTAATCTTAATCTTGTACAGAGATTATTTTCTAGGGTTTCTCCTTAAAAAGTACTTTTAATATTTAATAAAAAGAATCACCTTTTATTAAATGTAGTAAAGAAAGTACGTAATTTTAATAGAATTATTTAAGGTAATCAAGTTTATTTTCTGATACAAAATTCTGTTTTTTTCATTTAAGTTAGTTTGACTTCCTTTTTAAATTAATTCTGAATTCTGAAATTTATTTTCAACTTTTAATGTTTCTAATTTATTAATTTAAAGTTTTTATATAATTAGAGAGAAAATATACATAAGTAAATAATGAGATAAGTTTTATTTGGAGTTGAGTGGGTGGACATATTTAAAAGGGCTATCTATATAAATATAGCTAACGGATATTTTTTATATAAAAAAATAATAAACACTTAAATATTCTTACGTATATTATGCTTAATTATTATTAAATATATAATTTCCTTTTGGGGATAATAAAAGTAGATAAATAAACAGAAAATAATATTTTTATTAGTAGACTTAAACTTTTAGCTGAATAAAAATTTCTTTAATTTACATTAAAAAACAAAAGATGAGCAGCACAAAAAACAAAAAAAAATACACAAAAAACAAAAAAAAATACACAAAAAACAAAACGTGTTTTTGGAAAATATAAACATAAATGTTTATTTATTTTGATAATTAAACATTCATAAAATGTCTTTCTGCGGATTTTTATGTTTGTTGCTTTAAGGAAATATGGAGATTTAAACCAGGGCTCTCATCGACAAAATGCCACTCAAAAGTATCAAAATCTTGATAAAAAAGTATATAGGGAGAAAATTTCCAAATTTAAAGTATACTCAAAATTAAATTGGAAAATATTTGTTCGTGCTCAAATCTTTTATATTTCTCTCTTAAATGAATCTTTTCTAATAATTTCTTGCTTCCATTGGGCATTTTGTGCATTTCAACGCATGACATGTCAAAATTCGCTGATACAAGAAATAAAGCCCTGACAGTCTTAACCTCAAGCTTTCGTCCATTTTCAGCGCCGCAGGCGAAAATTTTTTGAAATTTGGAGCCCAAGTAGTCAGATTTCTCCCATTTTCAGCGCCGCAGGCGAAAATTTTTTGAAATTTGGAGCCCAAGAAGCCAGATTTCTTTCTTTTTCAGCGCCGCAGGCGAAAATTTTGATAATTTCGAAGGCCCAAGGCTAAAAAAATTCACTTTTTTGCCCAATCCCTTCCCCAATTTCATTTTCAATCCAAAATGTTGATTTTAAAGTATATACTTTCAATAAAGTATAAATTCAATTTCTTAAGTATGGAGGTCGGTTTCAAAGTATAATACTTTCAAATAAAGCACGAATGAGAGCCCTGATTTAAACAGCTAAATTTAAACATAGACATTTAGTGTTTTTTATTGGTCTTTTAAAAATATTTATTTTAGAAATTTTAATTTTAAATAATTTCGGAGATTTATTAAAAATCTAAATTTAAATTCAAAATTTGAGCCAAACTAATTTAAAAAATAAAAATTAATCCAAAGTGGCAACATTAAAAAATATTTTTTTGCAAATGCATTTGATTCACGCGAGGAATTAATTAAAAGAAATAAATCTATTAGACATAAAATTTCCTAAAATATTTTAAAGGATTAAGTTGAATTTAAATTAATTTTCTTAGAAAACCATTTAAAGACCAAATTTGGAAACCGGAAATTTAAAATGATGAATAATAAAAAACATTATTTTATTAGAAAAAATAATTATACCAACAAACAATATTTTATATTAACACAACAAGAAATACAACAACAATAGAATATATTTAGGGGAAAATACAAATAATGATTTTTAACAAGTATTTTATGGTCATTGGGGCTATATTTAACAGGCAGAGCGTTAAATAGAGACAATAGAATATACAGAACTATTATTTCCGGAAAGTTTTCAGAATATAAAACTCATGCCCTTTTTATTCCATCCATACAACATTATTCCCCATTCTTTATCCGGAATTTATTTGCGAGATCGGCCAGAACGTTTTGAACTCTTCCGCTTGGAACGGCCTCCACGGGACGAACGTTTAGAACCACGGGAAGAGCGTTTACTCCGCTTACTCCTTTCAGACCTTCCAGAACGAGATGAGCGCTTTGAGCGGCCATAGGATACTTCAGAGATAGAGTAAGACTCCGAAGCTGGTGAAGAACTGCTGCTACTACTGCTGCTGCTAGACGAAGGCGTCGAAACATTGGAAGAGCCACTGACTGAAATTAAAGAATAATGGAGATTTAAATAAAATTTCAATTGTTTTACTTGTTCCTGAACGCGTCGATCTTGCAGAATCAGCATGCAGACTCGGCTTTTTGACTCCTTTTTTGGAGTGGCCCACTGCAGTGTTCGTTGCCGCCCGCATCCCTCTACCGCTAACAGCAGTTTTCATTGGCTTGAATTTCCTCTTGGAGTCTGTAGCCTCTCTAACAGTTCGGCGACTCATCTCACGGCAAGTGAATAGCTTTTGACGAATTTGTGGAACAAGAATTACTTTGTCCTTTGTCTCCAGCGCTGTTGGAACTGATTTTTCTGATTTGGACGAGGCTTGAGTATGTTCCGATCCAGAACGCCTAACATTGATCGTGATGGAATGGACAACTTCTGAGTCGGACTTGTCCTAAAATTCGAAGATTTTTTGAGAAATTTGAGAGAAAAATTCTCTCACCTTTTCATCATGTTTCGCCGCACTACGTTCCGCAGCAGTAGCAAGTAGACTACAGCAAGAAATGTAGCATCGAGTTGTGCAATAAATGAGGATAGATCTATGGAGAAAAATTCAAAAATTTAAATTTCTCTTTATTAAGGCTTACATGCCCAAATAGAACCAAACCACACAGAAAAGAACATTCCAAGCCCCAATGTTGAACACTAGCCATCCATCCGGACCGGACTCAATCCTGTAAAGACAATAACGTTTTTCTGGTTACTTCTAAAATATGTATAACGTTTACCTTGCATAACGTTTGATGCGAATTAGTCCATCTCCAATTGGCAGTGACTCGACGTCGAAGACAACGCTGAGCAAAGCGGCCAGGAAGAATTGAAGCATTGTTTCTGATGTGCGGTTTTACAAGACGATGAAGAGCGACTTGAATTAAGGGTAAAACTTGGGCTTTTATAAGGACATATGCTTGAGACAATTCTTAGCGGTAATCTTCTTCCCAACGAACAAAAAATGATTTCAGCTCTTACAATCCTCCTTCACTTTTTTGTCACAAATCAAATTACTACCTTTTTGGATCTAAGGCCAATATCAACTAAACGTTCGGAGGAATTTTTAACTTCAAATGGATCTTGATAAAAAGACAACAAGAATCACATAGCTTTATTCATTAGTAAACAAGTAACAAGACTGGAATTATTCCAAAATTATACTGGTTAATCAAATTTTAGTTATTTAACAATTAATGGATTAAGAAACTCCTCAATTCTTCACTGCTGTAGTAGTTACATGCCCGATGGTCTTGACTTTCTGTCTTATCTGTAATTATAGGGAAAGTGAGAAAACATGAATTTTTTTATTTTTGATGGAAGAGAAGTTGATAAAGTGAATAATGAAAAATAATGAAAAACTAAAAGAAACTCAATATGAAAATTTACAAGATATTTAATTTAAGGATAAAGAAATTTTTATTAAAACAAATAAAGGTTTGATATTAGTAAAAGCTTAAAACACGTGCAAATCTTTAATTTTGGGATTTACGCAATATGTAGAAAATATAAAGTTTTAAGATAAAGTTAAAGACGAGGACAATTCAATTCTTAAATGTAAAGTTAAATGAAATAATAGGGGTAGTATGCAAATCAGCCTTACTACAAATATACATTTATCTTCTGCCGCGACAAGAACACATTACAAGACAATATAATATTAAAATAAATAATATTTAAAGCAAAAAATCCAAACAATATTAAAAGAAAATAGCGAAAAAAATAACTTTCATAATCATAAATCTCTAATATAATTAAATTTTCATCAAAAAACTTTTTACTAAACAGGCGTTCCCTCTGGCAACTCTTTAAGTAAACGTCCCCACAAACTTTTATCGCTAATAGTTTTAACCGCTTCATCATTCTCAACTAATTTGGAAGGCAAAACTTCTTCAATTTTAATTTCCGGCCATTGTTTAAATATTCGAGAATTGATTTTTGATTTGGTTTTCGATAACCACCAACTTTCCTTGGTTTTGTCATTAATTGCGAGTCTACGCTTAAAAAAGAGCAGGAAAAATATGAAAAAAAAATTAGAAAAAACAATAAGATAAATAAAGGAATTTAGAATAAAAAAGAACTAATAAAAGAAATTAAAAGAACAGAAAGCTTAAAGTAATAGAAACAGAGAGGGTGAAGGAGGGAGAGTATTTTGGTTTTTTTTATTTAAAAAAATTCCCACCTTTTGAAGATTAATAATTTGCTTAATAAAGTATTCTCCAACGCGGCGCGCAACTTTTGTATCGGCAATCATAATCATATCCTTGAAAAATATTTAAGAATATAAACTATGAAAAAAATAGTTAAAGACATTCAAAAATTAAAATATTTATAATCAACACATGTCATTAAAAGGGTAAAAGAGTTAGATAAAAAGCTAACAGTATTGTAAGGATGAGAGATTCAGCTGGCTAGCATTTATAACGTTTACTAGGCCAGTGTTAAGTGATTAGCAATAACTTTTAGAAGGTCGCAGGATACCCGTTCAAGGCTTGAATTTTAGCTCTTTCTTACTCTGTACATTTGGCTTAAATGAGACCTCAACTATAGCTAGTTAAAAGAAGGCAATGTTTTGATAGGAATTTTTTGAAATTTACATTTTAAACCATTTAATACAATCTACTTCCCCAAATATATATTTTTAACTCCATTTTTACTTACTTTGTCCACATAAAAGTCCAAATCAGTAAAATCATCATTTGTTGTATCATTTCTATCTATAGTCTCTTTACCCAATTCAGCTACAATCATTTTATATGTCAACAATTTACTAGTAAATGTATCCATTTCGTGTTCTGGAACATCCATAAAACTAGCCAATTTTTGAATTGGAAGAGTTGTATAACTGTGAAAAAAAATTTTATGTCAAAAAGGAAGGAATAGTAAAAAATTAGGGTTTTTTGGATTTATCCTTAAAGTTTAATCAAAAAATTTGGATTTCTGAAGTAGGAAAATAAAATGTTGAAACGAATTTCGATTTAAAAACGAAAAATAAATCTATTTTTTAATTTTTAAAAATAAAAACAAACAGTTTTAAATAACCACGCAAAATTGGTAAACTAATTTGACTTTCTATGCCTTCCAAAAATGCGGCGCATTGACGAATTAGAGGCTCCTAAATATAAGAAAAATTAATCGAAAATTTAAAAATTTTTACTTTAGCAATATTAGCCCCTTCATAGACCACAGTTGTTGGGGACAGAAATTTTGGGCACCCTTGTTGAAAAGCTGATCGAAATTCATCAATATCACTAAAAAATGTTTAAAAATTAATTTGTAGACTTTAAGGTTTTTTAAAGAATGTGATTGTCTTATTCTTCTAAATTTTTTCTCTCTCAAATTTTCATTCATTTAAAAATTATCACAAACCCATTAGCCATTCTAAACATTCTCTCACTAAATTTATCTTGCAATTGTGTCTGAATAGAATCATCAATACGTTGTGGTTGAAGTGTCAAACAAATTGTAAGTAAATGATAAAGTTGTTCGTTTGTTTTTCCAATCTTAAAAAAAGATGAGCTTTTTGTGATTTTTTAAATTAGAGGATAATTTGAAAAAAGTGACTTTAAATGATATACACAAATCACTTTACTGTTCTATAAGGATCGAATCCAGAACTCAGCCCCTTTTTTCTGACCAAAACCAAGGAAGATATTCAAAACGCTTTCTTTAGAAACTACCAACTACCAAAACTACCAACCACATCATACTTCCCAGCTTTATTTCTTTGTTGGTTTTGTTGTTGCTGTTGTTGTTGCATATTTTGTGTACGTTGAATATATAGAAGGCAATTAATAAAAATTTTAGTTGCCTCTGCATAATTACGCATCATCTAGAAAATATTTAAAATCTGAATGATTTTTGTCTCTTAATTAAGATCTCTTAATTAATCAACTTTAATTTAAGTTTATTTATTCTAATTAAAGTTGTGCTTTAAATTTTATTTCTCAAAACTAACCTATAAGCATTTTATCTTAAATTTCTGTCCGCAAAGATTAAAATGTGTGTCCTAATTTAAACAAGGTATTTAGATATTCTTACAAATTCTATTAATATTTATTTTATAAAAACACCAAAAAAACTAACCATATGAGAAAACCCAACAAAATAATGAAGAGTAACAAGACAAGAAGGGACTTGATTATGAAGACCCTAAAATCTAGATTTAAGAAAATCAATTAAAATTAAAAAAACCTTTGGATCCATATCCAAATATTCAACAGTTTGGAGTGCTTGGTGATAATCACCCAAAAGAACATGAGTACGTAGAAGACCTTTATTTTTAGGAAATTTTAAAATTATTTAAAGTAAACCAATTAAAGAAAAATATCCGAGCTTGAAGTAAAGATCACTTCGACCAAACTCGTCAGCAACATCATCAGGATTGCCTTGAAAAATATTTTTAGAGTTTTTAAGTAAATTGGTATTCATTTAAATTTTGGAAAGAAATTAAAGTTAAGATTCTCAGTGATGGGATGAAAAAATAAAATTTAAATGAAACCCAAGCATGTATACCACGGATTTTCTGGAGCTGGCAATGAGAAAAGTCTGGAACTTCTCATAGTCTAGAGTGGAAATAAGAAAAGAATTTTTTGCAAAATTTACTCATTCTAACAATAAGCGCGTTATGTATGAATAAAACCTTTCCCATTTATAAATCGATTTAAATGGAAACGCGGGCTCTAATTTAGATCTAATTATTATGAAAAACAATTTAATTTCCAAACCTCCTTCACGAATAGCCTTCAATTGTTCATTAATTTGAGACTTTGTAAGCAACGAATAGAGAATATTCAAAACTGGGTAAATATTCCAGGCCTAAAAAGCATTTAAAATTTTTTCTAAAAATTAAAAAAAACATTTTGTGTTTGTTCCAATTCAATCAAATCTTCAATTTCTTCAGCACTACGTTTCGATGGATTTGCTTTGTAAAGACAAAATGCTTGAAATTGGTAAACAAATTCATCAATAATGTCCCAAAGCCAAATATTCGGCTTAAAAAAATTAAATTAATTTTGAATCCTCTTACTTAATTGTAAGTAGAAAGGTGGTAAAAAAATTCCTTGAAAAGGGAATTTTGAGGTGTGAATTTAGGAAAAAATTCTGAATTCCAATTAGACTTTTTTCGTCAAGGAATCAGATCCGAAGATTTTGAAAACCCGCCCCGACTCTTTTCTCAACCCGGCATATTCCGGTACCAAAGAATTTAAGGCGAACCTAATTCCATTAATTTCCCCTATACATTCCTTACGGTTAATGTAAATGATTCTTTAATTTAATTAAAAGAAAAATTCCAAATTAAAAACAAACAAACCAATTGTAAAGCTACAGGTTCATTAGGCACAGTTTTATCATTAACCTCCTTAGTTCTCAAAATTTCAGAAAAAAGTTTAGAATAATTCATATAACTTTCATAACGATGAATAAGCGAAGGGCCTCTTTGCATTCTTGTATACAAATCTCGATAATAAAGTTCTTTATAGAGAATAATGAACAGGTCATTATCTAAAAAAGTAAATAAACTTACCAAAAATTCCTTTCAATAACCTGTCCCAACAATTTTCTCAACAATTTTGTCTTCCGGCCACATTTTTTCGCTAAAAAATTTTTCAGTCAATTCTGTAAATCCATGTTCATATAATCCCAAAATTTCTGTCACACTCTGTTCTTCAATCATTTCTTTAAAATAACGCAGAAAATAAATAACTTCATCGGGCAAGTCAACATCTATTGAAAATTAAAAAAATTAAAATTTAAACCATAAATTAACCAAAATCTCTGTCATCCATTTTTATTGTCTAGAATATTTTTATTAAATAAAACCAAACAAGGTTATCTGAAAATAAAAAATAAAATTATTTAAAATGTGTAAAAATAAAAAAAATTTGTAGAAAAACCGAATGAAGACGTGAAAAATTAAAAAATTTATTTCTCTCTTTTCCTCTAACTTTTCTCTTCTTTTTCTACTTATCTTTTATTCTTTTCAATAATTCGGGTTACCGTATTATAGCAAAATTTATAATTTTTAAATTGAATTTATTAAATCTTGGCCAACAAATTTTAAGAACCCTCGTTTAAAATATTTAACAATTTTGGAGAATCTTACAATAAAAAAATTTTTACCTCTTCCTTAACTAATCGTCAAAAAATTTTCATCTCACTGTAATACTCTAATAGAAAGATCATTAGTGGGGGTTTAAGTGATTGAAAAATAGAATGACCGGGCATTCAATTAAAAATAATTCGTTAAAAATTTCCATTTTTCCCCATAGATGCTTGACGAACTTTATGAATATGCAAATATGCCTGGTCAATCAACTCCTGCTCATTTAACACCTCCAGCTTCATTACCCATTTCTTCAACAACCCCTTCATTACAACAACTCTTTCCTTGGCTTCCAACATTCCCTACACTTCCACCCCCTCCACCACTCCCAACATTATTTCCAACACCTCCAACACCCCCAACATTATTCTCAACTTTTCCCCCATCTTCAGCTTCAGGAGAAAGAGATCCACCTTTAATACCTGGAAATTCAGTGGAAGTTGCTAAAGATTTTGCTGAGGCAAATAAATTAATGCGTTCATTTCTTAAAATAATGACTAAAAATTCAAAAAAAGTAATAAAATATTTAATATTAGCCAAAAAAAACCTAAATATATATTAGCCTCTTAGACCGATGCCAGCATTAAATGATGGGACAGAATTGGGAAGAAATAGGCCTTTAATGGATCAACTTTTTGAAAGTGATATTCTTTTGACTGCTCGACAAGCAAAAGCGTTAGAGAAAACAAATAAATTTTGGATTAATTTTTATTTTTAAAGAATTGTGTTGGCTGAAGCAGAACGTAAAGGAAAACGAAGAAAAAAAAGAAAAGTGATTACTGGGTCAGCTTATAGATGGCCTAAAGGACAACCAATACCGTAAATAAATTGAAAATTCTTAACAGAGTTTATTTAATGTTAGGATAAAAGGAGATTCAACAGGTTATTTAAAAAACGTTTACTAGGAGGGTGGTTTAAAGAAGGGTAATCGGTTACTGGAGATTCCTCGGATATCCGAAACCGAACCGAAAAATCATTGGTTCTTCGGTTCGGTCTAAAACCGACAACCCTGGTTTTAAGATCTACATTTATTAAAAAGATGACTGCCCTTTATCAGTAAAGGACCTTCATTTGGTGAGCGAAGCGCCTAGTTATGAGATTGCATGATTGATACTACCCGGGGTTAAACTTTTACCCCTCCCTTAATTTATTATAAATTCTGATTTTTAATAATTGTTTTGTAAAAATTCTGATTTAAATTTTGTATTTATTTTTTAATTTTTAGTTACACTTTCCGAGAGTCAGACAGTTTGTTTCACATTTTTCTAAAAACAAAAATATTTTTAAAAATTTATTAGAAGATTGGCACAGATTAATTCAAGATGGTCTAAGATTATGGGAAGAAGAGACTTGTTTACGATTTAAAGAAAATAGAGGAAGTAATTTTGCTAAAGATAAAATTGAATTTATTCGGGGAAGCGGGTAAAACTTTGAAAAAAAATTATTAAAATTATTTAAATATATTGAATGTGTAGTTGTTATTCAAGTGTGGGAAGGACTGGAGGAACTCAAAAAATATCTATTGGGCATGGATGCGATGATGTAAGAATAAATTATTATAACGGCTCCTTTCAGACTTTAATTCAGATTTTTTAAAATTTATTTTTAAAGAAAGGAATTGTGTCCCATGAAGTTGGGCATGCACTTGGTTTTTGGCATGAACAATCTCGGCCAGACAGGCATAATATTTTTTTAAATAAATTTAGAAAATCGTTTTTAGAGACCAATATATTCGACTTGAGGAACGTTATATAATGGGTGGAACCGAAGGGAATTTTGCCAAAAGGAGTGATCTTGAGGCTGATGGAATGGGATTGCCTTATGATTTGGGGTAGGGGGTTGCCTGAGAAATAAATTCTGATTTTTCAAAAGTTCTGTAATGCATTACGGACCCAATGCTTTTACAATAGACTGGGATCAAATTACAATTATAACAAAAGACTCAAAATATCAAAGAAGTATTGGACAACGTTTAGGGCCTTCCTTTATTGATGTTAAACAAATAAATAGGCTTTATTGTCATCGTAAGATTTTTCAGAATTTTTTTTAATTTTAAAAAAGTTCTGAAAAATCAGAACTTTTTTCAGAATTAAAAAGTTTTTAGATATGTGTCAAGGCACTTCAGTTATCTGTTTAAATGGAGGTTATGCTGATACAAATAATTGTGATAGATGTAAATGTCCCCCTGGATTGGGCGGACCTAATTGTGCATCGGTAGAGCCGAGTGAAGGTAGTTTAAATCAACTCGGACTTTCGTTAAAAAAATTTTTTTTAATTTTAGATCCTTTTTGTGGAGGTGAATTATTAGCAAATACAGGGTTATGGCAACATTTAACACATAGAGGGGCAAAAAAATGTAATTGGAAAATTAAGGTAGAGAGGACAAAATTAAAAAAAAACAAAATTTAATTTTTAAAGACGGAAGGAAATCACAGAATTCGTTTTATTCTCGATTCAGTCTCCTATTCTTGTTCCACTACTTGTCAGGGTTTTGTTGAAATAAAACATAATTCTGATTTCCAACAAATCGGGTTTCGTGCTTGTTGTGATGAACATGGAATTGAAGTAATTTCTGAACAAGCAGAGATTTTGGTTATTTCTGATCCTCAAGGAGCTAAAGTTGGGGCCTTTACTTTACGTTATATTGCTGATACTGGAAGTGGTAAAAGTTTATTTTATTTCTAAAAATCAAAATAAATTTAACTTTTAATCAGAATAAAACTTAGGGAAATATTTCTTTTAATTCCCCATCGGAACCTATTAACCTATTAAACCCGTTATATCCACTTAAAACACTTATCTTTTTACTCAAAATCCTATCTATCCATGTTTTCTCAAAATATCTCTCTTTTACCTTTACATCCATCTTTTCCCGATAACTCTTAATTCCTGTGAATACCCGTTATCCTCTTAATCCCATTAATCTTAATCCATCCCCTCGCTCTTAATTCAACAATGTCGTCCTTTTTTGCCTATTAATCTCCAAAATTCTCGTTAAGAATTAGTATTTAAAATTCTGATAAAAATTAATTGAACTATAATAGTTTTGCATACTTTCTCTTATAATTTATTTTTGTTCTGATTTTTAATTTATTTTCAGGTGCACCATTACCCAAACCTCCACCTCCCGCTTGGATTCCTGGAAGAGAAAACCGTGCTTTCCGTGGTGTACAAAATAAGGGCGGTGTTATTGAAAAATTCATTTTAAATTCAATTCCGCGTGTTAGAGACCCAGACAGACCTGTAGAATCTGTTGCTTCAATTTTAACTGATTATTTTGCTTCTTCACTTTTGGGTGTTAATAAAAGAAGAAGAAAATAAAAATGAAAAGAAGTATCGAAATTTAAAAAATATTTAAATATAATTTTGGATCTCTTAATTAGTGATTTGTTAATTTTGCCAGTTTTGGTTATTTTCTTGGTAAAATTCTAAATACTTTTGTACTAATTAAAATTGTCATTTTGTCCAAATTGTCATTTTGTCCAATTTAGGTTTAAAAAAAAGAAAATTTTACTTAATATGTATAATTATATTTAATATTTTACTTAAATATTTCGAAAGGTCATTGCAATTAAGGATTTGGATAGATCAATTTTTGGATCGGGGGGTTTTCGCGGAACCCCCTTCAAAAACATTTTACATATTCAATCTCTTATGTACATATGTATGTATTTAGATATAAAATATGTAACTTGTTCCAAAATTTCTAAACAGTTACAGACCAATAAAGCTTTTTTTGGAAAACATTATTTTACTTAGGTAACCCAAGATTTTATTTGTTTTAATTTTAATCCTAAATAAAACATCAGAAAATATTACTCAAAAAAATTTTTGTCAAAAATAAATAAGAATTACATTAAATCCAAAAAAATCAAATCTTTAAGATGTAACTTAGGCTATGATTACTCATGGTTGCGGTTTGAGTAAAATTTTGAGAACGTAAATCCGATTTTTGATTTTTTTGTGTCAAAGTCACACTCAACTTTATTTGTAATTATAGCATCAAAAAAATATTTTAATTTTAATTATTTAATCTCTGTTGTTTCCTTCCTTTTTATTATTTCCTTCTCCAAAGATTAATTGAAAAGTATAAACTTTAGCTTTTGTTCGAAGTAATCTTCGTCTACATTCTTTTAATTGTTCAGTGTAAACCATTTTCTCTTTTTTCTCCATTTTTTCCCATTTATTTGCAATTGTTTTTGATAATTCCCCAAAAGAAATATTTCCACATTGAGAACGTATTTCTGTTTGTACTTGACGAAAAAACAATGCATAAGCAGACCAAGGACGAACTCCATTTTTTGTCCTTTTTGTGATTTTTAATTCTTCATTCTTTAAAAATATTTCTCAATAATTTGTTCGGCGCATAAAAAATTTTCTTATAAAAACTCTAAAAAATACCTTAGGTTTTAACCAATCTATTGGAATTGATGGCTCTATTCCGTCTAAATCATCAAAAGACAAATTTTGTTGTATTAATTTATTTTTTGCTTGATTATTTAGTTTTTCTTTTTGAAAATTATTAATAATTTTCATTTTTTTTTGAAAAATAATTATTTATTTAGAAAATCAGAATGTTAAAATAATATTTGTTTGAAAATATTTAATGGAAATATATTTTTGGATAATTATTTTTAAGAATTAATAAAAAAATAAAAGGAGGGAGGGGGAGGGAGGATTTTGTTTTTTATAATTTCTCTACATATTCTTCATCGGCACATACAACAACAAAAGGATTTTTAAAAAAATGTCATAAGTCAAGAACATATTTTTTATTAAAAAATACAAAAGAAAAATATTTATAAAGATTAACGCTAATTAAAGGGGGAAAGGTTTTTTGGGAGCGGGGAGGGGTTCTCTTTTATTTTAAGGAGAATTTTCTTTTTGTTTAAATGTTTGAAAGAAAGTTAAACTTAATAAGTGTATTGATAAGATTTTTGTACGAAATCTTCGACGAACAATAAAATAGCAATTTATGTGGTAATGTAGTTGGAGATACTGAGGAAATTAACAAAAATTTTGGAAAAATATTTTTTAAATTAATTTTTCTACTTCTCTGTAAAAAATTAAATTTTTTTACTTTATTTTTCGAAGTTTTAATTTAAAAAATATAATTTTGGAATTAAAATTGCTTGCAAATCATTTTGAAATTTACAAAAAATTGAAAAGATATTTTAATTTATGGTCGGCAAAATCGTGTTTGCGGGATCCTGCATGCGAGAGTAACGGTTAAGTTTCCAAAAATCTTAACTAAAATTTCTTCTAAATTCATTTAAAATCATTCTCATATGATCGTCAGCCAAAATTTCTAAAAATTTCGCAAAAAATTTTTTTTTGTATTTTAGTATTTGCAGAAAATAAATTAATAGATTAATTTCCTTTTTAAGAATTAAAAAAATCAAGAATTACATAATTATTGCAAGTTAAATAAATAAATTTAATTTTGGGTATACTATGACTTTGTAGTTTAATGTCGGATTTTAATTTACGGTAATTATACTTTTTTGTATGAATATATGTATATTTTTGTGATCTTCTCTGAATTTTAAAGTTTATTAGACAAGCTTCGATTAGGAAATTTCCTCGCAAATTCCCTCATAATTCAATTAACTCTATTGAAAAGAATTTTCAAATCTCCCAAGATTCTCTTTTTTTAATTAGAAAAAAAATCTTTAAGAAGTTGAAAAATTCTTTTTAATGGAAAAATAATATGATTCTTTACGGCAAGGAAATTTCTTAACTGAAATTTTTTCTAAATTTATTTAAAATCATTCTCATAGTATGGTCGTCAGTTTTTCCATATATGTAAATTGCTTAATTTGCAAAAAAAAATTTCTGAGACATTTCAGAGACATACATAAATAGAAAAATAAATTTTGGAATTAAAATTGTCTGCAAATCTTGCAAAAATTAAAAACATAAGTATGTATATAAAAAGAAGAGCAAAACCAATCAACAATATATATTTTTTAAAAATTTATTAACAAATTTTGCCCAAGTATGGCTCGATTCTGTACGGGGACGAGCATCGCTTATTTATCCCTTTCGGAGGTCCTCAATAAAGATTAAACAGGAAAAAGGAATTTCCACGAATCTTGACCAGAGCTGTTTCTAACAAAAAAATTTTCAAGAATCGAAAAATAATTTTAAAATTTTTGTGAGTACCCATCTAAAATCGGAAATCGAACAAAACATATTAGAAGTCTTTAGAATCTCTTTAGAAAAAAATTTTCTTTAGAAAAAATTTTTTTTCAGATTTACATAAAAAGAAATGCAAATTAAAAATATTTTAATTTTATTTTTATTTATTTCAAAAATAACAATTAATCTTTGTGGACGTAATATTCCACCTAGCAAAGCTAGTCCAATACATAACGATGTTCCTTTAGATGTTCTCAATAATTTATTTAATTTAGTTGTTGACATGAAAATAAAAGAAGATTTGGAAAAAGTTGATAATTATTTAAATAATGAGGGGGAGGAAGAAGAAATAAATACTTCTACTGTTGGTGGAGAAGAATGAAGAAATGTGAAAAAGAATTGTGAGGAAATTGGGAATGAAGAATAAATTTGTTAAAAAGAAATTAAAACAAAATTTTTGGGAGAGTTTAATTCAATTTACATTGTTAACAATTAAAAAATATAAATTAAATTATTTGATTATTATTCCACAAATTAAGCAAAAAGGCGAAAACAACTAAAAACAATTAATTTTTGAAAAAGCAAAAACTAAAGAACGACAAATTTAAATATTCTGTACTTATGACCATTTTGAGAAATAAAACGTTTTGATATTATGAAAAATTTGTCAGATTTTAACATTATGAAATAATGCTAAAGAATGTTATTTTAAGTAGAGAAATTAATTAGAAGAAAGAGTGTGTGAGATATGCAGTTCTATATTCTATTTTTCGTAATTTCCTTTTATTTTATATCACGTCTGAAATTTATTAAACAATTTTTCTTTTCTTTCAAACTTTTGTTCACTTCCTCGGTTATAAACCCTAGTATTAAGGTACTAGTTGCTTCTTGCCCTCTAAGATCTGAGTGGCTTGAATAAATTTTGGAATTGCATTGCTTCGGCGGTGCTTAAAATGGTTTTTTGTAAAAGTCGAAGTAAACAATGAATAATAATAAGAATGAATTTTGGATTTCATAAAAAATAGAGAAATTGTAACGATAAAATGTTAAATTTTTACACATGTTGATGTTGTGAATGCTTTTTAGAGAGCATTTCGTATTTTTTGTCTTTAAATATTTTATAGTAAACTCTCGACTGGAAACAATGATTATTACACCTTAATAGATCAACTAATAGACTAGCGTCTAAATGGGCGGCGTTGATAATAATTTTATTTACCACATAATTTAAAAAAATTTAAAAAATGGCCTCTCGAACTGTTGAACACAATATTAAAAATTTATTTTTCTTTATTCGATTAGCAGACAAAAATCAAGCCATTCTTGAATACAAAAAATTGCCTAATCAAATTTTAGAATTGTATCATACAGAAGTTCCAAAAGAGTTTGGAGGGAAAGGAATTGCTAAAGATTTAGTTAAAGTAAATTTTTGTAAAATTTCTTTAATTTCCAAAAAAATTTTTTAGGGAGCCTTTCGTTATTGTATTGACAATAATTACAAAATTTATCCAACTTGCTCTTATGTACAAAAATATAGTAAAGATTTGGCAACTGAAGAAGAAAAGAAAATTGTTGTCAATGATTTAAAATAGATTTCCTTTTACTTTCATATGTACATACATATAACCCTTATTTTTACACAATCTACTACGTAGATTGAAAAATATTATGGCTAAAATTCAATAAATTATCGAAAAAAGTCGGATTTTATTTTTATCGAAGTGGCACAGAAACAGCCTATTAATGCCGAAAGATTCTTAAAATATTTTGAAAAAATTTTCAGATTTTTTTTTCATTTTTGCCAATTATTGAATGCTTAAACAAGCTTTTGGCAAGCTTAAATTAACAACAAGAAAGAGCGTTGTTTTGGGAATTACAGGCAGTACTTGTACAGGAAAAACTACTTTAGCAAATAAATTGAGTCAAAAGGTTTTTTCCTTTAAAGTTTTTTGTGGCAGTCTTAACGGAACTTATTAATATTTTCACTTATATTTTTTATTGTTTTACCAAACTTTGGGGATCCAAAATAAAATTTTAAAAGACTAGATATTTAAAAATTAACGATTTTTAATTTTAAGCTGGTAAATGAAGGTATTTCTACACAAGTTATTCATCAAGATATTTTTTACAAAGAGAAGGAAGAAGTTACAACTTTAACAAATTTACAGGATTCTTCAATTCTTTTTTATAATTATGACCAAATTAATTCTGTAAATTTCAAAAAAAAATTTTTTAATAATTCTTTTAAATTTCTAGTTAAAGACTGAAGAAATGTTGGAAGCCGTGAGAAAAGCAAAAGATTTAAATCAAGTTGTTATTGTTGAGGGAAATATGGTGACAAATTTAGAGGAAATTTTAAAAGAAATTGATGCAATTATTTTGTTAACTATCGACAAAAAAATATGTGAGGAAAGGAGAAGTAAAAGAATTTATGATCCTCCAGATGAAAAGGGGTTTGAAATTTTTTTTAATTTTGGTTGAGGTATCTGGACGTTTTTAAGTTAAAATTAAAAGAAAAATTGGTACCGAAAACGAGAGCCGAAAAATTAATTATTGAGCCTAGAATAAGGTGGTTAAGTAACCATCGTGAGTCAAAAGGTCTTTCACCTATAACTCTCCATTCTATAACCGACCATTAGGAAAACATTGAAGATTGCCAAATATTTTACAAAAAATTTATTCATATAAAACACATTCATAAACAAATTTACAACAAATCTAATAGAATATATTATGAGACATATGTACATATTACACACAAGGAAATTTAGGAAATATACAACATATAAATGAATGCAAGATAACAACAAAGGAAAATATGAGTTTAGATATTATATTCAGTTCATTTTTATCTCTTTAGAATTCTTCCCCCTCTGTGGCAGGTTCCTCCTCGGCCGTCTCCACCGGTTCTTCAGTGCGCGTCCCACCATCCCGACTCGGTGTTGCAACCAGTTTCTTTCCCGTATCATCAACTGGCAATGGCTCGGACTCAACGTTGGGCACATGATATACTGAAATTTAAAGAATTACCCAATGACTCCTTTTCACTTATTCGAGTACCTCTCTTCGGCTTCCCTGGTTCTTCCTCTTCAATAGGCTCGAACTTAGACCGACGCCTCCAGAAGCCCCTCTGGCGCTTAAGTATGGCAAGCACATCATCGGCTGGAGTCGAGATCATCTTCAGTGGTGTGACATCCCGTTCGAGCTTGAGTACCACATTTTTCTTTTCAATGATACTCTGTCGAATAGCCTGTAAAATAAAAAAATTTAAAATTGTTTACAAAATTACTTGTAAAAATAACACCTTTTTAGCTGCAGAGACGTCGTTATTCACTTCCCTGCCGTTAACGTCAACCAACATGTCGCCTGGAAAGATGTTCTGCGCAGCTATACTGCCTGACTCAACGGACGCGACCATGATTTTAGCTCCCTGGAATCGAAAGCTATTATTAATGTCAAGCCTTCATTACTCAATCAATTACCTTCCTCTCCACAACTATCCCAACTGGGAGATCTTCTCGCCATCTGATCTGCATGAAGACGGAAATGCAGTTCGGCTTTCGCTGGACTTCTGCGACCTTGAGTGTGGCCATTTTGAAGTAGTCGTCCCTGCGGAAACGGATGAGCAAAGATTTGGGTTGAGCGCCAGAATGCTGAGTTGCTCCCGTGAAGTCTTCTGCCGATTTTATGGCCTGAAAAATGGACGTTCAAACAGAGTATTACCCTAATAATCGCAGAAGCTTACACGTTTGTCAATCTGCACGATCCAGTCTCCAATGAACAACCATCCAAAGAAGTAGGAGAAGATGTCGATCTTCTGTATCCGCGGCGGCGAGCTCCCACTGAAGAACGTCAGTCCCATGTCCGAGTCTTGGATCTCGATGGTAGCCTCATGCTCATGAATGTACTTCTTAGCTGAAAGAGAAAAGAAGGTTAGTTTAGAAGACAACCCTTGTATGATACATCCTCGTTTCTCGGCCATTGTACTGAGACGCCAAAGCAAGAGTGAGCAGCACAGTGACGAACCAAAAGCAGCCTTTAGTTGAATTGAGCACAGCGTTGTCGTACGAAGTGCAGTGAGTTGTAGTGTTGGTTTATGCATAAACTATTAAGGCGCTTTTATACTAACCTAAAATTCCTAATAGAACAACACTTCTTTATTTTCCCTGTGAAGGAGTTGAAAGAGTTGAAACCCTTGAAAGATTTTCATTATTTACTTAAATCGGGGTTTAAAGATCTATTCTGATTATTCTTTTTTCCCCAGCCTTCCAATCTTCTAGTTACCAATTCTTATGATTTATCAGTGTATATGTTCCTTTTCCTGGGAATTTCTTTAAAGCGTTACTTCATAATTTTATTATTGACGGGAACCTGACTTGCAAATTATTTCCCAAATATATTTTTTACCAAAATTTTTTCTGTAAACCTCGCAAATTTATCAATTTTTTTAATTTTTAGTTATTTTGAACAAATAGTTTGGCCAGCATGGGAACAAACATTAAACGAAACCAAAATAAAATTAAAAACACTCAATAAACGAGTGGCATTTAAATGTTCAAATAATTTAATTCCTTTGGATGAAATTGTGTTAGAATTTATTCATTTAATTTGTGACAAACTTGAATTGACTACATCTTTAATTAATGTTAATAATTCAACAAAATGGGTAAATTCTCCAAATTGTGGTGCTACTTCTATTTTTATTGGTTTTTATTTTTTAATTTTTTATTTGGTTTCCAATTCTCAAGACTACTGATGCGTTAATACAAGGATTGACCGGGTTGAGAAAAAAGTCTGGTTGGGTTTCGGATAGAAAAAAGTCCGTGTTTCTGGTGACCCGCCCATCACTGGTTTATAATCCAACCGGTATATTTTTAAAATTTTCCATCGTCCTTTGGAATATATTCCCTTTTCCCCGATCATCCCAAGTAATCACTCATTCCTCACAAATTAGTATAATTCCTTCAAATATTTTTATCCTGTAAATTGCTCTTTAAGATTTTTAAAATTAATTTCTTTTCAGGTACAACAAGAGATACTTTTGAAGACAAAATTGTAAAACAATTAGAATATGAAGCTTATAATGATATGGCTATTTCTGAAATGAGTAAATTATGTAAAAAAGTTAGAATTAAAATCCCTACAATTGAAAGGATTTGTATTTTTCACAGATTGGGGTTTGTTTTTTGGAAGAGATTTTTTTGTTTAATTAAAAATTGATGAGTGAATGTCAAAAAATTAGCTTTTCTATTTTTAAAATTTCTTTTTTTTCCAATTTTCAGTCAAGTCCCAGTAGGAGAGATTTCTGTATTTATAGCTACAAGTTCTCCACAAAGAAAAGCAGCAATTGAAGCAACTGAATGGCTTATTAATTCTTTGAAAGAAAGAGTTCCTATTTGGAAAAAGGTTTTTTTGGAAATTAATTTTAATAAAAAAAATTTATTTTAACGAAGTTAGCGATTGTAAGCAGTTGAGATTAAAAATTAAATTTTATTTCCTCTCTAAAAAATAATTTAAGGAATTATATTCTGACGGTTCTTCTTCTTGGAAAGAAAATAAAGAACAACCATTTAATGTTCAAAACAATCATTTTTAATTAATTTTTGTTTATTTTTAATTGTCTTTCGATGACTTTTTAGAAAATTTATTGAACCAGCATTTATTATTTAATTTTTTCGTTAATTTCCATCGAATTTTTTGTTTAATTTTTAGAAAATAAAATTTTTAAAAAATATTTTAATAAGCTCATTAAAGATATGTTTTATCACTACAATTATCTTTTTATTTAAAAATAATTTCGAATTAAGAATTATTTTTTTTAATTTTTTACGGCTGACCATTTTTAACATTTTCCTTTCTGACCCTTTCTCTCCCTCTATTTATTACTTCATTTACTACGTTTATTTTTAAAAATATTTTTTAGTCTAAATCTACTCAAGTTTATAATGAATCAATTGTTTCGGTTGCCATATTTTGTATCCTGTCGTTGTCTACATACTAAAAAGCTTAAAAGGAGTCCTCCAAAATATTTGTATTTTTACTTTTTATTAAAATTAATTACCAAAAATATTTAGCGACGATCAAATGCAAATTCCAACGAAATTGGAGCTTTATGAAGTTAAACAGGCTAAATGGACAGCTCCTGAGGATGTTGCGGTTAGTTTTAAAAAGGATTTGATAAAATTTTTGAAATTTATTTAAACTCCAAAAATTTCTACTAAACAAGTTTGGAATCTGACGTGGACACAGAAAATATTTTATTTTTTTTAATTTTATAAAAAAGATAAATTTAAGGATCTTTTTTGGCGTCGAATTGTGTACAATAGTTCAATACTTTCAATGAGACGAATTTTTCGGGAAGAATATGAGGCCTCACCTACTGGTTTCAATGCTATCCAAATAAAGAAAGAAGCAAATGACGAGCTTGACAGATTAATTGAAGAAAATGAAAAGAGAAATAAAGATTTGGCTGATGCAAGGTTTGCAATAAGGATATATTTAAATGTTTTTGAAGGGGGGGGGAGGGAAAATTTTTGCTTGAAAATATTTTAATTAAAAATATTTAAGAGCAGAACGCGAAAAAGAAGTAATTGAAAGACTTGAGGAAGAGACTCTTTTGGAAATTGAACGTCGATTGGATCGTGAAACTGAAAAGGCTGCGATAAAAACTGAACAAATTTTGTCGTTAATTGTAAGTTTATTTAAATTTCTTTTATTTATTAGATCTTTGTGTGTCCTACTAGGGCCAGAAATTAAATTCGTTTTAAACTCAATTTTTTACACATACCCAGGGGATTTAAAAAAATTTAATCCACTATTTTTCACTAATTAATAATTTTATTTCAGGAGCAAAGCAAAAATTTCATCACTAAAGAAAATCTTGACGAAAAAGTTCGCGAAGCTTTGGAAAATCCGATTAATCTCGATTACGCGATTGATTTAAATGGGGCAAAAATTGAAAATGTTCAGTCCCAAAAATGCTTTGAAGGTATTAAAGCTACCCAAAGAGGTAGGGCTTTTGATCATCAACCTGGTTATGCTTTGAGGAAATTGGATACTATTGTTCGGTTAGTTTTTTTATAAATTTATGTTGGCTATGTATTATGTAGTTTTGAATTTTTAATTGTCCGTGTTTTCTTCTTTTTAACTGATTAGGGGTAGTTTTTTGGGGTTAAAACATAGAAAACAAGTGGAAGGCCGTTAATGTATCCTTTATTTAAAATTCTATAATATTCATTTGGATGATATTAATATATATTTTTTGGATTTAATTAGTAATTTTTTAATATTTAGGCCGAAAAGAAAGGAAAACGTGAGAGACAATGCTCAAAATAAATAAGATGATTTTTGTTATTTTAGCTATATTTCATTGTTTTATGTACATCTTTTTTTGTTGTTTAATTTAAATATAAAAATTATTAAATTCAAAAAAGTTTTTTTTTCCTAAATATTTTAATATATTTTTATCTAATATTTGGTGTCATAATCTTTTAAAAATAATTTTTAGCTTTTAATGTCTAAATTCTACGCCGTTGCCAGAGGTTGGCAGACCGGTATTTATAAAACATGGTCTGCATGTCAGAAACAAGTTTTTAAATTTCCCCGTGCTAGTTTTAAAAAGTTTGAATCTGAGGAGGAAGCAAAAGAGTTTATCGAGAAAAACGGAGGTTTTTTTTAATTATAATAAATAATTCATAAATGCTATCAAAAATACTGTCTAGCATAAACCTAAATTTGTCTCCTGGTTATGCTTTCTACCCGCTGTAGGAGACAGTAAACGAACAAAATTTTCGTACAAAGATACAAATATCTGTTTCAAGTGTGCCGGATAGACTTGTCGGATCCTATAAAAGGCCGGATATCCGAAATTTTCAGATCGGATTCGGATACTATCCGACAGCTTTATTGCCGAGTAACGGGTATGCTCTTGATTATTGCCTGGGAAATGGTATTTTCGAAAAAATCCCATCCCCTTCATATTCCAACCTTACTTTTATTCAATTTCTTCAATTTATTTTTTCATTTATTAGTTACAAGTATACCACAATTTAAACAAGCAAAACGAGTTGCAAAAACAAAGGCTAAATTAAATCTACCGGTTTGCGAGCCGGATAAAATTAATGAATTTGGGCTTATTATGAAAGATGGAGTTCCTGTTGTTTATACTGATGGGGCATGTAGCAATAATGGCTCTTTTGGATCTAAAGTATATTTTTTGATATGTGTTTTATTTAAAGGATATATATTTTTAGGCGGGTATTGGTGTTTATTGGGGTGATGATCATAAATGGAATATTTCTGCCCCTATTACTGGCCGTGCAACGAACAATGCTGCTGAATATACTGCTATAATTTTTGCTATGGAAAAAGCAATTTCTGAGGGATTATCATGTCTTTTAATTCGAACAGATTCTCGACTAATAATTTCATCAGTAAGTTTAAATTTCGAAAAAAGATTTTAGGGAAGGGTAAGATTTTTTAAATTCTTACCTTTGTGTTTATTTTTAGATGAATGAATGGATTCACAGATGGAAACAAAATGATTGGAAGACTTATGAAGGGAACGACGTTAAAAACAAAGAGTTGCTTGAACGCATTGATGAACTTAAGAAGCAAATTCATGTTTTATTTGAGAAGGTCTCTGGTCATTCAGGCGATTATTGTAATGATCAGGCAGATAAACTTGCTAAAGAAGGTGCAAAATTGTATGTTGGATAATCTAAAAATTTATTTATTTGTACGATTCACGTGATTTTTTTTATTAAATTTTATAAAATTTATAAATTATTTATTAAAAAGTTGTTTTCACTTTTTAAAGTTTACCTATATATTTTCATACTCATTTTCTAGTATAATTTTAAAATTAAAAGGAGAATGTTTTTACTAATTTTTTGTTGGGTTATACTAACTGTATCAGAAGGTTTGGATTTTAAAAGTATTTTAATTAATTAAACTTAAGCAAATGGTGGATACTTACGAGAAGAAATCATTTTCGAACTAACCCCATTGGAGTTTTATTGTACTAGAATATTAAATGGAACTGATTCGGTTGGATGTCAATGTTAGTTTATTTGGAAATAATTTTTTAAACTTATATTTGAATTGTACAAGAGTGTCTTTAAAGACATTCCTTTTTTAATCGACAATAATGTATGTGTCGGATTATTTTCACGACATGATTCTAACATTTGGGGTCCCAGTTTTCTTAAATCTGTTTTGATTCTGAAATTTGACGTTTTTGACAGTTTTGGATTCAATACCATTCGGATAATCGTTTTAATTTATTTATTTTAGTTTTTCTGTTTTAATTCTTATCTTTTTTATTTTAGCAACAAAAAATGGTAATACTGGAGTTATTGTAGAAATTTCAAATTCAAAAGTTATTGATGAAATTGTCAAAGATCTTCCTTTACGAATTCAAAATTTAATTGTTTTAATTGATATTAATAATTTGGATAGGTTAATTTTTTAAATGATTTTTTAATAAAATATTTTTTAGTAAATTAATTGAAGCTGTTCGGACTAATGAAAATGTTCAAGGAATTATTTTGTTTTATCGAGGAGAAAAATTACCAAAAAGTTTTTCTGAAGATGCTGCTTGTCCTAATCAACAATTTTGTAAAATTTTATTTTCTTTGTCCTTAACATTTTTCGTCCTATTTGGCTTCTTTAATCACTTTCCTGATTAGAAAAATTCTAGAATTTTTTTACAATTATTCTTGATAATTTCCATAAATTCAACTTTATTTTTGTAATTTTTAGAAAAATTTCTCTAGAAATTAATAAAAGAATAAAAAATAATTTTATTTAGCATTTTACAAATCTGAACAACAACATTGCCAACGATGGAATTCTCTGGGTGCAATTTCTACTGATGGGTTGCGCTTTAAAAATTTTGATAAGCCAATATTTTTCATAGAAAATCAAACTCAAATTGATATTTTGACAGAAAAGGTTGGGAAATTTTTTAAAATTAAATCTTATAAATTTATTTTTATCCCATGATCCGTTTCAGAACTATTTTAAATATAGTTGGGATTTTTTGTCGTCTAGCATCAAAATTGACTTTCTTATTTTTTAAAATTCTAGTTTTCAATTTTAGTAAATGGAACTGTTTTTTAGACCTCTTGTTTGCATTAGATTAAAAAAAAATTATCTTTAATGAATTTAAATTTTTTAGTGTTCAATTCTCTATAATAAACAAATAAAGCAAGAAAGCCTTCGCTGTATTGGTAGAATGGTTTTGTTTATGTTTGCAGCTGGAAATTCAAAATTATGTATTGAAAGACAAGAAAAAAGTTCTGGATTAAGAGAACAAGTAATGTAAGTGAAGAAAAATTAATGGTTTTTATAAAAATTTTGTTTTAATTAAAGGTTATGTGATCACCTTGAAGACCGTAATGTTTTTGCTATGTTACCCCCTCTTGGACAAAAACAAAAGGATATTAAACCGAATATTTTTGTTTTGGCTGCTAGGGTTAGTCTTTAAAAGTATTTTTTGGATTAAAATCAAATATTTTTATTGCATTTATAGGATAGATTTGTGGATTGAGTAAAAATACATCCCAGTTTTTTAAATACCGATAACAGTGTTTAAAATACAAATTTAAATTTAAAAAAATGTAAAAATGAAATTAAATTAAAAAAAAGAAATTTAGCTTCTCTTAATTTAAGCTAATCCTGGAATTTCTACTTTTAAAGATAATCCCAGACAGCCTCAAGTTTTTCTTCGCTCTTTAGACATTTAGTTAACGAAAAATATTGTTATTCATAGATTGGAGTAATTTATTGATTCGAAAGGATTTTTCGATTTAGTTTTGGATACTCAAAGAATATTACTTAATATTATATTAATTTTTTAGTTAGATTCATTTTCTTCTATCTATAATTCTCATGGAGGAGATTTTTCAACAATTTCATCAATTATTCCCCTACTTTTAGTAGCAAATTCTATTGGTCAAAATCTTCAATTATTTTTAACAAAAACACAAAAAACTTCTCGCCAATTACTTTTTGGATTTTTTCATGGAGAATCTTTGGGGTATATTGGAAGTAGTCGCTGGATTTTTGAAATGAAAAATAAACGATTTCCACATCCAAATAATAAATTACCTGGAGATAATATAAAACAATTGGGAATTGAATCTATTGGGGTTTTTATGGAATTACAACAAATTGGGACTAATCAACAATTTTTTATACATACAGATAAAGAAGTTTATTTGGAGAATAAAACATTGGTTGGTAAATCTGAATATACTTTTGAGAAATTAAAAAAAGTTCTTGAAAAGTTGCAAAAATTTTCTTGAACTCTTTTGAGGAATTTTTTTGAATATTTTAATTTTTTAAAAGTTAAAAATTTTCTTAGAATTATTTATTTTTTTTTAAACAAAAAATTATAAAAAATTTATTTAAATATTCAGGTTGACACTCTAATAAAATCTTCAAAAATTTCTGGAGCGGAAGTTAATTTTATTAATCCAGAAACAATTTCTTATGGATCATTACCCCCTTCAAGCTATCATTCTTTACTTAAAGAATCTAAAAATATTCCTGGTTTTGTATTTTCTTCTTTTGGTGAAGGAAAATATAATTTTAGGTAAATTTTCTATTTAATTTAAAACAAGAAAAATAATTAATTTTCTTTAGTTATTTAAACTCAATTTTTGATATTGAAATTCGAAATAATACACAATTATTTAATCAATTTATTAATAGAATTACTTTAGCTGCAAAAATAACTTTAAATACTGCTCTTAATTATTTATTTTTAAATGATACAAAAATTATTAAACAATTCAAAATTGATGAGAATTATGTGAGTGAAAGAATATATACAGTCAAACATCTCATTTTTAGTAGATACCCACTAAATTAGATACACCTTACTTTAAAATGTTTTTCAAAATTAATTGGCCACTGGGTGGGGAACCTGTTTAAGCGTTAATATTTAATATACTTCCCATCGTAAGATACGATTTTTTCACTCACATTAGTTTATCTAAAAGTGAGGTTTGGCTATTTATTAATTTTAGTTTTTTGTTATTTTTTACTTCTTTAAAGGCTAAAACACTTGGTGAATGTTTCTTTTTAAAATCTTCATGGGATTGTCCTCTCTTTTTGCGTGTTTCAAATGCAACAAATGATCCAGATATGAAATATTGGCTAAGGACTACAGGTAAATTTTTAATTTTTTTAAATTTAATTTTAACCTTAAAATAGCAAATGATTTATCAATTGGAACTGGATATCCAGGATCTGGAATTCGAAGAATCGTTCATTCTTTATTAGTGAATTCTCTTGGACAAAAAGGTCCAGCAATGAATATAGCAAGTGAACAACAATGTATGGACCAAAATAAAAAACAAGACGTGAATTTTTAAAATTAATTTAAAAAAGTTTTTTGATTAGAAAAAATCGATTATTTTAGGTATACACATATATTTGGCAAAATGATCCCCAAACTAACAATGGAACATGTTATAGAACAAGCATTTATATGGGTATTGCAAAATCACCAGCTTTTGATATTGAAAGTAAATAAATTTTATAGAAATCATAATTATTTTAAATAAAATTCTGAAATCAAAACCAAATTATAATAAATTAAAAATAATTAAATCAGAATTTTCATTAACCAGAATACCCAGAAATTTTTTTCAGAAACGGAATTTTTTTAAATCATAACTAACGAGAATATTAAATCCATTTAACTTTTAGAATTAACAATTTATTTTTTCAAAACACTTCTTTTTTTCCAGATTATAACTTCTCTAGTGGACAATATTCAACTTGGGTAGAATCTAGATGGGATTCTCATGCAAGACTTGAATTATTTTTAACTGCGGATTATCGTTTGGAATTATATGCATTTTTAATTGCAATATTAATGATTTTTTTGAGTGCTCCACTTAATTATGGATTAAAGGAACAATGGTTTTTGGATAATTCTTTGCCCCCAGCTTCTCCTCAACAACTTTAAAAGAATACATATAATTTTTTCCTATGTTTTGAAATTACTTTTTTCAAATTTAAACGGGTTATTGTAAAATTTAAAATATAAATGGATATTTTTGTGTTCCTAGTCTATAACCTCAAATTTTCCGTTCTCTAATTGATCATTAGAAAAATATAGAATATTGCAAAATATTTTACAAACAATTTATTCGAAAAACACATTTACAACAAAACAAATTTACAACAAATCTAATAGAATATATTATGAGACATATGTACATATTACACACAAGGAAATTTAGGAAATATACAACATATAAATGAATGCAAGATAACAACAAAGGAAAATATGAGTTTAGATATTATATTCAGTTCATTTTTATCTCTTTAGAATTCTTCCTCCTCTGTGGCAGGTTCCTCCTCGGCCGTCTCCACCGGTTCTTCAGTGCGCGTCCCACCATCCCGACTCGGTGTTGCAACCAGTTTCTTTCCCGTATCATCAACTGGCAATGGCTCGGACTCAACGTTGGGCACATGATATACTGAAATTTAAAGAATTACCCAATGACTCCTTTCCACTTATTCGAGTACCTCTCTTCGGCTTCCCTGGTTCTTCCTCTTCAATAGGCTCGAACTTAGACCGACGCCTCCAGAAGCCCCTCTGGCGCTTAAGTATGGCAAGCACATCATCGGCTGGAGTCGAGATCATCTTCAGTGGTGTGACATCCCGTTCGAGCTTGAGTACCACATTTTTCTTTTCAATGATACTCTGTCGAATAGCCTGTAAATTAAAGGATTTAAAATTGTTTACAAAATTACTTGTAAAAATAACACCTTTTTAGCTGCAGAGACGTCGTTATTCACTTCCTTGCCGTTAACGTCAATCAACATGTCGCCTGGAAAGATGTTCTGCGCAGCTATACTGCCTGACTCAACGGACGCGACCATGATATTAGCTCCCTGGAATTGAAAGCTATTATTAATGTCAAGCCTTCATTACTCAAGCAATTACCTTCCTCTCCACAACTATCCCAACTGGGAGATCTTCTCGCCATCTGATCTGCATGAAGACGGAAACGCGGTTCGGCTTTCGCGTGACTTCTGCGACCTTGAGTGTGGCCATTTTGAAGTAGTCGTCCCTGCGGAAACGGATGAGCAAAGATTTGGGTTGAGCGCCAGAATGCTGAGTTGCCCCCGTGAAGTCTTCTGCCGATTTTATGGCCTGAAAAATTGTGACGTTTAAACAGAGTACTAGCCTAATAATCGCAGAAGCTTACACGTTTGTCAATCTGCACGATCCAGTCTCCAACGAACAACCATCCAAAGAAGTAGGAGAAGATGTCGATCTTCTGTATCCGCGGCGGCGAGCTCCCACTGAAGAACGTCAGTCCCATGTCCGAGTCTTGGATCTCGATGGTAGCCTCATGCTCATGAATGTACTTCTTAGCTGAAAGAGAAAAAAAAGTTAGTTTAGAAGACAACCCTTGTATGATACATCCTCGTTTCTCGGCCATTGTACTGAGACGTCAAAGCAAGAGTGAGCAGCACAGCGACGAACCAAAAGCGGCCTTTAGTTGAATTGAGCACAGCGTTGTCGTCACGAAGTGCAGTGAGTTGTAGTGTTGGTTAATGCATAAACTATTAAGGCGCTTTTATACTAGGGCTTCGAACTCGAATTTCTAAAAATCCGCAATTTTGATCGAAAAATCCGCATTTTAATCAAAAATCCGCAAAAAATCATCAAACACAAAATTGAATTAAGATTACTTTATGCGTTATATTTTTTGACTCCAAAAATTGAATTGAGCAATTTTTTCAATACTAATGTCTATCTTATTAAAATCCGAACAATTAATTAAAAATTACAGTTGACTTGACCAATGCTTTCACCGTCCCTAGTTGTAGTGAATTGTTTACTCGAAAAATCTTTTTTGCGCCGCAGGCGAAAATTTTGAAAATTTTGGAAGACCAAGAGGCCAAAAATCGTCATATTTCAGCGTCAAATAAATACCCGCTAGAAACATTTCAGTAAAAGTATCCTCTAACAACGCAAGTAAATCAACAATACTTCTCAACAATTCTACTAAAATACAATTTTTTCCACTTTTTTTGTATAATGCTTTGACTTTATTTTTTAAAATTTAAACGGGTTATTTAGACGACATATATCAAGTTCTGGATTTTATCTTCCAATTAATTTCTGTATTTTTTTTACAAAAACTTTTCTTTATTCTTTTTAACATAAAAATTATTTAATTTAATTAATCATTCTACAAATATTAAAAATTAATTTGTTTTTCTTTAACAAATTTCCATTTTCCTCTTTTCTTCCATTCAATGACTTACTTCAACTCCAGTTAATTCAATATCCCCTTCTACACGTAAAAATTTATATTCATTGTTTGGATCCTCCACTCGGTGGGCAAAAGAACAATAATGACTACCGTTAATGAAAACCTTAAAATTTAAATTATTTGGATTAAGTATATCTTTTTCTCAATAATTTTTGGAAAATCGTTTAGTATTAAATTATGTGGAGGATTATTAATTATTCCCAAAATTTTAAAATTAAAATTATTTTTCCTTTGTATTTCATAATTTTAGAATTAAAAAATTCTTTTTTAAAATTACCTGAATAGAAAAAGGCTCATTATGTATCGCAATATCAACAGCCTCCCCCTTTTTCAAAGGAAATTTACCTTCTCGTTCTTCCTCCCCCCACGTTCCATTTTTCTGAGAACCTCGAATAATCTTTAAAAAGAATATCCTCTTTTTATTTTTTCTTGTACAAAATTACTTGTTTTTCACTAAAACGAGGATTTAAGTGAAAAAGAAAATCTCCATTTGCACCGACAAAATTAACGCTAAAATCGCCTTTCGCAATTGAATAGATAAAAACACGTTGACCTTTGTAGATGGAAAGGGAAAAGGGGGGGGAATAATTTTTATTTATTAAATCTTTTTAAAACCATTTTTAAGTGAATGTCCATGAAAGGTTGACTGAAATGGTATTTCAAAATAACGCCCTCCCCAATGAACGTTGGAGAGTGTAATATCACCAGTTATCTAAAAAAAAAGAAAAATTAGAAGACAAAATAATCTTTAAAAAATTATCTAAAAAAAGTTTTTTTGCGGATTATCCGCAAATTTCATTTGTTTTAAATCCGCAAAACACAAACTTGCATATGATCAATTTTTGTGAAAGCATGTCGATGTTTAAAATCAGCCAAATGGTGTTGATTGGCAAGTAATTCAAAGCGTTCTTCATGCACACGAATTCGAATATCAAAAGTTTCCCCTTTCTTAAAAGGATTTGAATGTCTCTCTTCCTTTTCCCATTCACCAGCCTTTTTAAAATAAATTTTTTCTTTAATTAATATAAATTTTAAAAATTATTCCAAAAAGTTGAAGAATTTTAAGATAATATAATCATTATAAGCTGGGCCACACTATAAGATATACCCAGAATTAGATGTCCAAATTTAAGATAAGATTTTTCATGACGGCCAAATGGGAAATTTTAAGGACTTTTGAGCCGCCTTAAGCAAAAATTAGCAGGTCGAAACAATCCTAATTAAGCAACAATACCCTCACTTTAAGTTATCTCTAGTTATAACCAACAACATTTCCATTTTCATCGGGGTATCCCTTTTAATGAGGTTCCTGATTTTATTTTAATTAAAAAATTACATTAAACAAGTTTAGGACAATTTTGTTTTCATCAAATCTAACAGACACATGAAGGGGAACAGAGCCAACATGGGGATTTACTTCAAAACATTCACTCAGCAAGTTTATTTCAAAACGCTTAGCCTCTTGTAAAATATTGCCTTGAACAAGAAGTGTTTGGCCTGGCTGTAATTCTGACAGCAAACGGGAAGAGTAGGGGACGATTATGTGGGTTAGATGTGGGTGGGCCTTTAATTAAAAATTTGTGATATCTTTTTGTGGGTTTGAAAAAATATTTTTAAAAAATTAATTTGCTTAAGAAAACTTAAAGAAATTCCCAATAAACAAAAACAATTTAAAAAATAATTTAATTTTTATATAAAAGTGATTATTAATAACAACGTCCATTTTTCTCAAAATTTAAATTTTAATTAACTTACCATTTTACGCCTTTAAATAACTTAGTATGAAGAAAATCTTAAAAGAAAATAATTTAAAGAAATTAATATAAGGAAACTGATTTTATAAGAAATGTGGTTTTAATTTTAAACAAAATTTTTTGAAAACAAAAAAATAAAATGTTGTTGTCTGATTTTTTATCGTTTTTGGCCAATTTTTAGAGAAAACTAAAAATAAAATGGAGAAATAATAATAACGAGAAAAATGAGGGAATGAAAATAAAAAAACTTTTAAATGTTTACTCTCCTGCGATAATAAAAATAAAGTAAAAAAAGGAGAGGAGAGAGGGAAGTGCTTTGTTGTTATTGAGATTTGGGGAAATGTTTTTATTTTTTTTGTTGTTGTTGTTGTTAGGGGAAATGAGAGGAATGACTCATCAAATTAGTATAAATTTTTAGAAAATTTTTTTTAATTAGAAAAATATGACAAGAAAAAATTAATTATACCTTAATTGCGTGAAGAATGGTCGAACTTCGAGAAACGAAAAAAAAATTAAAAAGTCTAAAATTATCAAATGAAAAGATGAAAAATATTTTAATTTTTGAAAATTATTTTTTCTTTTGCAAAATTAATGAGGATCCTAACTAGGCATATTTTGAGCTAATTTTATAAACTAATTAAAGGCTAAGGAAGGAAGTATTAAAAATTTGAAATTTGTTAGATATCTAATTTATCTGTTGTTTTATGAATTTTTAAATTATTTTTTTAAAATTTTATTTGAATTATTCTTTGACTTTTAAAAATTTTGTTTTTCTTTAATAATAATCAAAATATATATTTGTCTTAAAATAGTAATTTTTAAAAAAGGAGAGAGGTAAAATATATTTCCAAATTTGGCAACATTAAAAGAAGAATATTTAAATTAGTTAGGCTTTTTTGAATAAAAAAATAATTTTAATAATAACTTGAACACGCAATTTTTGTTATTAAAAAACTGATGTGAGCATGAACTAATTTTAATGAGCTTTAAATTTAAAATAAAAATAAAAATACTAAATTTAGAAGAATTTTTAATGAAGAAATCTCTTTGGGAATTCTCTTTCAAAATAAATTAATAAATATTTTAAAAAATCTTTTTTGATGTTCCATATTTTTGCTTTTTATTTCTCAGTTAGCCGTTAGAAAATTTTTTTTTATTTTTGATTTTTAAATCCCATTAAAATTTTTATTTTCTAGATATTTTCTGTTTATGTATTTATTTATAAATTAAATAACAAACACACATCCTTCATAATTTTAAATTCTGAGGTCATCCAAAACATTTGCTATTTTTTAAAAGTAAAAACAAATATATACATACTTAATTTATTTAAAAGTACATTTATTTATTTTATAAATGTGAAAGAATTTAAAATAAATATTTGTTTCTAAAATGTTTCTAATTTTTTTGTTTTTAAAGCCTTCTTTAAATTAAAGTTGAAATTTCGATTCAAATATTGGATCACGATTATTTGGTGATTTTTTTTCTACACGTCCTCTTTTAATTTTCTATACTTCCTCCTTTAATTCCTTTATATCAATTTAAACAACAAAAACATCCAAACAAATCCCGACCTCCCTCTTTTCAATTTTTTGTTATTTTTAAACTATTTAATTTATGCCCTTTTAAAACTTAAAAACAAATTTAAATATATGTACTTTTCTGTTTTTTCTATTTATTTAATTTATTTGTTTTTACTTCCCCATCTGTCAATCAATCATTCAAATTTTGCAAAAACTTTTGTAGACTATTTTATTTATTAGGAGATTGTTCAGAAACAAAATTTCAAACAAAATCTCGTATTGTTTTGAGATATCAACTCTATTTTTATTTAAATTAATTCTTCTTATTTTTGTATATAAAAAAGTTTTTTTTCCAAAAATTTTTCCACTCCTTTTTTATTTATAAATTCCAAAAAAACTCGGCCAAATGTTCATTTTCAAGTTGCTTTTAATCAATCATTTTTTGAGCATTTTGTGGGAAAAATTATAAAAGAAAATTTATTAACCCGCTAAAAGTTGAAATTAATAATTAATTAAAATGTGGGGGAGGGAAATAAAAAAATTATTTTTGTATGAAAATAATATTTTGGAGGCTTTAGAGAATTAACAGGAATAATGGAGGGAATAAAAAAATTTTTTTGAACAGTCCTTATATTTGTTTGTCTGTGTTATTTAACCGAAGGATTTGATGAAACCAACAATTTTACCAAAGAAAAACGTAAATGTAATTAATTTAAATAAACTAATTTTAACATTTTCTTTTTTTATTTATTTTAAAAATAAAAAATATTTTTTTGTTAGCCTAATATTTATTTATCTTCTTTTTTTTAACTTTTTTATGTAAACTAAAAATTAAATATCTTTTAAATTTTTTAAAAAATATTTTTAATTTTCTTTTAATAACTAAATATTATTTATTTAATTATACACTCAAAAAAATCTTTTTTTTTCTGATTATTGAGATTTTAAATAAAAAAAAATATTTTTATTTCCTTCTCTTTATTTTCAAAAATATATCTTTATAAAAAGCAAAGTTGCTGGTTTTGACATTTCTTCACTTTAAAAATGCCAAAAACTTTTCCCGTAGGGAGTTGCTTGTTTAAAAAATATTTTTAAATGTTTGAAATTTAAACAAAAGATTTTTTAAAAGAAAATAAAAACAATTATTTTTTAAATTTAAATTAGAAAAAACAGAAAATACTCAAATTTTTGACAAAATTTTTTGAAATATTTTTATTTATTTTTCCGTTTATTTACATATTTTTGTAATTAAAATTAAAATTTGCGAAGAAATTTGAAAAAAACTTTTATTTATTTATACTAGGGAATATTTGACATTATTTATTTATAGGCAACAACTTTTTAGACAAAGTTCTTTTTGTAAATTAACTTCCGATTTTGGCAGACAACTCCATTCAGAATTTTCAAGAACTAAATTCTAAAAAAGCCAACATCAACAACAATTGCATTGTCTCTTCAAAAATTATTCCCAAAACCTTTTCCGTCACCAGACAATCTCATAAATACTTTAATCTTGGATATCTGTGGATTTCCCAGGATTTGCTTATTATTTTCCAAATATTCTTTTTTAATGTATTAAATAAATTTATTTAATATTTTGCTTCCATAGTTGAATAAAACTCTCCTTCTTCCCTCCCTTCCCTTTTCTTTAATTAATATGTTTGCCATATAAAATAAATTCTGGTTGAATGATTTTAATTAAAAAATACCAAAAATGTGCTAAATAAAAAATTTTTTTTTGTAAAAAAATTATTTTTTAAATTTATTTTTTCTTTCCTTTTTTAATTTATTCAAGTGTTTGGCACTTTTTATGACTCTTTAGTACTTTTAGATTAGCAAATAAGGATAAAATTTATCATCCGAAACATTTTAGCAAAAAATGAAGAAGTATGTAGTTTACTTTTCTTTTCAAAAATAATTAAATATACAGGGTGACCATAATAGTTTAGGACACTTTTTCATTTTGCAATAACTTTTTTCCCCATTTACATTTTTTACTATTATTAACTCATTTTGTAGCCCATTCAAATCTATTTCAGGGCTTATAAGCCTGGTTCCATTAACGAATCTTTTTCCAAAAGATTTGGCGGTTGCAAAATTTTAATTCCTCCCAAAGTTCAAAAAAGCATTGTCCAAAAAATTTTAAAAAATTACGGTATGAAATTTTCGGTAAAAAATTTTTCTTTAACTTGTTTAGGGAAGTAGGCATGATAGTTAACTTTAGAAAAAGTGGCAGACCTCGATCTGTGGCAGACCTCGATCACGATCATTATTCTTGATACATGTTACTCGAGCATCATAAATCCAAAATTAATTTATCGAATTAATTTAATTTCTATTGAATTCAGCTCTTCACGACGCCTCGGATTAGCTGTCACATAAATAATTCCAAAAAATTTTAATTAATAACCGTTATATATCTTCCCTCCCTTCACCCTCCTCTAACCCTCCAAACGTCGCAAACATACATTTAAAATTTATGAGGAAAATAAACATTTTAATTTTAATTTTTTATAAAAGTCTATGTACAGTACGGTGCATATGTTTACGGACAAAGGCTTTAAAAAATTTAAACCCAATTTATTCGAAAAATTGAATTACTTATCGAAATGTATAAAGTAATAAACATTTTAATTTTAATTTTTTATAAAAGTCTATGTATGTATATATTTTATTTCCTGTTTATCATTTATTTTCATATATTTTTTCATTTCCTTTTATTTTTTAAAAAAGGCAACTTTTCTTTAATATCAAAAATTGCCAAAAATTGAAATTTAATCCCACCAGTACCATAAATTTGCCAAAAATCTTCATTTATTTTTTTAAATATTTTATTTGCATTTTCTCCTCCTCATATAAAAATTAAAATTTTACATTTAAATTAAAAATTTTATTTTTAAAATTTTTTTTACATTTATTTGTATTTGGACCTCATTATAATTTGGAGAGAAATAAACCTTTAGGCAGCTCTTTAGCTGCCTTTTTAGGCAGCAGTTTAGACAGCTTTCCTACCCAAAACGTATCCTAAATTTAGGAATATATTTATCGGAGGTAACTTAAATTGAATGAGGTAAATAATGTAACTTAACTTAAATTTCTACCCTTTATTCTGATATTTATTAAATTTAAAATTAATTTTAAAAATTTTTTAGGGAATTAAGAATTTTTTAAATTTTAACAACAAAAAAGCAACAATTTAAAAAATAAAATTAAAATGTTTTTGGAAGATAAAGATGAAGAAAATTTACCTAATTGTAACATTTGTTTAGGATCTACAGATTCTGATTATCAGGCAAAAATTATCCTTTTATTTTACAGGGTCATTACCCTCAAAAATGTTTAACGATCATAACTAATCTCAAAATTAACTGACTGATCTGATTCAAAAAATATACAATTTAGCTCTTTTAGCCGCATCAACTGAGCTATTAATTCTCTTTGTTTGACACATAATTCTTGAAAATTTAAACCTAAAAATGTTCTCAATAACCGTTATATGTTCCCTTCACCCTACCAACCCTCCGAAAGTCCCAAAAAATTTAAATTTTTATTTTCTCTAGATTTATAATTTGATTGTCAGCGGAACTGTATTAGCATTGATAGGTATTGTTGGTCTTGTTGGCAATCTTTTAATAATTTTTGTATATTCACAACCCGAACAACGTTCACATTCAATAGCCGTTTATTTAAGAGCTTTGGCAATTTCTGATTTGCTTATGACTTGTACAGCAATGTTTTTATTTGTTTTGGAGGCTTGGAGACATCATGGGCCTATCTGTAAGAATTTTGTTGAATAAAAAATCTTTTGGACTTTATTGCACTCAATATAGGTCCTTTTTCCGTTCACGGAAAGTATCCCCGATCTACCAATATACCTCAGGGCAAATGACCAGGTTATAGAAAGTTGGATCTATTCAAAATCTGTAAACAAATATCCAATCTACAACCATTATGTTCCTTTCATCCTACCACCCCTCCACTCATACCCTTGTTTATTAAACATTCATTTTAATCTCTTCTTAATTTTTTAAAAACAGCTTTGGCCTTTGCATATGGCCGTGGCGCTCCTTTTTTCTTTCCTTTAGCATCAACCTTCCAAACAACTTCTGTTTATTTTTGTGTCGGTGCAGCTGTAGATTTATTTGTTAATGTAGCATTAAAAACAACTTTAAGTTCTTCTTATTGTACAGTTAAAAGAGCTAAAAAATTTGTTTTTATTACCTCAATATTAGCTATTTTCTATAATATTCCACATTTTTTTGAATTGAGGGCTATTGAATGTGTGGAAGAGAGAGAGGGAATAATGCAAAAAAGTCTTCAAATATGCCCTACAGAATTTAGGTTAATTAAACTAAATTTTCTGAAAATTTTTAAAAGGCCGAAATGATTAGAAAATTAAAATTTAATGTGAAGAGCTAGTATAAAATTTTTATAAATATTAATATGTAGGGAAAACTAAAACCAAAAAATTTTCCAAATTTTTTCTAAATACCCTTTCCATCTTAGAATGAATCACATTTACTATTCTGTCTACTACACGTACATGTATACGGTAGAATTTTTTTAAGTAAATTTAAAATATGTCTGTTATATTTAGGTGTTTATGGCTGTAGGTCCTTTAGTTTTACTTATTGTGCTTAATTTTGGAATTGTTATGAATGCGCTCAAAAGGCCTAGGGAGCCTGGTAAATTCTTTAAAATTAAAAAAATTTTTTCAAGAATTTTTTCCAAAAATTTTTGCCTCTCTCATTGGTCAAATTCAGTCTTTCACATCCATAGGATAATATAATATCTATACTATACGGATGACTAGCATCGGGCGATACGGATTTATATGTTTCCTTAATTTTTCCTAATCAACTGGTTTCATCAATCATTTTAAATGTTTTGGAGTTAATTATAAAAGTTTATTTAATTTATCTAACAGAAAGATGATAATTTATCACAATATTTTTCTTTTTTTTATTTTAAACAGATTCAGATATTATAAGCCTTGTATTAGTTGTTTGCCTATTTATTTTTTGCAACTTTACAGCTTTATTAGTTAATTTTCTTGAATTAACTTTTGCTGATCAATTAAAACATTTAATTGTTTATTTGGTTGATTTAAGCAATTTATTAGTTGTGAGTTTTTTCTAAATTTTAATTTTACATAAAACTCAATTTTACTTCACCCATAGGATGAAGGGGGAAGTTTAGATAGCTACTTTAACAGATGGGAAACCAAATATATAACTTTAAATTTAGATATACCCAAATTTAGGTCTTTCAACCTTTAGATTTCTACCAAAATTAAAATTTTAAAATGTTTATTTATTTAAATTAAATAAATGACATCTATACAAAATTTCATTCCTCTAAATTCGAAAATGACCAAGTTGCTCGTTCCTATAAGTGAAAAATAGCGAGGGATAAGACAACAATTCTAAATTCGGGCACTAAACTTTTCACTTTTCTCTTATTATTTTCCTTAACGTTATTTAACGTCACTTTAACTTTAAATAAATTTTTTTAATTCCAAAAAGGTAATTAATTGCACAGCAAATTTCTTTGTTTATTTAATTTTTGGCCAAAGTTTTCGAAAAACTTTAATTAAAATAATTCAAAATCCAAATAAATCAACATCAAATAATAGAGGAGGAAATACTACAAAATTATTATTAAAAGAAGAAAATAAAGAAAGAAAAAAGAAATTAATTTTATTTAGTAAAGATTATGAATTATCTATAGAAGGGAGTGATGATGTTTAAATTGTAAATTAAATTAAATATTTTTTGTTGTAAATAAATAAATAATTTTTTAATTAAATTTTGATAAATTTTTAAAAATTTTATTTTATGTTAATTCTAAGTAGGGTTAAAATGAATATAAATATTGAATATAAAATTCAATATCCCCGTCCCCGTGGCAAAAGCCACCGCACCCACAGTCCCCGTGAACCTGACTGTAAATATTGAACTTTAATTCTAAGAGAAAGATAAGAATTTAATCCCGAACAAGTATCGAGACATCCAGCAACCTCCTCCTCGTTTTGTTTAACTAACCCTGTTTTCTATTTTTTTTTTGAAATTTCCAACAAATATTTTGTCAATTCCAACTCTCCCATAATTTTCCTCAGGTAAATTAAAGTGCCAATTATTTACATAATTCATTAATAAAATATAGAGACAGATGTTTTAATTATTTTAAAAACATTTTTATAAAAAAGTACATTAAAAATTTGTATTTAAAAATTACTTTTATTTAACTACAAAACAAATTTCTTTATCTTTTTTTAAATAGGTACATATGTATATTTAAAAATTTTTTTTTAATATTAAATATTTTACGGACAAATTTAATTTTAAATTTTTATTTAAAAATCAACAATTTTACGTAATTTATTTAAATAATTGTTGGGTATATTTTTGTAAAAAGTTCCTTAAATAAATTTAAAAGAAAAAAATAATTTAATCAGAAATTAATTTTTAATTTATATTCATTTAATTATCTTTAATTTTAACCATTTAATTATAATTTTATTTTATTTATTTTTTTGCTTTTTCTTTGAATTTCTCGAAATTTAACAAAAAAGTATATTTATCTCGGAAGTTAATTTTATTTAATTTTAAGAAAACTTTTTTGCTTTAAATTTATTATATTTTTTGATTTTTTGAAACTTTTTTGCTTTAAATTTATTATATTTTTTTGATTCTCATAATTTAATCTAATTTTTATTTTTTTTTGCTTTTTTATTAAATTAAAAAAAATTTTTTAGCTCAGAAGTGAGTGTTTCATGGGTTAATTTAATTTAAATATTAGTGAGGTCTAAAGACAAGAAAATAATTAAATTGCAATATCCGTTCATTAAATTTAATTTTCTTTTATTATTTGTCTGATTTTCACCATTTATTTATTTTACCTTCTACTTTTGATTTAAATAAAATTAAAAAAAAATTTTTTTAAAGAAAAATGTCATTTCAAATATTTTTGTGGCTCTCCTCTTTAAGAAACCAATTTATTTATTTTGCTATAGCCATTAGTTTACCTTCAATGCTTCTTTATTTAATCGAGATATTAACAATTATTCGACATAAAGAATTTCATAACCCTTTCTACAAACTTGTTTTGATTAGATCCATTCCGGTACGTTAAAATGAGGGGAAATTAAAAATTTACAAACTGTCGAAGTCAGTAATTATAGTTTACATGACTTAAAAAATTTTAGAAAATTTGGGGGTTGGCAGATCTTGAGAAATCACCTAACAAGCGTATACGGATTTTAGCTAAGAATTATAGGACTCTTCAGATCCGGATAATAGGATCAGATAGCACTATTTGAGAGAACTAAAGCTCATTTCTGATGTAAAATTTAATTTTGAAAGTCTTGTAAGCTTATTAGAAAATATCTCCTCAAACTGATGTGAATATAAAAATAAAATATTTTAAAAATGCCAAAAAATATTAAAAAAAAAGTCAACATTAAATATAATTTCCAATATTTTCAGAATATTCTCTACACCCTCGACTCTTATTATTGTTATCGTTTAACAATTCTCTTCGGAAATTTTCTTTATCCTCTTTACAGTCAATTGCCTAATTGGATGTTGCGTCTCTCCTATTTCCTCACATTTTATACAATGATAGCAGACTTTTTAGTTACAATTTTGCTTCTTTTAAATCGTTGGACAGCTATAACAATGGCAATAAATTATAAAAAAGTTGGAGATTTTTTTTAATTTCTCCAAAAAATATTTTCTTTTAATTTTAGTTTTGGAGGAAAATGTTGCTTCCTTCAGCTATTTTAGTTTTTGGACTTCCCACACTTTTATATGCCCAAGAATTTACAGTTAATGGCTTTTTACAGAATGATACAAGTGATGGAAGTTTTAGTTTTTATTTGGCACAGGATTTTAATGTTTGGATTTTTTTTAGATTATCAGGGAGAAAAAATATTTATTTTTTAGCCAGTTTATGACGCTTTTCCTTTAACAATTTGTTACTGTGTTGCTTTTATTTCCATTTCTGTTGTAATTAATATTGGCACTCTTATATCGTACCGAAGACATGCAAAACTAACTTCTTCAGTTAAAAACAATCAACAATTACGTCGAGAAAAGACGGAATATAAATTGTTGTTATATGCTATTTTGACATTTGTGGGGCATGCAGTTATGGCTTTTGAACAAGTAAATAGACATTTTTTGAAATATTTTTTTGGATATTGGAAATTTGGAAATTTTGGAAATTTTTGGAATTTTTAGGTGTTAACATATTTGGTTGTAAATTCCAACAATTTTGACTTAATTGCTGCTGTCTATACCCAATATCCGTGGACGATGGATGTTGGGTCTGTTGTAATGCCTAGTTGGCTATTGTTTTGGGCTTCTGACACTTTCCGTAAACAAATTCTAAAAGATTTTTGTCCAAAATGGTTGGAAAGGTTAACTAGAAGGAAAACACCCGTTCAACCTTTACAGACAACTATGGTGGTACCTGTTAGACAAGGAAATAATTTTTCTGCTTAATCCGCAAAAAAATAATCCGCAAAAATATTTTTAATTTTGTGTCATTAATGATCACGCAATTTTCCCCCAATTAACTTTTAAAAAATTACTAAATACAATTTAACACCTTCGTACTTAATTTAACAATTTTTATGCTTGAATAAAAACTTTTTTTTTGACTAATTATTTTTAATGAAATATTTAATTATTAAAGTATACCAACTACAAAATATTTTTTTAAATCTTTCCGTGACTTTTTAACGAGTACTTTAGGGAAGAAGGAATGTTTAGGCTGTCGGTTAAAAATCTATAAGAAATAAAGGAAATTTTCCGCCTCCGTATATTAGGGATATAAAGAGTTGGGGTAATTTTCCCATCAAGATAAAAATATGAAAACAATCTTTTATTTATCTAAGCGAAGGTCTAAACAAATATTTATTAACATTATTTTATCCATTAACAAAGAAAAATACAAATACAAACATATTATCAACACAATTTCTACCCACAATTTATTTACTATTTATAACCATCTCCCTCAGATTTTCCAACAGAATTTTTTATTCATCCTTTCATCTGTTCTTTGGCAATCCTGGAGAAAAAATAGTGAAAATAGGAGAATTCCTTTACAAAAAAAATTCCTCACATATTCATTTTGTCGAACAACGGATCCACATACTGGACATACAGATTGTGCGCCCCTTGGGTTTGCGGCAGAGCCAGGTATAGCAGAAAGATGATTTTTGCGAGCCAGTAGAGCGGGAACCATTTATATATAGACTCGGCAAAGAAGTCCACAATGGAGAAGGCAGCGAACGTCGTCCAGTAGATGAGCCACTGAGTGTCGTCATCTGAAAAGAAAAGGGATATTTTGTAAACAATTTTTGGGTTTGAATCAGTCCGAACCTTTGGTATCAGTCCGAATCGCCTTAACCGAACAGTACGCTGGATAGCCAAAACCAATCAGATTGCAGACAACACCACAGCCAGGGCCAGCGATCATGTAGACGGAGAAAAAGCCACAGAAGACGTAGAACAACTAAAAAACGGGGGTTAAAGACTCTTACACAACAAATTTAGACATTCACCTTCTCTCGATCAAGTCCGGAGATCTTCTCAAGTTCGTTGAAGAGATGGTCCTGTCCGAGAAGCCATTTGATCACTGCCGGTCGAACATCTGTGAGGCTCTTGACTTCTGTCTCGCGAACACTAAGACGAGCACCGGAACTTGAACTTGGCACGGCCCTAGCCCCTCTCTTGGGCGCCACAGAAAATGTACGTGCGGTGGCCGGTGGTGGAGCGTCAGCAGCAGGTGGTTGAGATGGATCAGCCATTGTCGTTGGTGTTGGTTTTTTGTTGGATTTGATGTAGTTGATTGATTGAAGAGAAGATAAATTAGTCAAATCTTGGAAGCTTTTATATTAACTTTTTTAGTATACCTACATTTATTTTGTTAGTAAACCAATTAGAAAAAAAACATAACAGTTTAGTTTTAACACTAGAGGGTTTTCAGAAAATTATGTTCGGACCGGATTAGGCTCGATATGAGCGCGAAATTCTACATCCGGCTTCCGGATCAATAATTTTGTTGGGCATTACAAATTAGAGGTCGGCAAAATCGCACTTACGGGATCCCGAGTCGGGATTTTTTTCTTAACAGAGGCCGGGACGGGATCCCGAGGGATAAATCCCGAAAAAATCCCGAATTTCAAAAATCCCGAAAATAATTATCCGGGATCCCGCCCGGGATTCGGGATTTTTTAAAAAATAAAAAATTTAAAATTTTTATAAATAAAGTGCATCAAAATACTGCAATTTATATGTAAATAAAATTAAATTTGTAAAAATCTAATAGATTTAGAGGGATTCCGTGGATTAATCACTAGGTCCCTTGATAAAATCCCACTATATACTAATCCATCCACTTTACCTCCGATAATACCTCCAAATTTCTCCGTTTGCAGCGCCGCAGGCGAACATTTTGAGAATTTTGGAGTTCCTTAAGCCAGATTTCTTCCATTTTCAGCGCCGCAGGCGAAAATTTTTAACATTTCGAAGACCATAGACTAAAATAATTCACTTTTTCAGCGCCGCAGGCAAAAATTTTGAGAATTTTGAAGTTCCTTAAGCCAGATTTCTTCATTTTTTTGCGCCGCAGGCGAAAATTTTGAGAATCACTAGAGTAAGACATGCTTGGGATCTGCTAATTTAAAAATCCCGAAAATTATAAAATAATGTCCGGGATTCCGAGTCGGGATTTTATTTTTTAACCGATGCCGGGACGGGATTCCGAGGGATAAATCCCGAAAAAATCCCGGATCCCGAATGATCCCGAAAATCAAAAAATCCGGGATTTCGGGAGCGGGATCCCGGAAAATCCCGTCGGGATCCCGTCCCGCGCCGACCTCTATTACAAATACACGAGTTATTTTTTTATTTTTCGAGAGAACATGGAATAGTGTTAATGAGTGTTGTCATAATGATTGTTGCCAATTTGAAATTTTTTCAATTTGTTTCCTTCAATTTTTAAATCCAACGATCTCTTTAATTGACTCCAACAGTGAATATTTAAATTTTTAAGATAGTAGATAAATTAGTATAAAAGCTTGATTCTTTAAGAATTTTTTTAAATTCCTTCTTTCTTCTTTCATCATCTACATACTATTCCTATCAACAATCTCTTTCTTCTAAAATGAGTGCTGAGACAATTCCTCTTGGTCAACTCTTGTCTCAATATCAAAATGAATTCTCGGTGTGTTTATAAAAAAAATTTTTTTGATAGTTCCTTTTAACATTTTTTTCTCTTAAGGCACGTTACATCCAAACGAGAGACAAACTTCATGCCCGTTCTCGTAAATTCAAACAGACTGTGTTCGAAAATAGTGTACTGTTGAAGGCAGCGGAGAGTAATCCAGAAACTCGTTCAGCGATTGGGGTTGTTCAACCTGTCAAGGATATGGTTAGAGAAATTTTATTTGCTTTTCGTGCCGACTTCTACTTAAAAAATATTTTTAATTTTCAAGACGAGCATTTGTGTGGCAGACTTGTTTCTTGTGCAATCCTTTTCTTGGCTGACAATCGTCATGTTTGCTTATTGGATCTCCTTTCAATGCCTTTCTGGACTTCTACGACCTTTCATCAATATCTTCAGCACTTCTGGGCAAGTTGCACTCTTGGCTTGCTTGGGACCAGTTGTCACATATGGGAAAATTAAGACGGGAGTTGATTTGGAAAATCGTTTTGTTTTGCTCTATTATGCTATTGCCGAGGGAATTATGATGGGACATTTGTTTCCAGATTTGTACCTCAACATGGTCTTTGATTAAGATTTATTTCCCTCAATTTTTTTAATTTTTCAGCCTTTGCCCTTCATACTACCAGCATCAATTACCATCGTATCTTATTCTTTCTCACCTCGTCTGAGTACCCCTCGTCATGTGTTTCTGTCAATTTCGGTTGGAATCGGTCTGGTTATGAATATCTTGATTGGATGTATGGTATACCACGAAGGGATTAAAGTTGTCTTTTTGTTGGCGTTAATACTTGATTCGTTGGGCACTTTGTTATTCCTTCAATATTATATCAATCATTGTTTGAACGACCAGTTGGTGGTGAGTTTTTGTGATAGTTTAGAGGGACAATTCGCCGAAAGTTGGGGAAATTTCTAAAACGGGAGGGAATACGAAGTATGTTGCATGGTTAACACTTCTGTGAATTGTCCCCAGTTTTGTTTCTTTCACAAACTAATTCCTTTTTATTTTTCAGGCTTTGTATTTCGATTTGTTCTGTTGTGTGTTCAAATACATTGGAATTCATATTCCTCTTCTAATGTTGTTTGGATATAGAGAGAATTCTTCGTTCATTTGAGATAAGAAATGTAATGGGATGAAAGGATATAAAAATATATAAAAATTGTTATTATAATCTAGTAAATATTATTTTGTAATTTGCTACTATAAAGATTGCAAAAGTAAATGTTTTGTAAATCTAAATAAAGTAAAATAAGTTTAGTGGGGTAGTTTGACATTTTAGACAATTTAGACCGACATTTTGTAAATACTTAACTATTTTGTTATTTATATTGAGACGTAGTTTTATACATTTCTGCCAATTATTTCTCAAATAATTATCCAGGGTAATTATTGTTTCGGACTTATCTAGTAGCTAAGAAAAACGGTAAAATTATAACATTTCTCGACATAAATGTAAAAATGCTCTATATAATGTCCATATATAGAACAATTACAAATAAGCGGATATTTATTTACAAATACTTTCATTTAAAAGAAAAAGGAAAGTTGACCAATCTGGAAAGAAAAAAACTAGATTTTTACATATTTTAAAAATGTTTGGCCATTAAAATTTATTCCCTCAAAAATAATTTATTTTAAAATTAAATTAATAAAACAATGAATTTTAAAACATTTTTATTATTTCCAATTTTTTGTTGTTCTTTCTTACATTCATTTCTTGAATCTTCTGCTTGTTTTGGTGGAGGGATTGGTGGTTGTGGTATAAATCCTTGGGGAGGATTTGGAAGTTTTGGGTGTGGATGGGGTGGTGGAGGAGGGGGAGGGGGAATGTTTGGTGCTAGTGATTGGAATTTTGGAATTGGAGGGTATCCTGCTTATTCTGCACCCATTATTGGAGCTTATCCTTATTCTACAAGTAAATTTTAATTTTTTAAAAAAGTGATCACCTATAAGAATCCACAAAAAACGAATATTATAATTTCCTCAAACAAAATTGGAATAAATTTTTCTAGACTTTGCAACTGGTCTTTATGCAGCGCCACCAATGCCCATCATTGCCCCATGTTGTCCATTCTCTGGACTTTTTGGATTTAAAAAAAGAAGAAAAAGGAATATATTAAAAAGCAAAACATTGCAATTATTTGTTAATAATGGAACTCAGAATTATTTAAATATTCAAAAATTTTGAAAAAAAAAGAATATCTTTTTAATTGGAGATTAACGAAATCTTTTCTATAATCTTAAATAATTTACAAGCTTTTTCACAACTCAACATAATAGCGCCTAAACTAAAATGAATTTTGGTGGGCCGGATTCTTTCAGTTTCTTTCGGAGGAGTAATTTAATATTTTAAAATATTTTTGTAACAAATCTTTTTAAACTTCAAAAACTCATTTAATTTACATAAAACAAAAATAATTTTATTAAAAAATATTTAATTTTAATGAAAGGCAAAAATGAGGATATATTAGAGATCGTAAAAATCTGGAATAATTGAGGGGTAATTATATATAGGTAGCATAGTATAAGCTCAACAAGAATGGCAGTAATATTGTCGAAACATCATTTAGATGTACACACTCTTAGTCAATTACATATATCCATGTTTAAATTAAATTGGCCACTGGGTCTATTGGATATCCTTAGAGGGATAGTGTGTAAGGATTTTCAGACATAAGGGTGTACATCTAGTTTAGGTCCGATTGTTATAAAATATTATATTTTAAGTTTAATTTGAGATCAACGGCATTTCTATTTTCACTCTTCTATTTTGTCCTGTCCAAGCAGTATTTCCAAAGGAATTATTTAACTAAAAATAATTTAAAAAAATTATTTTTTAAATTATTTGTCTATTTCACCTTAATATCACCACAATTATTATTAATTTCTCCGTTTTCCCCTTTCAAAGGTAAAAGGGTAATTGTTGTTTCCGCACCAGCAGAAACACAAGAAGAAGATTGAGGGGAAGTATTTAATTTATTTGAAGAAGAAATTTGTTGATTTGAATTACTCAAATATTTGTCTTCCAATGAAGTAATAATTACTGAATTAATATTTGTATTTGAATAATAATTTTGTTTTGAATTGATTAATGTTGGCCTTAAAAATTAAAAAAATATTAAAATATCCTAACAAAATCCCTAGTCAGGGATTTATATTTCGTCCCATAATTGTGACCGATCCTTTATTTTAATGAGCTCGTCTAGCTTCCTTAGTGACACCCAGAAAATTATATTCTTGTCTTACTCATATATTTTTAGGGACGGATTTTTGAGTTTCTTTCCAAGTGCAGAGAAGTAAAATGAAAATAATTTAATTCCGAAAAATAATTTTTTAACATGGACTGATTTTTCAAACGGGACGGGAAGGCCATTTCTCCATGTTTTCCTCAAAATTATTTTCGAGAAACTCTCATTTTAAAAAATTATTCATCCACATTCACTTTCTTTATTACAAAAATTCTACCTCTGAATATTCTGCATTTTTGTCTTTTTAATTATTTTATTATGCTTTTCAGCAGATAAAGGTTTTTTGTTTCTCTTTTTTGTCTTTTGTCTTGTATCCCTTCTAGATATTGTGCATATTAAAGCAATTAATGCAGTTATTGGCACTAAAATAATAACACAAACAAGTGCCAAAACAGAAATATCTAATTGAGAAA